GGACGAAATAGAAGACATATTGAAGGACAAATGCCGGAGCAATGATTAATTGTGTGAGTCAAGTCGAAGCATCAAAAGCGGAAATGAATGGCTTTAAATGAATACCAGACAAATAAAAAGTGGAATCGTGATGTTGTTTCTCGGGTATGGCAGTGTCGGTCTGGCCCTTTGCCGGCGCTGAATGCCGACTGTGCAATAGCCGCCTTGATCAACGACGTGAACCTATGAGAACCCCATATTCTTGAGGAAGCTCTCAATTCCCCCACACTTTGGAGCTAGAATAGGTCAAGCCAGAATGCTATTTAATCGCTGGCGGGCCTTTTTCCAAAGATCCTCGGTCTGATGACCCACTCCTCGGCTGGATTATTCATCTTCTCGGCCCTAGCCTAGGTATAATTTCGATCTATACCATTCAACAAGGAGGTTCACAGACTATCGTCCTCCAACCCCGATGTGGATTGCTTTATAGCATTCGCCTGCCGAATAGTCAATGTGTACCAAAATACCTACATTGGACAATTCTACTATCCGCTCGCCACGCGTTATTTGGGAGTGTTAAAGACACCAAACTGGAATAAGATTCGATCCTTGGGAACACAATTCAAACAAATTCAAAATATAGTGTAATTTGGTCATCACGGAATTTATCAGATATAATTAATATCTTTGCTTGACTCAACAAACACGCAATTAGCAGCTAGCAACACTGGGGACATTCTCGCAGCTGCCATATGTCTTGCCGCCTGTGACCTTGACGCTGGACCAGGTCCAGTTAGAACAAGCACCGGAGCCACACACGATAGCAACGTTATAACCGCTGGAGCTCACAGCACCAGTTCCAACGATATTTTTGATTGTGAGATCAGTGATAGGGATGCCGCTGGTTGGATCGCCCTTGAGGTCACCGCCATCGTAGTTTTGCTCGATAAGAATACCGTATCTGGAGTTTAATTAGCTATATTCAGAGCCGAAGGTACTCATGGATCCTAAAGCATACCCGGAGATGGTTTCCAGAGTGATTCCGGAATAAGTAACGCCTGTAATTGTACCAGTGTCTCCGACGGATGCTTTGATGCGAATTCCTGCACAACATATATAGATTAGTTCATGTTATTTTCAGAGACTGCGTGATGAATTTCAAGTTACCGTTGGTAGAGGCCTTGACCTCTGAGTTTGTGAAGGTCACTGTGTCGACTGTGTTATCGGAGCGTCCACCAACACTACCAATGGATAGTCCGTGACCACCAGAGCAGACACCACCGCTGAAGGTAATGTCCTAGAAGAGAAAGTCAGCGCTATAGATCTATGCACGAGAAATTGTACCGACATACCGTTCCAGAGTTGACTGCAACACAATCATCCTGGTTATAGACATTGGCGCCTGTAATAACCACATTGCTACTACTTCCAATATCAAACCCGTCCGTGTTATGGCCACCAGCAGAATCACCAGCCGAATTGTTGATGGTCATGTCCGTAATGGTCAATCCATCACAACCATTAATGCTGACAGCCTGAACGGGGGTGTTCTGAATGTAAAGATCCGTGATCGTGGAGGAAATCAGGTCATGAGCGTAGAAAAACTTGGGCTTGGTCTTTCCGCCATTAGATCCCTCTCCATCCCACCAGAGTGCACCCTGGCCATCTAGGTATGCACCAGTGTCACCCTTGATGGTGATTCCAGTACCGGAGATCTGTAGCAAGGGGCCTGACCATTCCTTATAGCCCCATGTAGTTTTCCCTTGGAAGATGACCTGAGCATGAATTGTTAGTATACCAAAATGTAGCTGGATTGCGATCTCGCGTACCGTGGTATCATCTTCAAGATCACTGAGGTCCAGCGTGGTACCAGAGGGTACCGCAACGCTGGAAAGAATTATTGTGGAGCAAGACTTCTGCGATTTACTGGCTGACGCTGCACCGGATGATCCCGAGAACGTGCAGGATGTAGCTCGCTTTGCCAGATTTGGCGCCGCGGTGATTGCAGGTGCGGGAGGAGGCGAGGCTAAGGCGCAAGCTGCCAAGCTGGCCAGAATCGTAGATCCCAAAAGCTTATGAATTTGCATTGTGATTCCGAGTTATCTGGTTGATCCGACTGGGGTTCGTTTCTAGTTCCTATTCATTGCTGATCAAGAGGACTTGGCCTTTTATCTGCGATGAAGATCTGGAATAAAACCACTGCCTGATTTGTGGTACTGAAGTATGCTCCATGATCATAGAGGATTATCCTCCAATGGGGCTGAGATGGTGCTCAATTTTGAACATTGATTGGTGGTACAACACCATGCCGCTGCTAGTTAATGCCGCGGGGAAATTATGCAGGGCCGTGGTGGAGAAGGTTTCCTGCATGCAGAAGTTCTCTTCAGAAGCAAGCCAAGCCTATCCAATGAAACAAGCTAAAGCCAAGAGTATTCTAAGCGACTTGCGGAGAACCCCATAATTTCCTTCAGATGACTTGAAGAAGTCATCAGCTGTCGTACTCGTAACCCGAGGGAGCGATCGACCATCCTTGACAGCCTAGGCTAGCATGACGCGAGTTTGTAGCTGCCCATTGGCTGATTAGTTCAGACTTCTACTCAACAAAATATAATTTGCATGAAGATGATATTGATATCCAAAATAGCATTGTAGTTAATACCCTGGATCATTTCAGGAGAGGCAAGAAAGACCCCAATCACCCGGATTTGAATATAGCAACCACATTTGCCAGTCGATCCAGAGAAATCTTCGAGGCACATTCAAATAAGACACTTCGGCGTCGGCTTTCTTCACCGAATGCTTTCGTTGTCACCCTTGTAATTTCTCCTTGGTGGCTTGGCCCGTAAACTCGTGCCGAAAACCCGGCGCTAAGGTCACCAGGGGTAATTGCCGGCCATGCGGGGACTCCGTGACAAAACTTGAAAAAGTCTTCTGCAAAAGAAGTACAGACCCTGGTTTGTTCTGGGCTCAGGTACTCGCGGAAGTTCTGGAAGAGATACGCAACGTCGAGGATATGATTGGCACGGTTCTTCCACGGACCATCCCATGGGTTGCCTTCATTGAAATGATACACGTATGCATTCCCCTTCCAGCCAAGGGCGAAGGTTAGCGCTGGCGCATGGAAAATAATGTCCGTGATAAAGTTGAGAACGGAATATATTGCCTCGTCATCAGGGGTTTCTTCGGTAATATTGTATTCGTCCAAGATGCGTCGTGCTTCATCGGGGTAAGATTCCAACACCTTCCTCACCGCAGATATGAATTTCTTTGCAGAGTTGACCCTCATTTGAGGCGCAAGGAACTCAAATATACTGGCCTGTTTCACAGTGTCTCATTAGCAAAGTCCCTCGAAGAATCATCGAAGAACACGTACATCCACTTCCGCATCTCCAATAAGAAGGTCTGAGCACCAAGTTTTCCCTGGGAGATGAGTGGACTCCGAATTTCCAACCTCAGCATATGTCACTCCAGGAATAACAATATCACTGTCCACGGCTGGCGATGGTGAGATGGAAGGAGGCAATCTGCTTATAAGCTCATTGGCAGGCATCTCCAGGATCGCCTTGACACGCTCGGCGGGGCTTGAATTAGACAGTCCCAAGGCGGCCATTGCATCATTGTAGTTCTTCTCATGTTCCTCGTATGTCATTGCCTTGCTGAGTAGAGATGTTCCGCTCATTGAAATCGCACGTTTGAAGAGAGGTTCCTTGGAATGAAGATGGTAGGTGACCGAAGCTGGAAATAATTAGTCTAAAATGACTTTTCCTATAACAAAGTTGCCAGATTTTGTATTTACCTCCGCCAGCACTCATGCCTGCTGCTGTGATATTGTCCGGATTCCCACCAAAGTCACGAATATGCCTATGTACCCATTGCAGGGCGACGCGTTGGTCTCGCAGCCCGTTGTTTGCCTTGAATCCGGCATTACGCAGCTCTTCTGATGTCAGGAATCCTGGGGCGCCGAGGCGATAACTTGAGATGGTCAACACATCGCTATAAGAGGTATCATTTCAGGAAAGTCTTACTTGATAGCAACCATCACAACCGGGACATTTCTTTCGACGGATAGGTTCACCAAGCGCCCAAGATCGTTCTGTGGCCAGGAGTTGGCACCGATAAAGAGCCCACCTCCATGAATGAAGAAAAGGACGGGAAGATTTGACGACGGAGTAGCATTGGAAGGAACCGCAATGTTGAGGTTGAGACAATTAACATCAGATTGGGGCAGATCTTTTGAAGGGAGGCTCTGCTGAACGTGACTGAGCTCGAGCTGACACCCAATTGGAGGTGATAAAGCAGTTGGTCTATGATCTATGTTAGCGAAGATCTTGTTGTTCATGAGAGAGGTAAGCATACCCATCTCTAGTCGCATCCAAAATGCCACCATGTCGTTGTTCGATCAATTCCGCGTCCGCGAGCCGATTCTTCAGGGTGGCGTATTGAATACCCAAAAATTGAGACACAATGCCATCGCTTTTGCCGCGGATGTCCCCGAGTGCCTCTGTTTTCAAGATTGTAGTCATGACCAATGTAGAATTCTGTGTTTATGGTACTCCAGCAGCGGAATTGACGGGGATATGCGTAAGGGGTAAAACAGCACTAAACTCTCCGGTGAGATGGAGAACGAGGGGTATCGCCATTTTGTAAACTCTGGGCATCGGAACTGCCTAACGAGTGGGGAGAGTGGAGAGACGAGGAGAGTTGTGGGAGTGGAGGCTGTCAGGACTGATCCGCGGGGGATTTCCGTCCCGCGGTTGTCATTACCGCATTCGTCTCCCAGGGCAAGGAGCTATTTGCATGGAATATTTACATCTACACTGACTTTAGCGGTATCTATGAAGGAGAAAACTCTTCTTCTAGGATAAAGGAACGATGACAAGGGAATCGGGATTATGCAATACGGAATTTGACCAAATGAGTTCATGGTTGTGAGGCGCTAGAAATGTAAACCTTGGAGATCCTCGAGTAGTTCATTCAAATCCACTTCATGCGATGCAATTTCATTTCATATCATAAAGCTCTCAGGATTGGAAATTCATGCTATAACCCCCGGTATTGGGATCCTGTACAAAGTTGAAGTTATCCGTCGACAAACCAAACGGCTTGAGAAGACCGTTTCCAAGCTAAAGGTAATATCATGATTAGCCAAAGTCTTCGAGTGGACAGCAACAAGGGCGGTCGCCCACACTCACATCTTTCATCTTCGACATCATCTCGCCCATCTCCTTCTCCTTCGCTTGGTTGAGTCGTTCGGGCAGCTCACGAAGGGCCCGCTGGACAATCCGTTTCTCGTCTTGAGGGAGCGTGTCCATACCAGCAAGGACTTGGTAATCTTCCATTGCGCCCTGCAAGTTGGCCCAGCCAGCTAATTGGGATTTTGCTTTTGCTCGTCGCATCAGAGCCTTGGCCCGAATTCGGCTGACGTTGGTCCGCTGCTCGTCCTGTTCCTTCAAACGCTTCAATTGTTTTTCCACCGCCTCTTCGTCATCGCCCGATATTTCGACCACCTCGTCGTTCGATTGCGGGTTGGTGGTGGGTGCGGTAGATTCGCTCGATGCGTCCGCGACTTTTTCTTGCGAGGATGGGGGAATGATCTTGTCCAGGCGTTCAATTGATGCGGTTGCCGAGTCCACTGCCGCCTTCCAATCTTCCAGCTTTAGGTAACAAGCGGCAATGTTGCTCCGGAGCACAGCAACATCGTAGTCAAGGTAGTTGGGGCACGAGGACAGGGCACGGTCATAGCAGGAGATGGCTTGGTCGTAGCATTTTGAGCCGAAAAGTTGATTCGCTTCAATTTTGATCTCGTGGGCTTCTTTCAGTAACCTCTGCGACAATTTTGAATCGAAATTAGCTTTGAAATGGGGGCTTGAAGACGCGGTCTCATTCTCGGTCCCTCAAGGTCAACTCACCTCTTCTTCTTCGGCTGGGAAGCGCGCATCATGGAAAACATCCTCCTCGTCGCTTTCGTCTCCGTCTGCCGCGACCTTCTCCGTCGGATGCGTTCGCGCAGGCAGGGAATCACTGGTGCTCGTCATTTTGGGCGGAATGCGAAGCGCAGCAAAAGGTAAGGGTAGTACCTTAGGTAAGGTTGGGGGCGGTCGGGGCTTTCACGGAAAGCCGATAAGGACCGGCCACCCCGCGTCTTATCAACAACAAATCCCCGCCCGCAACTTTACCTTACGGAGGTTCCCCAACAGCCTCGCTTTCCTTCACGTCAATTCAAGGCCAAATTACATTGTACAGCATGACACAGAGCAAAGAGTGCGTTACAACTATTCAGTTCCCCCAATCAGCACTCCAATTGACACGCACCCTATGACAGTCTCCCCCGCATCCGGGCATGTCTGTTCGACATGGACGGATTGCTCATCGACTCCGAAGACAAGTACACCATGATCACAAACGAGGTTCTTGAGATGTACGGCAAGCCCAAGCTTCCCTGGTCAATCAAGGCTCAGCTACAGGGACGCCCGCAACCGGAGGTACCACCGTGATTCCACAGTCCAGCAAATGTTCGAATTGAAGCAGTAATTAACAGTTTGGTCCAGGCAAGCAAGATCTTCCACGACTGGGCCAAGCTACCAATTACCCCCGAAGAGACTGCCGTAAAGCAACTCGCCCTGCAGCAAAAGTACTTCCCGCAGTGCTCACCCCTACCAGGAGTCCCGACTTTGCTAGCCAATCTTGTATCGACGCAGTCCACCAATCAGCCTGTCCACATCGCTCTGGCAACCTCATCGCACAGCAAGAACTTCGAGCTCAAATCAGCCCACTTGACAGAGCTCTTCGAAGCGTTCTCTCAACCCCAACGTGTTCTAGGCGATGATCCACGCATTGGAAAGGGTAGAGGCAAGCCGTTGCCGGACATTTACCTTCTGGCTCTGGAGACTATCAACGCGGACCTTCGCAGCAAGGGCGAGACAGAGATCAAGCCCGAGGAATGTCTCGTTTTTGAAGATGCTGTACCCGGTGTCGAGGCTGGTCGTCGTGCTGGTATGCAGGTTGTCTGGGTTCCCCACCCGGGTCTTCTGGAGGCATACAAGGGCCGTGAAGGAGAGGTGCTGGCGGGACGCACAGGGGCGCACAAGGAAGATGAAAAGACAGCAGCAGAGAAGGAAGCCGAGGAGTTACAAGCTTGGCGGGTTCAGGATGCTGGGAAGCCGGGTGATATTGGTGATGGATTTGGCCAAATTTTGTCTACTTTGGAGGATTTCCCATATGCACGATATGGTATTCAGCTGCCATGAAGCTAGCTGTATTCTACAATCTCTGAATACATTGATCCAATATTGAACCACACGCTGTTTACCATCATTTTCTGTAATCCTGATTGCTACTCTGGAACCTTACTAGTACAAAGTAATTAAGTACAGGTTGTGGATACTAGATGTTTGTTTTTTGAGCTTTGTTCGTTTTAGAATGTTTTTCTCAAATTTGTGGTCTTTCATAAATGTTTGAACATCCTGAACAACATCCTAACAACAAATTCATCAATCTCCATGCCCATACATCCATCTTGGTATCATCAGTCGTGGGTCATCAGTCATCGTTCATAGGAGGTTGTGGGCAGTCATCGGGTTGGCAGTCACCGTTGGATATCATGACTTGCCCGCGTTCTTCTTCGAACGCTTAGGAGGGCTGTCCTCCTTCGGTGGCTCGGAAGACGAGCGCTTCGAGGGACCCTCGTTCGCAAGAGATGCAATGGTCTCCTGGATCTCCTCGGGCGTCTTGTTCTTCGTCAGGGCCTTTTGCATCGCGAGGCGCTCTGCCTTCCGGTTATTGACGCCCTTGTTTTGCTTGATGCCCTCTCGGACCGCGACCGCGTTGTCCGCAATGGCCATCTGGCCAGTCGGGTTCACGACGCGCTTGGCCATGTTCTTGGACGTCTTGAGATAGGCCAAGACCGACATGTACCGATCGCCGAAGGTCTTGTATCGGCGCTTCGGGCTACCGGAGCCAACGAAGGTCTCCAAGCTCTGCTGGGCGAGAATGATGTCTTCCTAGAGAGGGAAATTGATGTCAGAAACGGGTGTATATAGTAATACCAGCACGAAAAGAAAGGAATTGCTTACCAGCTCGATCCAGGCACCCTGCTCGATGTGCTCGTCGGAATACGCTCCCTTCTTCCATGGGCTGATCGACTTGCTGCCATCGTCGGCGACTTCAATGTCCTTCATGGCATTCATCAGGTAGCCGACCAGGACTTGCTTTTCGATCACGGTTGTTGGAATGGTGCTATCATATTCGTGCGCACGAAGGTGATCGAATTGATCACGCTTGGCCTCCTCCAGAGAGGTGTAGAAAACCGGATGCGGCAATTGGCCCTGCGCTTGCATCTTCTGGACATCACTGAATGCGAACCCCATGACCTCCACAGCTGCGATTTCGGGCAAGTTATCTATGGCTGTGGAGCGTCTTGGTGCTCTCGGGCGCGTCGGAGTCTTGTAATTCCGGCCCTTTGTGACAACAGGAGTCGATACTGCAGAATCACAATCGCTGTCCGTTCCATCGGAAATGACAGAGGCAGGAGTGGCAGGTGAAGAACGCTTCCCAGTCATCGCACGGGTCTGTCTGCAAGGCGTTGCAGGAGTTGGGTTGTGACGCTTCCCAGGAGTTGAATTGCGAGACTTGGCCGGGGTGACCATTCCATAGGCCTCGGAGCCATGATTGTCGCCACTCTTCGCAGTGGTTGACTGACGGGGATTTCCCGGGGTCATCATTCCGTCAGAAACAGAAACAGTAGCATCTGGACTCATGGGTCGAGGATTGCCATAGGCCATCACGGGGAGATCGCTTGGGACCATTGGGCTCAGCTGAGGCGAGGCCATTGGGATGCAAGAAAAGTTGCCAGAAAGGGGAAACGCCTCCGGAAAATGAGCTTCATGGTGCGAAATCTCGGCGGTACAAGCAACGTCCATTCGGCCAGCGTGAGTCGAGGGAAAAGAAGAGCCATTAGTGGGAGAAGAAACACCGGTTTCCAGTCCGTATCCAGGATTGAAAGTCAACGAAGGGTCAATGAATTGCGGCAGGTGTTCGGTGCTTCCATCGCATCCGTAGCCGTAGCCGTAGCCGAGCTCATTGCTGTTTGTCGGGATGTGGAAGGAAGGATTGGTGGCGCGGAGAGAGAAATTCGAAGCTGGGGATTTGATATCGCCATGTCCGCAGAAAAATTCCAGCTCCTTCTGCATTTCAGCTTCAATCTCATCGGGCGAATAGCCCATCATACTGGACATTTGTTCAAGTACGGCACGATCAGTGGTCAATGACAGCATCGGGGGCCACTCGGCCATCGCGGTTTCCTCGAGATTGCGACCAAATGGTGTATAGACGGGACCGTCAGTTGAGGTGTCTTCGCTGTTGCTGTGGCAGCTGCGAGTGAAGTTGGTGGGGGAGCTGGTCGAAGCCATGACTTTGGCGACTATACGACACAGCGAGAATGAGAGAGAAGGTTGCGATACAGCAAGATGTTCAGGATAAGACGAAACAGTGGTGGTGATGGTACTTTCCAGAGAAGAAGATGTTGAGGATATTGGAATAGGAGAGGAAGAAGAAGGTGGAAGTGGCAGTGGGTGGAAAGTGGAAGTAGAAGGGGAAGTAGAAGGGGAAGTAGAAGAGGAGAGAGAGAGCAGAGCTGAAGATGTAGAAACAGCAGAATAGAAGGAGCGATTGAGAGAAAGGGTGGTTGTTTTCCGTACTTCCGTACTTGCTCAATGTTGAAAAAAAGAATTGACAAGAGCGAATCGCTATTGGCGGGAGCCAATTGGACTTCCGACTTGGCTGATGAGTGAATAGGTATGAAGCCTTTTGAAAATGCTCAATCTTCTCTATTGAAGAATCTCGTAAAGCATTGTTATTGAGATTGAAGCTTGAGGGCATTTCACAGGTCACGATTGTGAAGCCATTCCTAAAGTTCTATTGAACTGGACTCTGGTATCCCGATCTATAAAGCGGGGCCCCCTTCTCCGGATCGGCCAACCAGATGCGAGAGTGGACCAGGTCATTCACTGTGCCTTAGGTGACCATCCCCAAAAGGGGGCTGGTAATTGACTCATAGCTCCGATTGGGGGGGTTCTATTGGCTGAAATTGTCCTGTCCGATTGTATCGAGGTCCAAAGTGGGCCCGGGCTGTGGCTGGGGTTGCGATAGGCACCTGCCATTGGAGTGTTGCAATGGCAATGGCAATGGCAATGGCAGCTTCCGATTGTATTGTTGTTTTGAGTGTTTGTGACTGTTTGCCTGGAATATGGCACCTGCCAGTTGGCGTAGTGTGCCAATTGATGAGATCTTCCCAAGGTATCAAGGTATCAATGTACCAGTCGCATCTTCAGGACTCACTGTCCAATGTGGATAGTATCATGAGTCTTCCCTCGGTGTTGAGATTTCTTCTGAATTGTCTGCTAAGAATGGCATCGACCAGACCCTGAGGATATTTTCCCCCCAGTTTTCACTATTCTCACTCTTCGGTGAGTTGTCGTCGTCCGAATCATATGGTGTTTGTTGACGGCGCTGACCAGAGCAGCTGGCCACCACTGTCCCCATCGGGTGGAATACAGCGCCTGTAACAGCATCTGCAATATGTTAGCTTCGATCCTATCGCGGAAAATGCGAACTCTTTCTAATCCGGGCTCACCATCATGTATCCGAAACTCCGCATCGGGGTCTTGACGACCAACAGAATACGTGGGATCCCTCCAAACCCTCATGAAGCCATCAGTACCTCCTGCCCAGATCTCATGCGAGCCATCTTCGCCAGACGGAACAAGATCAATCTTCATGCGCTGGTTCGTGAACGCTTTTCGACCGCGGAGGTATCCCAGCATCTGCCCCGTCACTCGGATGTCATATACCAGAACACCGTCACTCTTGCGCTCCGCGATGTAAAGATACCTTCCACACGGGCTCCATAACAACTGCGTGACTCCCTTGCCACCGATATCCCGGTTTGCCTCGGTCTTTGCAATGTTGAATGTACCCAGACTTTCTCCGGCACCGTTCGAGCTATACAAGCCCACGTTCCGCGTAAACGTCCCGGCAGCTAGGATCCCATCACCGAGTGGATTACTGGCCATCGCCGACACGATACCTTTCATACCGACTCCCCCGCCGACCATCTGCTTCCTTTTACTCGGAATGGTCGGCATCCAGGATACAGGCCCACTACTACCGGTTCGCGAGATATCGAAGAGACAGATGAGAGAATCTGAGCCTGTGAGGAAGTGAGTTCCGCCAAGTGTCTTGGGGTAGAGGATGGAGTGGGGGGTGATGAAGGCTTCTGTCGTTGGGTTGACCAGTGAATAGCTTGCTACCAGCGATGGAGCGAGAGCAGATGACAATCGAATGGGATGATCTCGAACAGAAGACAGCAGCAGGGTGGTGGATGGATCCTGCAGGTTGAAGTGCGGGTAGATCGCCGTGGCATATGTTGGTTCCGTTGATGGAAGTGTCGAATAAGGGAAAAGCTCATGAGGCGAGGATGATTCAAGCAAGTCCGGAGGTCTGGAAGGTAAGTCAATTCCATTATTGTGAAGCGACGGGCACTGATCAACACACTTACAGGATGAATGTTCGAATGTGATGATCAGCCGAGTCCGTGAGAAGCGTTGTGCCGTCTGGAGACCTGGATGCGAGTGAATCTCGATCAGTGGACTGGTCATATATATATAGATGAAGTGAAACTGGCTATCGATAGCTTCAATGGCCGATGAAATCAAAGAAATGGGGGATTGTGCCTTCCAAAAAATAAATGTCAAGTGTGATGAAGGGCTTGTTTCGCTAGAATTGAAAAATATTCGGGAAATGATCTTACCATTCGACACTTTTGAAGTGATTCTCACTTGGAGGAGTGGAAGCCACACACTGAGGTTCATTGCTAGCCATTGTATAGGTAGAAGTAGACTGGACCTAATTCTTGGTCGATATGGACCGCTAACTAGCCAGGTTAACGTCTAACCGTGTGCATATGGAAAACCACATATGTCCAAGCGAACAAAATTGAAAATATCAATTTCCAGACCTAGCTTCGATCAACTATATAGTATTAGTGAAAACACTCCTAGGCAACAGAAACTGGGCGCATCATTTCAGTGACTGAACTTCTTCCGATGTTGGTTATTTCGGGCGGCGGAAAAACCCTCTCCGCAACGCCGCAAATCTTATCGGCCGCGCGCCTGCAGCTCAGGAAGGTTGTTGTTTCTCAAAGGGCGTGGTATTTGAACATTCCGATCGCCATGTTCGCCCCAAAGACCTCCGCTCCATCAACCGGTGGTCTTTCCATCAACACGAACTCCGCCAATTCTCTTTTGTGAGTGAGCCCCCTTGTCTGTCAGCTTGCCTCGCCCATACTCTGCTTCGCGCAGGTGCCCGAGCTCCATCCAAGCCCAAAAACATCGTTTGGTCATCGCAAGGGACTTGGGATTGAAGTTTTGCAGATCGGCACCCCTGTCTTTGTCACCTGCAAGGTGGTGCTGAAACATGAGCCGCAGGAGCAGGGCAAGCTTCATCGATATGGAACCCTTTGAGAGCTAACAAATGTCTTTTTTTCCCTACCAACAGTGGCAACAATACCCAAAACACATCTACGCCTACACTTGGCGGGGCGAGCACTGGAGGCGGTCTATTTGGAAATACGAATTCTGCGACACAAGCTAAGCCCGCTGGGGGACTGTTCGGAGGTGGAAACACAACGCAACCGCAAACCACCGGAGGCAGCATGTTTTCAGGCTTAGGCGGCCAGCAACAAAATAACACGGCTAGTACTGGAGGAGGCCTATTCGGAAAACCCGCGACCACAACTGCACAGCCTGCGTCGGGAGGTCTTTTTGGCACAGCTGGTGCCGGCGCCGGTGCTGGCACCGCGCAGACTGGAGCGACAGGAGGTGGCTTGTTCGGCGGGGCGGCCAACACCAGCACGACTCAGGCAGGCACAACTGGGGGTGGTCTTTTTGGCGGCGGTCTGGGTTCGACAACGCAGACCCAGCCTAAGCCAACTCTCGGTCTCGGTACCTCGACCACTGGAGGTGGCGGTCTCTTGTAAGTAACAAAAGTTCTATTGACCTCTCGGCTACAGACTTCTAATCATATGCCCCTGCAGCGGAGGTGGTGCTGCTCAAAGCACTCAACAGCAACAGCCAGCTCAGAAGCCAACACTCTCGCTCTTCGGCAACCCAGGCACAACACAAGGAGCCCCGCAACCACTACAGCAGAGTGTGGCTGGAGGAACGGTAGCTCCCGGCGTCACGCTCAACCTCGACGAGCTTCTGCCCACTACCAAGTTTGAGAGCTGTGCCGAACCGGTTCGAAAGGGAATCGAAAACATTGACAACTACATCCTGGAGCAGATTAAGCTATGCAATGAGGTCTCCGACATGCTCCCGACAATTGAATCACAAGGCTCGACAATCCCTAACGACGTGGAGTTCGTGCAGAGCAAGTTAGAGACGATCCAACATGCGCTAGAGAACGACGCGGGGGACATTGACCAACTACGCGGCCTCGTCACCCGGGATGCGGCCGAGGCGCAGGTTGCATTCCGTGCCATCGATACTCTGAAACTACCCTTGCAATACCAGTCCGCGGGTGGAAGCGGGTGGTGGTCCATGCAAGACCAAAAGGTCCCAGACCGACGCTCTACTCGCAAGAACACTCTTGCACTTCCCGACGACGTGGAGGCGGACCCCTCCACCGCTACAGCCGTCCATGGCGTGCCTGTCAACCTGGTTGACTACTTCTCCCACCGCTCGGACGAGATGGGCGGTGTCCTCGACCGCTATAAGGGCAACCTGAAGGAGATTGAAGACCATTTGCATGGAGTCGAGCTCACCCTGAACCGCCAGATCAGCGAATTTGTCAGCTCTCGCTCTCGCGATGGTGCCGGTCCTCGGAACCCCCAGTCTACTGTCAATGACCTGGCTGCTGTGCTGGGTGACGTTGAAGCTGGAATCCTGGGTGTCGCCAACCGATTGGGTGGTTTGTCCGAGCAGGTGCAGGAAGTTACCCTCGGGCCATTGGTAAATGGGGAGAGCAGACTTGGACTCTGAGACTCAGGGGGTCCGATCAATTATGTACACTAATGCAATGAGCGGTTTTTTAACACGAAACGATATTTTCCCTGATTACTCCAAGCTGCTTACGTGCCCAGAGCCTAATTTTAGTGACGTAGAACCGCGGTGTGCCAGTAGCAGTAGTAGTCAGCAGTGCAGTCCTATCGTGGCTCAACGGTTTACTTATTGATAACCCTCTGCTCGGAATTTAAGCACCCGGTATCAGACCATAGAGATCAAGCAAACCTTGGGAACTAGTCAAATATTCTAGAACAGACTAGGAGAGTATTTCCCATAGTTCTACACAGTACTATACTCGAGTCCCAGTGCTGTGGCGGTGGTAGGTGCAAAAGCCCGCAAGAACCCGCCACTCTTGCGTGATCGCCCCTTAGCGCGCAACTATGCGGCGGCTGCTTAATATCAACCTCCACCACCTCCACCACCTCTCCACGATCGTCAGAACCCACCGAATATCTTTGAACAAAGTCGTCGTCTCACATACGCAAGCTTGAAGAATGAATTTAAGAAATCAGCGGTGAGATCAATGTCTTGTAGAGTAGTGTCCACCAACCAGTTGTCAGCAATGGCAAATGTTGCCATCAACGTCAGTGAGATTGCGTGATCTGAACCCTTCCCTTACCCAGACTGGATTCTTTGGGGGAAACAGCAAGGCCTGAGGGAAGAATCCTCCTTAGCAATCAACGAATCCTGAGGAACCCGTAGGATCCATAATTCATCCCATTCCCCGCTGTCCCGTGTTTTAAGGTAATCCACTCGGTCGATGGCGCGATCTCCGTCGAGTCCGGCCTGATCACGCAAGATCATCAAGACAACATTCTGGGGTTGACTCATCCACAATGGAATCCAGTCAGGCTGTTCTCACGCCATCGCTCCTGTTTGTGGGTCGTCCCTCGTTATAAAGAGCCCAGGTCCTCAATCCGAACTTTTGTACCATTCTTCCTCCCCTTCGTCATATCAAAAGTTCCTGGTTCGAGCTCTATCTGATCAACAGTGGATCGATCTCAAACCTTCACCATGGCTCCTTCTTTGATTGACCCTATTCTAGCTTCGACAACCCCAAGCCTGGGTAGAGTCGTTGTGCCCTCCAAAGGCCTCATCGCTGGAGACAACAAGTTCGGCTATGTTCCTGGACGCACCATTGTTGAGAACCATGACAACTACCCCCATGAGGACTTCCTGCCTTCCTTCCCCAATGTTCACTGGGCTCCAATCGAGGAACACAAATATGAAGACCGTGGCCTCAAAGGCGACCCCAAGTTCCGCAACCTTCTGAAGGATGCCACAGCTGTCTTCGATTACAACCCGAAGATTGGTACAGAAATCCATGGTGTCGACTTGGCCACCCTCACGGACGCACAGAAGGACGATCTAGCACGTCTGATCGCCTACCGAGGAGTTGTTTTCTTCCGATCTCAGAAGCACTTCAATATTGAAGTCCAACGAGGTCTTGGCCAACACTTTGGCAAGCTCCACAAGGTATGTCAGATACAAGCATGGCATACCATACGATCATTGACTAACAATATCTAGCATGCAACCACATCTGTACCTCAGAAAGAAGGTCTCGAAGATGTTCATGTTGTTTACACTGGCGACAACTCCGGCGACAATCGTGCTCTGTTCAGTCCTAGCTTCTTGTGGCACTCAGATGTTACATATGAGATTCAACCACCCTCTTACACCTCACTGAAGCTCCTCGCGGGTCCACCTAGCGGCGGCGGTGGTGACACCCTGTGGTCGTCTCAATACGCCGCCTATGATGTTCTCTCCCCATTTATGCAGACCTACTTGAAGAACCTATCAGCCCTTCACTCCGCGAACATGCAAGCGAGTGATTCAAAGGCTCTCGGTCGACCAGTCCGTCGGGATCCCATCACCACAGTGCACCCTCTCATCCGAACAAACCCCGTCACCGGATGGAACGCCCTATTCTTCAACCCTGGTTTCGTGACCAAGATCATTGGCATTCCCAAGGCCGAGAGTGATGCCATCTTGAAATACCTTACCGACGTGATCGCCACAACACAGGAAATGCACGCCCGTTTCCAGTGGAACAAGGATGATGTTGCTCTCTGGGACAACCGCACAACCGTATGTTTCTCCTGCGAGCCAATTCAATCGATATATATCAAATACTAATAAGCTCTCAGACCCACTCCGCATCATACGGCTTCACTCCCCATCGACGACACGCAGTTCGCGTTGCAAGCCACGCCGAGCGTCCTGTCCTCGAGGCTTCCGGCAAGTCCCAGGAAGATGAGCTCAACGCTCTTTATGGACTGCCGGCAGTCAACAAAGATGGATCACGACAGTCCAACTACAATGACTGAACAAAGAGTACATCCCATCACATCCACATAGCGTTCCTGCAGCCAAATTAGCGAAAATTTATTCCCATCATTCTTTCTCGTGTTAGACGGACGGCGCCGGTCATCTGATCAGGTTGTAGTCTGACTATCACGAGCTAATCCATCAACATTCTCACTATCAAATTGCCTACGTACGTAATACCTTATTTTACTTTTCTAATAAAAGCATCCCGAGATAGAGATCCTGGTAGTAGACTAGTAGTACTGGTAATATCCCAAGCTAATTTGTCCTACCTCCGAGTCACTATGATGACTCCAGACTTCCAACTTGAAGTATAAGGGTTTCCGGGTACTTCCACCCGGGCAGGTGGTAGCCTGGAGATATCACCACTGTCATTTAACTCGAAGGCGGCAAATTGATCTCTCACTTCCATTCCTACCTCAACACTCGACCAAGCCATACGGTTCCAAGTCAAAGCGCACGGCTCCTCACTTAAACCACCGCATCTACCTGGACAATCTCCCACGGATCGAACCCTGGAGCCCGAGAGATATACATCCGTCTACACCTTGAACTTGAAACTAAACCATCCATCTCACCACGAAAATGTCGTCTTCAGAAACCCCCCAAGCCCCCCCAAGCCCCCCAAATCCCACAACTCCTCCGATACGCCCGACTACACGGTCTCGCAAGCGAGACCGATCCACCCCGAGAACTCCCAGTCGGTGATAATTGCAACCTTACCCCCGAACCGGGCTCTCTTCGGGAGCAGCAGTTCAAGGATATCGAGAATCGTTATGAAGAGCTCTACACGAGGTTCTGCAAAGGCCTCAATGAGCAGAAACTGGACATCTCGATGGCGGCAAAGGATCTCGTGGCTTCTGTTCTCAAGGAGGAGAGGGTGGATGGGCGGGTTGAATGGGAAGACATTCTTCCCAAAGCTCCTGCTACGGAAAGTCAAAACGATCTATTGTTCGTTGCGGAGAAGGAAGAGGATAAACACACGGCTAAGAAGGTACGTTTCTCGTCACGGAATGTCATGGTATATCCATTCAGCTAACTCATCCCAGCAGAAAGTATCTCGGACCTAGTCAAAGGACCAGGACAGGTGCAACAGGTGGGAATTGAGCAAGTCGGACGATACCACATGCCGGGGCAGTCTGTAACTATCGAGAGCCGAATTCGTGTACCAGAGCAGCTCAGTGTGGGCAATACCATCGGGTGGAGATAACTGTATCGAGTTACGCATGGAATATGAAGCGTGATGCCTGAGAGGAGATTCTTCTGAATTACTCAACTGCCACCCCGGCACATAACACAGGGAGAATGCGAGTTGTGATTTGTTTTAATAGTACAGTGGACAAAGACATGCAAGACCCAGGGCCAACCCAGCGCTTCAAAAACTCATTATGCAAAGGAACCCGAGGACGGGGCGTGCTGCGCATTACCCCGACCCCAGGTGTATTGGTGATTTCGGAAAAGTTTTTTCTTGGTTTTTTTGTTCTTGTTATTGAGATCGGTGAGAATGGTCGAGCTCGTGACTTCGCTTCGATATTATACACGTCGAATGCCATTCAGCCATCAAACTGGCGATTTCATAGCCGTGTAGATGGGAAGGGCCAACAACAGGGTTTGGGGGGAAGGCGACACGAAACGAGAAATTATGATAGTTGTCAATCCATTTACTCGTTGATCTTGGCCAGGATCCTGTTAAAGGGATTAGTAAGATCCAGAGATATGTATACTGAGATAGGTGCAACGTACTCGGAGTCCCGGAAGAGGGTGTACTCATCCTCGCCAACCTTGAGGGGGCTACCACCGAACTGATGAAAAAGGTACGTTAGCATTGACTCAAAAAGACCATAGGAGTTTGGCGTCGTCAAGGCGATGTGCTGCATCGCCGATGCGACGCGGAAGAACGCGGAGGCGAGAAGGGCGTAACGTACCTGGGGAATCAGAACCTTGTCACCGGAAGCGACACCCATGGGAAGGCGCTTGCCATCCTTGTCAAAGGCACCGGGGCCGACGGCGAGGACCTTGGCCTCGTTCTGCTCCTTGACACTGCTCTCAGGGAGGAAGATACCGGAGGCAGTCTTGGCCTCGGGCTTGATGCGCTGGACCAGGACGCGGTCCAGGAGGGGGGGCGAGAGACTTGATGTTACGGAGGACAGACTATTGCAGGATATGTCAGTATATTTGCGATTCGCAAAAGGCGGGTGTTGCGTGGTCGGATTGGAGGTAGGGGAAAAATGCGGAGGACCGTCAAGGTCCGATCAGATCAAGGGGATGGAGTTCGGCATAGTGATTGATAATGTGATATATATAAGCAGACAAGCTGCCCCGGGTTGTAGACGTACCATTGTGATGAGGGATGGAGTCGTAAGGCCAAGAAGTGATGTGCGTGGGATGGGGAGAGGGAAGAGAAAAGCCGTCCGGGGGAATCCAGACTTGAGAAATTTCCAGAATGCCAAGCCGCGCGAGCTCTCCCGAGGACCAACCCGACTACCCCGACTAACCGCATCCACTCGGAGTACACAGGGACTACAAGTCATAGGTACAGCATTTTGGTGGGAATCTTTAGTTCATCTCAACTTGAACTTTTACTCTTCTCTTGATCGATTGATGTAGACATCCAATTACACAACAGTTGGCGGGTTGTTTCCCCCATTCTACAGCTACAGCTCCGTTCTCCCGAGCCGAAAGCTCAAATACAAATACCCCGGCTCTCACTGGCTCGAAAGTGAGATCGATAAATTTCTCATAAATTAATGCTTAAACGCCACAGTACCCAATTGCTATCCGAAGGACACCACGAAACCCATGATAGGAGCTGCAAGCCCGATGCGAGAAACTACCATCTCCTCCCGCGGCCGCGGCCTCCGCCTCCATAATTCCCACGCTGTTCGTAGCCTCCGTATCCCATCTGCCCCTGCCCTCCTTGTCCAAAACCGGGTCCTTGTGCCTGGCCGCCAAACCCAGGTTGTGCTTGTGGAGCACCGCCACCGGGCTGCCCTCCCATCATCGCTTGCGCATGTTGCATGAACGCCATGGGGTCCATAGACGAAGGGTCTATTCCCTGGGCCATCATGGCCTGCAGCATACCCTGCATCATGTCTGGGTTCATGTCGGGCATACCGGGCATACCGGGCATGGCCTGCGGGGCGTTGGCCGCTGGAGCTGGTCCTGGGGTGCGCCGGGCATTGGGGGCATGCCCATTCCCAAGAAGGACTGCATGTCATCCATCTGCCTCTTCTGGTCCACAACGTCCTTCCGCGTCCCTTGTTGTTTCAGGCAGTAGCTAACCCAGGTGAATTCGTCAAAGCCGTAATTAAAGAAGTCTGAAACATCGGAGCCCGGACGGCGCCAAGGCTTGTCGTCTGTGGGAAAGTCGACGTCCATATCGGTAGCCATGATCGGCTTCCCTGTTGTAGGGTGCACAGGGTTCCCATTCACATCAATTGTAGAGGTGTGGATTGCTGGATACGCAGAGCCAGGCTTCTGGGGCGCAGTAGGCTTTGTGGCTGCCGCGGCGGGTGCGGTCACAGGAGTCGAGGCATCTAGACGAGGTGTTGCAGAAGGAGTGCCGGATTTCGAGACGGCAGATGAGTCGGCTGAGGAAGGCCGTTGTGGCTCTTGTCGTAAGCTTGCATGGCGCGGGTGGGAGCTTCAAAATGTTAGTTAACAGGACGTGTCGCACGCGCACCGAGGGCAGCTTACGCTTCTTGAGGAGGCGCATCAGCAGGTGCTTCTGTGATAATATTGAAATCGTCCTATGAAGGGTTAGCATATGCCGCGACAATATTAGGATTAATCACGAACGTCGTCTGATTCAACCTCGACCTCTTCTTCTTCCATCTCGTCGCTCTCCTGCGGTTGGTCTGAGGCTGCATTGGCGCCATCGTTCGCAACTTGAGTGGTCGACACCGAGTCGACGGGGTCATAAAAGTCGTCTTCTTCTTCGTCCATGGTTAATTGTTTCCAGTCTCGTGAAATGACAGCAAAAAGTGTAGCCAAAGGATCAAGTTGCTCCCGCAAGAGCGTATGAGCGAGAGAGTTTGGACTGTTTGCACCGCCTTTGGTCGGCGACGTTGGAAGTAGACAAGAGCAGGAGTTCGAGAGTTACGCTCACTTCCACAAAGCAGGCAAAAATAGAATTTTGACTTCAAGTAAATGTCAGTTCAATTTTTTTTGATTTGTTTTCTTGGTTTGAAAATATGCACAATCTCTGTAGTGCAAGTATGTTTGGTTTACCACCTCAAATGCGCAGCATCAACATTGCCTCCGACCTAGGAGAGCATTCGAATTATCAATCACACTAAGACTGGATCGAATATACAAATAGACAAAGTCAGCGTTTGAAGTACCAGAAATTATCATAATCCCAGTCACCTCTCGATATATGTAGATCCGCTACCTTCATACTCCCCAAAACGGCGCGATCACGTGGTCTCCCGCAAAGACGTCAGAAGGCGGGAGTATAATATACTATCCGTGAACTTTCTATAACTACATCAATCGAAGCACCATTTGGCCGAAGCTGATCCAGTGGTCAATATGGCATCCGAACAGGACAGCCAGGCTTCCACGCCCCGGTCCTTCGCGGGCCAAAGTGCCTCCGCGGAGGAGATGCTCAAGTCGCAAACCGTCGGTCTCGTGCACCTGTCCGACTTTCGCAAGCGACGCGCAGAGGTCCTGGAGCAGAAAGAGCGCGAGGCGCATGATAAGTCGTTAGGGCGATTGGCATCCGGTAATTCAAGAAGTGCAACTCCTTCCACAGGCGACGTGACTGACGGGTAAGTTTTTCCAAGGCGCCTCACTTCCGTCTCATCTCCCCGCATAAACTGATCACAGCACCATAACACAGGTCCTCGACACCGAAGAGCGACGCTCCGCCCAAGAAGAAGAAAAAGAAGGCTCTCGCTAAAAGCAAACTCTCGTTTGGCGACGATAACGAAGATACAGGGGAGGAATCGGCCGTCGCCACGCCGCGCGACTCCAGCATCTCCCGATCAGGCTCAAAAACACCCAACGATGAAGGCACACCCTCCTCTTCGATTCGCATGAAAGCGAACCCCAATGCTAGGGCTCCTCCCAAGGCAATGACCAAAGCATCTATCGAGGCCGAGGCGGCGACACGCGAGGCACTGCGCAAGGAATTCATGGTGATGCAAGAGGCAGTCAAGAACACCGAGATCCTGATTCCATTTGTGCTCTTTGACGGGACGAGTGTTCCGGCAGGATCGGTCAAAATGAAAAAAGGAGACCCTATCTGGCTGTTTTTGGACCGGTGTCGCAAAGTCGGTGCTGAGCTGGGAGGCCGTACTGCCAGTGGTGCAGCAAAGGCTCGCCGAGAATGGGCGCGAGTCAGTGTTGACGACCTGATGCTAGTCAAAGGCGATGTTATCGTTCCTCATGTAAGTTCCACTGTCTTTATTTTCTGGGGCATCGACTAACTCTTTTCAGCACTACGAGTTCTACTACTTTATCGCCAACCGCGTACAGAGTTTCTCGAAATCTGGTGGTCTATTGTTTGATTATTCGGATAAACCACCCCCAGCACCATCGAACGATAAGCTTCCCGAGGGTCTGTATCACCCCAACGAGGAGAAACTCGAAGGCTCCGACAAGGACGCTGCAGAGACCAAGGTGGTTGACCGCCGGTGGTATGAAAAGAACAAGCATATATACCCGGCTAGTCTCTGGAACGAGTATGAGCCTGGCAAGGAGTTTGAAGAGAAGATGACATCGACACGAAGAGATGCGCAGGGAAATACGTTCTTCTTTTAGTTGATTTTTTTGTTAATATCTTAAGGATATTTTTGGATTGCATAGGCGTTGTGAGATAAAATAGATCTACTGAAATGATACCACTTGGCTCTGCACTTGAGGGACTTCACCTCGGGTGACCGCGCCACCTCCCAACTTCAATTTCAACTTGAACTATACCTTCCCCCAACACATTGGAACACGCACAATGGACTTTCATATGAGATGTAATTCTCTCAAATGCCGGGCCCAGCTGAAGGAGAGAGCGGTGGTCACAACATGCTCGTGAGTCGCTCAGCTGGTTGGTTTAGGCTTCACTGATTTCGCAGTCACATCTTCTGTCTAGGATGCGCTGGCGACCTTGGACTTGCACATCCCACCAACGGCGACCGTCGTTGTCCCGCCTGTTCAACTGTCCTTTCCAACCCCGATGATGCAGTTTCAACCATTTTAAATCCCACGGAGGACTACAAGACAAGCGTTCTAAGTGGCCTCGATCCTAATACCATTATGGAGTGCGCCGGGCGTGCCTTGGGATTCTGGGCATATCAGAGCACGCAAGAGATGTATGTCATCCGTCAATGATATGTTGGAGGTTGTTGCGACTAATTGCTCCAGATTCTACCAAGAATTTCTCGGGAAAAGTCTCACTGAGAAATACGCAAGTCTGAGTATGCAGATGGACAAAGTAATCCACAACGCCAATTCCGAGATCGCAACTCTACACGGCAAAGTCTCCGGTTTGTCTCGTATACTTTCTCTATCCTGTTCCAGCTAACGTAGTATGCAGACCTGCAAGGTGCACACGAACTACTGGAGAAGAAGAATCAAGAACTGATCGACCTCAATCGGGAACGGTCCAAGAAACTCACCCAGATCACAAATCTCTACAGTATCCTCAAAGCGCGCGCAATGCGAACCCAATTGCAAAATGCGGCCTCGGACACGGTCACTCAGACCATCAACACATTCACATCTCGAACCGAACCTGTTGATCAAATAACTCACACCAACAACCAAACCTATCCAAAGGTTCGAGCTCCTGGTGGTGGACCAAAGACGCCGGTCTTTCCAATGAGTCCTGAGGGCGTTGAACAACTCCATCGGTACCAACGAAGTGGCACCGGCAGCTCCAAACAAGCGGGTAATAAGAGATCTGGCGGGAAATCTTTGGCGGCCCCAGCAGGTCGATTGAACTGGAAGTCGCCCGGGGGTGAGTATTCATGGTTATTCGATTGGAATGGGGTTGAGTTAACTTTGTTATTTAGTCCCACCTCCCATGATCCCACAGCACCGTACTCGTCTTCCGCAGACCTCTCGGCAATCAACTATCATGTCAAACCTCCCATCTGGGGAAGCTATGCTTGCGCGATTCGGAAATTGATTTCTTTGACATTACTTTTCTGTTTACTTGAATGATTCTGGGATGATAATCGGGTTTTAAAATCGTCAACTAGTCTAGTATAGGTTATGGGTGGAGATATGACTTGTAGAGCACCCCAGGGCAGACTACGGTCGATGTATTGCGGGGTTTTCAATATTAGTATCGGATCGAATATATTTCTTCCTGTCAGTGCATTATTGGCCGTGGATTCTCCATTGGAGTTCTACTACTAGTATCTTTTGGAATTTGGAAGTTTTCGATTACTGGTATCGTGGGCTAGTCGCAATATAAATCAGACAAGTGTGTAGGTACCAGGTATTAACTAGTGATAATTTTACCCAAGTACACAAAAGCCATTCTTGAGCTTGAACTACAAGATTATTTAGTATTTGCATCTGCAATGCGAAGATTCAAGCTATCACAAAGGTCTTCGATCTCAAAAATTGCGCTCCATCTACCGTGATTGCGGGCGAGTCCAGACATGCACACTCGAAAGGAAGCGTAACCGCCCGCTGTAATTTATCCCGCCAGCCGCCAGCATACTTCAGACAACCCATCCGGGAACTTGATAGTGATTTATTTATATCTTTTGTCGAATCCGTCTGCGCAAAGCCATCCAAGGCAAGACACTCCTCATATATCACACCTTTATCTAAACTATTACTGTTACATCCCTGCCCTACCAACCCCATCCGGAAAGGCTCCTCTCGTCCGGCCTCCCGCTCGGTTCAGCGGAAGTACATCCGCAACCACAACCGCACCCTCGGTCCAAGACACAATCCAGTCCACAACCACGAACACACGACCCCCAGCCCCCTCAAGCACGGTCCCTACCTTATCTCTTGATCCGTTCCTGACGATCGTATCGCGGGAGCTAAATAGCTTTTCTGGAATCCGGGGTGCAGGATCCATTCTAGCTGGAGCTTGTGTGGAGTCTGTATATACATACACTGGTATTTTTGGTATTGTATTTTATTTTTTGGGCGTCTCCGGATGCGATGCAGTTACTACTGTGGCTTGAGGGCAATTCCAGGTTTACTTTGCTTTATGAATGTAACACGCCAATGGCTAGCTGTTCGTTACAAGTAGTAGAAGATTTGATTTATTCTGTATTCTCAACTGCGAAAATCTTCCTACTAGTAGCGACGACTGTACTCTACATCTCATCTACACTCTACATTTGAAAAATTCTCGTATCATCTTGATAAATTATTCGGGACATCACGATCTAAATCTCCCGGGTGAAACATAAAAGGAAATCTAATCATGTACGTCGGCACCAAGCATCCGGTCTTTTCGTCCGGGCGAGAAGAAACGCCATACCCTCGATTAGAGGGGGAGAGAGGGCCAGGGACCCACCCGCTTCTTGCGAGGGGACCCCGCCACAAAGTTCATATCATGCCATGCATTATACCACAAACCCATGCAACGATGGAGACGCTGCAGAAACAAGAAAACAAGGGACAAAACACCAGTGTGGGGGGAGCAACAAGTCTTTTTTGTGCGTATCACATTTAAGCACCGAACTCCTTGATGTCGGTCTTCTTGCCCTGCAGAGCCAGCGGCACGATACCGCTGACGTGCATCTCAGGGCCGTACACGTGCATGTCCAGACCCAGCTCGACACCGGCGGATTTGATGTTCTTCAGACCCTCCTGGTAGTTGGGGCCAGCGCGGCGGACCCAGATCTGGACCTTGTGCTCAACGAGGACGGGGGCGACGTCGCGGATGGCGCGGATGACACCCTTGAAGGTGGAAGCAACGTTGGTGAAGTTGGCAATACCACCACCAATGAAGAGGACCTTGCCCTCGGGGTGCTGGGGAGCACGCAGCATCAGGTCCAGAACGGTCTTAGCGTAGGAGTAGGTCTGGCCCTCGGAGGGAGCACCGGAGTACTCGCCGTAGTTGGCAAGCTCAGAGACGAAACCAGCGGAGGCAATGGCATCGGCGTAGACGACGGAAGCACCACCACCGGCAACCAGGGTCCAGACACGGCCGCTGGCGTTCAGAACGGTCAGCTTCAGGGAAGCACCGGTCTTGGCGTCCATATCGGAGATGAATTTCTCCTCCTTGCTCATCTCACGACCGAAGGGAGCGGGGAAGTCAATTGGCGGACCAGCGTCAATGTTGACCTTGCCATCGGTGGAGGCAATGGAGGGCAGGCCCAGGGCGGCGGGGCTGCGGGCAATAGCCCACTTGGTGCCGCACTCGAACTCGGCAGTCTGGTCGAGCTTGGCAGCCAGATCCAGGAAGTAGACCTCAGCGGAGGTAGCATCGGCGTTGGGGATGACAACCAGGGGGTTGATCTCGAGGTAGGTGAACTGGGAGTCGACGTAGACGGCGTACAGGCGGACAATGAAGTCAACCAGGACGTTGTGGAGACCCTGGGGAACCTTGCTCAGAAGGCCAGAGGCAATCTCCTCGTTGGAGGGGAACTTCTTCAGGTCGACGGGAATCAGGAGCTTCTCGGCCTTAGCATCGACATCACCGACATCAACACCACCCTCGTGGTAGAAGAGGATCCAATCACCCTATTGTTCTCGAGTTAGTTTTGATGCAATTGGAGCAATTGGGGGATTATGTCCCCTCCAAGAGTATAATAACACATACCTCACGGACGGAGTTGATGCAGACGTAGGACTCAGTTTCTTGAGCGTGGGGAACCATGGGCTCGACGAGGAAGTTACGGAGAACACCAACGATGTGCTCAACCTGGACATCCTTGCCAGCGCGAGCCTCAACCCACTCACGGGCCTCAGCCCAGGTCTTGTTCAGGGCAAGCAGACCGCTCTTACCACGGCGCTTGATCAATTGATCGGGCTTCGCGACGAACTTGGCGCCGGCAGTGAGCAGCCATGGGTAGTTGACCTCAGCCTGGTCAAGGACATCCTTAGGGGCCTTGTCCTCGGGGAAGTGGAGGACGGCCAGACGAGGGGGGAGGGTTGTGTGTGGAGGAGCGAGGCAGAGGAGAGGGCTTGATGACGGGGGCGCGAGTGAGGTGGTAGTTGAGGATGGCCTTGCCGTCGGCCTCGAAGATTGACTTGGCGGACATGATGTGTGTATGTGATGGAGGATTGTTTTGGAGAGAGAAGTGGAAGGAGAGAAGAAGGGGAGGGGAGGTTATTTTTTTGGGATGGGGGGGAGCAAGACTGGAGAGTACAGCGTAGAAGGGGAAAAGTTGTTCTGGAGAGTACAGCGTACAATTCAGGCAGGTACGGTTGAGGGAACAAAAAAAGGTGGAAGGTGGGGTGGGGTGTTGGGGCAGGTGCAATGTAGTCGGTGTACGGAGTACGGAGTACGGAAGTAGTATACTTTTAACACAATATGTGTGTGTACTTGGTAGAGTACAGAGGTTACTCTGTAGAGCTCAGCATGTATCCCCCCCCCCACTTTGCCCCTCGTTTGTTGGGTTCACCGCCGGATTGATCGACTGACTTTTGTACTCTCCGAAATTTATACAGGAGTATGCACAGTATAGATATAGAGGCAAGGTTAGATCCAATTGGATACTTTAAGTAAATATATTCTAGATAATGATAAAATGTACAATGTACAATGTACAATACACAATATAGTGTACTACTATACTGTACTAAGTATAGAGCACTCCGTGCTCTTCACTCGTACGGTAATTACCGGTGGGGCGGTATCACTACTACCCGTACTTTGGGGACCGCAACTGTTGAGCTGCTTAGCCCCAGTCTGGGAGGAGCTGTACACCGTACTTGCGAGTATTCATCCCGCGCCTTTTTTCAGTTGTCTTCTCTCCTTCCCCTTCCCCCTCCTCCTTTCTCCATCAATTCATCTTTCAGCGGGTGTTTAACACATAGGTATGTTCCTCTCTTTCGCTATCCTTCATCCCAATTCAAAGACATCTCTCTTGCCCTCGCCGCATTCTACAACCCCTCCAACCCACACATCCCACCAACCACTATTCCACGATCGTGTGAACCTCAATTTTTGACTGGGAACGCCTTGATAGATTCACAATGCCTGCCACTTCACTGTCCGCCGGCGGCGCCAACGCCAACGACAACATCACACGCTTCGAGCCTCCCAGCCGTGCTCTCTCTCCCTCAACCACGCCCTCTTCCACAACAAGACACGATGCTTCGTATAGTAAGTGAATCCTCCCAATGGCCGGTCCAGCCGGTCTAGCCCTATCAAACCGACTCCCAATCTAACAATCATCCAGTGGCATGCAACCCCGAGCCGTGCAGGGCATGCTCGACTTTGACTTCATCTGCAAGCGCTCCACCCCCTCCGTGGCCGGTATCATCTACACCTTCGGCGGTCAATTCGTCAGCAAGATGTACTGGGGTACCAGCGAGACCCTCCTCCCCGTCTACCAGGACGTTGAGAAGGCCATGGCCAAGCACCCCGATGTTGACACTGTTGTCAACTTCGCCTCTTCCCGTTCCGTCTACACCTCCACTATGGAGTTGATGAACTGCCCCCAGATCCGCTCTATTGCCATCATTGCCGAGGGTGTTCCTGAGCGTCGTGCTCGTGAGATCCTGGTTGCCGCCAAGGAGAAGGGTATCACCATCATTGGCCCTGCCACCGTCGGTGGTATCAAGCCCGGCTCCTACAAGATCGGTAACACTGGTGGTATGATGGACAACATCGTCGCCTCCAAGCTGTACCGCAAGGGTTCCGTTGGCTACGTCTCCAAGTCCGGTGGTATGTCCAACGAGCTGAACAACATCATCTCCCAGAACACCGACGGTGTCTACGAGGGTGTTGCCATCGGTGGTGACCGTTACCCCGGTACTACTTTTATCGACCACCTGATCCGTTATCAGGCCGAGCCCGAGTGCAAGATTCTCGTCCTCCTCGGTGAAGTCGGTGGTGTTGAGGAGTACCGCGTCATTGAGGCTGTCAAGAACGGCACCATCACCAAGCCCATCGTCGCCTGGGCTATCGGTACTTGCGCCAGCTTGTTCAAGACCGAGGTTCAGTTCGGTCACGCCGGTGCCTCTGCCAACTCCGAGCTGGAGACTGCCGTCCACAAGAACAAGGCCATGCGTGAGGCTGGCATCCACGTTCCCGATACCTTCGAGGACCTTCCCCAGACTCTGAAGGCCGTCTACGACGCTGAGCTCAAGAAGGGCACTATCACCCCCGCCCCCGAGCCCATTGTCCCCAAGATCCCCATTGACTACTCTTGGGCCCAGGAGCTGGGTCTTGTCCGCAAGCCCGCTGCCTTCATCTCTACCATTTCCGACGACCGTGGCCAGGAGCTGCTGTACGCCGGTATGCCTATCTCTGATGTCTTCCGTGAGGACATTGGTATCGGTGGTGTCATGTCCCTGCTGTGGTTCCGCCGCCGTCTCCCCAAGTACGCCAGCAAGTTCCTGGAGATGGTTCTTATGCTCACTGCTGACCACGGTCCTGCCGTGTCCGGTGCTATGAACACCATTATCACCACCCGTGCCGGTAAGGACCTGATCTCCGCGCTGGTCTCCGGTCTCCTGACCATTGGTTCCCGCTTCGGTGGTGCCCTGGACGGTGCCGCTGAGGAGTTCACCAAGGCCTTCGACAAGGGTCTCAGCCCCCGTGACTTCGTCGACACCATGCGCAAGGAGAACAAGCTCATCCCCGGTATCGGCCACAAGGTCAAGTCCCGCAACAACCCCGATCTGCGTGTCGAGCTCGTCAAGGAGTTCGCCAAGAAGCACTTCCCCAGCACCAAGCTGCTCGACTACGCCATTGCCGTCGAGACTGTCACCACTTCCAAGAAGGACAACCTGATTCTGAACGTCGACGGTTGTGTTGCTGTCTGCTTCATCGATATGATTAAGAACTGTGGTGCTTTCAGCCCCGAGGAGGCTGAGGACTACCTGAAGATGGGTGTCCTGAACGGTCTCTTCGTTCTCGGCCGTTCCATCGGTCTGATTGCCCACTACCTCGACCAGAAGCGCCTGCGTACCGGTCTGTATCGTCACCCCTGGGACGACATCACCTACCTGCTCCCCACCCTGGAGAAGGGTGGTAACGAGGCCGTGTTGAGGTCAGCATTTGATTTTCTTGCACATGACATGATTTGCAGCGCCGTCCGCCGGTGGCATATAGTCCGTCTCAAAAGGACGGTGGAGTTTGGTTGATCCCTTGTGTTTTGTTTCTCAGCAGTTTTGTATCCATGTACTGCGCTACCCAGCATGACCGGGTTAACGGTGGGCGATGCCAGGGCGCTCGCCCATGGGAAAAACGGTGCAACGCCCGACTACGGATCTTGATTTAATTTGTTTAGATGACTAGAACCTCTTTGGGGACCTAATGAACGTACCCATTGCATGATGACATTATATTCTCCGTTTTTTTTTTAAGTATCGTCAGTTTCAGATCGTAGAATTTCCTAGTAGTTCAACAAATGAATACAAGTCTACTCCACTTAAAATATGCCTTTCTCACTATTGTTATGGCATTGCGTTGAGGGTCGGTGCCAGCCTGATGGTCCTCGCCGCCCTGTGCCGGAGCATTCTTATCGGCTTATCAGCACCCGCAACTTCACCTCCAATTTTGCTCCGCAGCATTAACACACCCACCTTAAACAGAACTACAATACACAATGGTGCGTCTTAAAAACCGATATCTCCTACTCGACATCCTCTATCCGGACCCAACAACATGGCCTGCCTCAACCCAATCCACGAAGAACAACCCGAAATCCGCGCAGCTGGCCATCCACTCCCCGACCTCTGACGCGTTGACGCCGGGTCTTCTCGCCAAAATGGTGCGCGAGGAAGTGGCCGAATTATATGGAGATTGGGGCGTTGGCAAGCTTGGTGGTGCCTCTGCTACTGGACTTAATGGTGTGTTCTTAGTTTAGCCTTTTGCGACAAGAGGTTGCTTGCTTTCATCACTCATCACTCTTTGTCGAAAAAGCTTTCATACATGGACCCAGGCTGATTTATCTACAGTGAAATATCTCTCCCCGGCAACCTCGACCGCCATCCTCCGCTGCCCACGTTCCTCATTTCGAATCGTTTGGTCCGCACTTACATACATGTCCCACGTGCCAGAGCCCGGGGCCGCAGCACAAAAAAGGCCCAATGGTGGCCGTGAGCGGCCATGCGTATTCCGCGTGCTGAGAGTATCCGGTACGATGAAGAAGGCAGAGGAGGAGGCTATTCGCCGAGCGAGAAGGGAAATTGTGCGTATTCGAGGTGTGGAAGAGAAGGGTGTGTTGGGAGATTTGATATCCGGCGCCGAGGATGTGAAGGGCCAGGTTGATCGCCCTGTGCCTGTTACTAAGGATATTATGGATGACAGTGAAGACGAAGATATGGATGATGATTGAGCAGGGTTGCTCTGCTTTTGATTGTATATTAATGATACCCCACCTGAAATGCATATCGTACACTGAGTAGTATCTGGATGAGCCAGGTCAAGCTGCAAGTCCCGGCCAAGAACTACTGTAACTATTTCGTATATCATGTCTTTCGTCGTACCTTTATCCCGCTATCCGGCAACGGACCTTTCCAACCCGCCATATCCTCATCCCCATCTTCATCCCCATTCAAGGCCTGGTCCTGGGCCATAGCCTCATCATTGGCCGCTTCATGCATACGAGCCACTTCTTCCAGCTCCGCCCTCTCCAAATCATCATACTCATCCTTGTTATCCAACCACCGTTCCTGAACATCCCTGACATCCGTTACGCCCATACCCTCCCGCACTGCAACCTGCCAAACGGTATCATTCGCTCCCTCGGCCGACCCAAATGCATACCCAGAGGCGCGATCAATAGACCTGAGCAAACTCATCATACTCTTCTTATCCTCGACGGCCAGCGTCTCGAAAGCGACGAGCCCGAATTCCTCAACCAGGTCCATGATGGCTGTATTGAGGGCGCCGAACTTGCTGTGCGGAAGACGCGACGACTCGGATTCCAGGTGCGGGAGGAGAAAATTGAGGTCTTGCACTTCGGTGTAGTAATCTAAGTTGAAGGGGAGGTCGGGGTAGTTGGATAGATTGTCGATTTTTGTAAGGACGTTTAAGTGTGGCAGGTCGAGTTGGAGCATGGCGCGGAGGGAGAGGAGGAGGGCGGATATATACATTGATGGTAATGTGAGGGCGTAGCTGTCGACAAGGTGAATGACGATTAACTGAGTAGGTGTGTTAGTGATGTCGTATCTTCAGGAGAGCCAGAGTCAAACGAACCCGATATCCTAGCTTCTGGATCTGGAAGAAGATATTCCGCAATGAGGCGTGATGCGTAAAGAGCTCGACTTGACCGGGACAGTCGAACAGAACATAATCATCTATATGCCGAGTATTCAGCGAACACATCCCATATAAAAATTTACCAATATAGTTGTGAACAAACCTCCAAGCTCCTTCAACCCCGACTCCAACCAAGAATAGTTCTCCTCCAACTCCTCAAGGGCATATAGTGTCGCACCATTCGGCCCAAGCTTATCTTCATCCATGATTTCTTCGAGAGTGACGAGATCGCGCACGTCCAGCGCACACGGGTAAGAAGTCCTATCGTTGGCGGGGTCAAGATTCACGATGGAGCATTTGCGCCCGATCGCCCCGAGGAACTGGTGCATTCCATTGCAGTAGGTGGATTTTCCTGCACCCGGTGGGCCGATGACCAATTGTGCGAAGGGCATTTTGGAGAATATGGGCGCCTCGGTGGTAGATTGGAGAGCTGAGAGCTGCGGCGCGGAGGCGAGGCGGGATGTTAGTTTGCTAAGGTTATTTTCTGGATAAGCTTGGATGATAAAGCAGACCCACCCTCAAGCGCGAGCCAATCACGACACTGGAGTATCTGTACAGTCACCTCGATTATATTGCCGTCTCATGTGCGTAGGTCATTCACTGCTAGATCATGTCAACTTGCCAATGAAGGGAATATGGGGTCAGGCTTTGCGTATATGATTCCCTGCTTGACCCAGAAGAGTCATCCTGCAATGCTAACTACTGCATAGGTTCGAAACACTGTGACTTCCAGCCCTAGAAAACAGTACGCCTAGAGCCCATAATCCGCTTTGAAAATAATAATAATAATAATATAGGTCACATGAGTAGTCTAAGGTTCTGTTCTAGGACAAAGACCGAAAATCAGTTCCAAACGTGAGATGTCTCCGATTTCACGACCACGATAGGCCGCTAGTTGTCATTTCGTAATGGTGTTGCAGCGTGCATCCAAGTCTTGTCCTTCCATAATAGGGGCAAAAAGCTATTTAACAAAGGTTACTGCTTTGGTAAGCAGGCTAATTACTAATTGCCAAGTAATAGGCAATGTATCCGACTAGTAATGGTAACTCTGTCGCGACATCCGATCTACTCCGTAATCTAGGCCAAATAAGAACTTCATCGCACACTTCATGGATCAATATTTATCGTAATACTCTTGGTCTTGAAAGGTCAGAGTTATTATGATCTCACCCCGATATTATTAGTCAAAAGACTCACCTCGAGATATTCTTCCACTCCAAGCGTTGATCCTTCGCGGCCCTGGCCGCTCTCCTTGACACCGCCAAATGGTGTTGCTGGGTCGCTGATAAGTCCAGTATTCACACCGACCTATGAAAGTTAATAACTGAACAATTGCAGATATTCAATCCAAGTTTCACCTACCATGCCAACCTCCATCGCTTCCGCAACACGCCAAGCTTGTGCTATGTTTCCTGTGAAAAAATAGGCAGCGAGCCCAACTGGCACAGAATTGGCCATCTTAATGACGTCCGCTTCAGTATCGAACTTGATTATTGGCAGAAGTGGCCCGAATGTTTCCTCCCGTGCGCACAATGCGTCTGACTTCACATTTACGAGTAGAGTCGGCTCACAGAAACTTTCAGAGAGGCCTTTCGGCCGCTGTCCTCCAACAAGAACAGTGGCACCGTTCATACAAGCATCTTGAACATGAGCCAGAACCTTACCAACCGCTTTTCCGGAAATCAGAGGGCCCATAGTTGTTTTTGGATCCTCACCAGGGCCAACGACTAAGGCCTTGACTCGATCCTGCAAGGCCTGAACGAGACGATCATGAATACCTGCCTGCACATATACCCTGTTTGCACAGACACATGTTTGACCCGACAGACGGAATTTACTTTGCATTATCCCTTCAACAACCTTCTCAAAATTGGGCTCAGCGTCATCAAACACAAGGAATGGCGCATTTCCCCCAAGTTCCATGCTGGTCCGTTTCACGGTGGATGTACATTGGGCTGCAAGAAGCTTCCCCACGGCAGTGGAACCAGTGAACGAGAACTTGCGGATATCGGGATGCTGCGTTAAAACCTTTCCGACTTCAATTGTATGAGCCATAGTAGTCACAACGCTGAAAGACCCTTTGGGGAACCCAGCACGCCGCGCCAACTCTGCCAGGGCTATTGCCGTCAATGGTGTCTCAGCGGCTGGCTTCAGGACACAAGGACAGCCTGCAGCCAACGCGGCTCCGACCTTCCTCGTTACCATTGCAGCAGGAAAGTTCCAAGGTGTCACTAGGCCAGCAACTCCGATAGGCTGCTTGATGGTGACAACACGATGGCCAGCATTAGAGCTGGAAATGACCTGTTCGATCTATATTAGGAAACAAAAACAATAATGTTCGCAAAAAAGCGAATTCCTACCTGGCCGTTGAGGCGTTGGGCTTCACCGGCAAACCGCCAAAGAAATTCGGAGGCATATTTTACTTCCCCTTGCGCTTCTGCTAGCGGTTTGCCATTTTCGCGAGTGATGATGCGACAGAGATCATCAGCTGCATCATTCATCAATTCAAACCATCTTTGTAATAATGCTGCTTTCATTCTGCCTGTCATCGCTCGCAACTCGGCTGCTGCCTTCACGGCCTCGGCCACAACTGCGGTACAATAAGCAGCATCTTGATCAGCCACATGAGCAATCGGGCTCAATGTCGCTGGGTCTGCACATGATGTCAGCCATATTTCATCGTTATCTTTCCTTTGAGGACATTTCACCGATAACTTCAAAAATGGACTGATCTTGAAGTGTTTTATTCTGGGAATCCAGGAGTTCGACCCCCTTGAGAAGGGATAGATCGCGGAGGTGCATAGCTATGATTGTGTATTATACAAGCCTGAGAAATTCCGATCAAAGAAGAATAGATTATATTGCTGGCCTTCGATCTTCAAGGGCATGGCGGTCCATTTGGCTCTATTTGGCTCTATTTGGTTTCCGTTTATACTAGTAATGGAAGTGAAGTCTGCAATTTCTGTGGAGAGATAGGCTCCACCCCCACAGCTACCACATTTCCACCCCCAAACTGCTGCTACGGCCGATACAGCTGCAATTAACTACCTGTGGAGCCGAGGTAGTCGAGGGATCTCTAGGAAGTGGAGCCCCAACCTTTCGTGAATTCGGCTTATTGTCGTTCCCCAGGGTTGGGATACAGCTTTAGACCCACTGGCAGCCTGTGTGTCCTTGAGCAAGATAATCCACAAAAGCAGCCGAAACAAGGCTCTTCGTCTTCCTTGAAGGATTCAATAACTATCATGAAATTTCCCTTGAAAGTCGCAGACTTCCCCCCGCATTTCCCCCACACCTCCACACCAGAAACACCCGATTACCCGACCCCTCCACAAACATGCTGACCTGTCAGTTTTTTCTAAATCACAGGCATATCACCAAGCCCAGAATAGGTAAACACGACGGGAAAACAGAAGCATAAAGACTCTCCCGGTAGCTACTCGACTAACTTTGTCAAATTCGATTCAATCACACCATCATGAAGCCTGAGGAATACGTTCGAGTCTCTCTTTCCCCAGCAGGCTTTCTCACCCTGCCTGAGCATTTCTTCTGCGCTGATCAGCATGATAAAAACATAAAGAATCTTGTTCCTTCAATGTCATTTCTTCTTGAACATATCCCAAGTCATACAAGGGTCGTATTCGATCTGGGGCTTCGTCGAGACCTAAGCGCCTACCCAGACAATATTCAGCCGCACTTGCGTACACGCCAGCCTATTCAGACAATCCCAGACGTATGCGATTCTTTGATTCATGGTGGATTAGATCCAACCGACATTGACGCTGTCATCCTGAGCCACATGCACTATGACCATGTTGGAACTCCGTCTCGCTTTACCATGGCCAAATTCATTGTGGGCTACGGGTCCCGTCATATTTTACAAAATGGAATGAATTATCACTCCGCAGCCAATTTTGAAAAGGATCTTTTGCCATTCGATCGGACGATAGAGCTACCCGTTCAAAAAATTCTTCCCCGGTTTACGCACCCTCTCGAAATCACGACTCATTTTACCAACCGCCTGTCATCATTTTCTCCAGGAGGGCAGCAGGAGTGGAAACAATTAGATCCGTTTGATAATTTGATTGATCTTTTCAATGATGGCTCTTTCTATATCGTTGATAGTCCAGGCCATCTTTTAGGTCATCTGAATGTTCTCGTGCGAGTGAGCAGCGATCGCTGGATTTATCTCGCCGGCGATGCCTGCCATCACTCGAGGATCTTGAATGGAGAAACAGGGATGGCTGAGTGGGAGGAAAATGGGCGCCACGTATGTATTCACGCAGATAAGGATTTGGCATTGGGTACTCTCCATAGGATTCAGAATTTGAAGGAAAACGGCTTCCAGGGAGGCTCTGTGGAGGTGGTATTAGCGCATGATACGGAGTGGTATCAGAATAACTTGAAATCAATATTTCCAGGAGCCGTGGATGACTTAATTCGGATTTAAACGGTACCCTGTCAGCTGGTGCTCAAGGCTACTTGGGGTGGTTAAGAAGCCAGTTCTTGGTTTTGTCTAATTCCATCGGGATTCTTTAATTGAGAATATCACAATGAAATTCTATCATTTCCGCCATATTTAGCTTTGAATGTAGAAATTACGCCGGCTTGTTTGCCGAGATCTGAGCCAACGTTAACATCCATGGATAATGTAAATATTCATTCACATGGATTGACTCGCAGTAGATGTAAATCCCATGCCGGCTATTTCGAGATATGTCAATCGCTGCAAACATTAGTTCAACCCAATTAGAATCAAAAATTCATATCGCCTGTATTGGGTAATATAACACCTTAACTTTGTGTATGCATTTCTTAGGAGACAAACTACGAAACACTCGATGGAGATAAAGTATTTACGAATAGTTCAGAATATTACGACACATTTAGAGCAAAAGACCAAGTCCAGAAACTTTGTTCGTAATTCAATTGCTGTATCAATAAAGGAAGACACCTGAAAGAAAAACCTGGCCATTCTTCCTCAAAGAGTGTGCAACGTCGGCTTCTGAGCGGCATTCGCAAATTGGGCCACCAACCTTTTGTTATCCCGAGTCAAGATCCACTTCATGACAAAGCAAGTCCCAATACTCAACCCAGCGAATACAATCATCAGGATCAGCGCGAGAGTATACCTGGGTGCATCTTGGCCTCGGAAAAAGTAGGGGCTCCATATGTTTCCAAGCTGACCTAAAAGATTGATGATGGCTGTTGCAGCTGCCCTCTTTTCGGACGTCTGGCTCAATGCGGACGCTGCCCAAGTATATACCAAAGAGTTGGCGGCGAAGCAGCCCGACACATAGAGAAATGAAGCAAAATATTGTCCACCCGATCTAGTCAGTGAGGCGCTAATAATAAACCCGATTATTGCAGTACTCATAGACACGCTGATATGGAAGCCTCGTTCCCTGTTGCGGTCGCTCGACCAAGCAACCAAAAATGATACCATAGCGCCCACAAGATAAGGAGGTGCAGTTAGGACGAGGGTGACAATCGTGCTGCCGAGGTTAAAACCTTCCACAATAGACGGGTAGAAGTTGTTGAATCCATACGCTGTATGGTTGGCGCAGAGCATCAGGGCCTTTCAAAAGTAAGCAAACAGTCCACTGATATGACAAGCGAAGCTAATACATACAAAAACAAACACTCGGTAGTCTTTGAGAGCACTCTTCGCCCCATACCACACCGATCTATTAGCCTCTTCGTTCGAGACTTGATCGTTCTGAATACGCCTGACGGCAAATTCCCTCTCTTCAGTAGTCAACAGCCATTTAGCTGAACCTGTAAGGCTGAGAGGAAAGTCTGGAAGGAGAAAACCAGTCGCAACGGCAATGAAAAAACTCCCCGCTCCCTCGATAATGAACAGCCACCGCCAACCCTGAAGACCGTGAGCTCCATCCAGTCCGGCAAAAATCCCTGCTGCAAGTAGCCCGGAGAAGGCAGTGGCGAGCACTAGACCAGAGTAAAGAACTGCCGTTCTTAGGGCAATCTCCTTTTTCGGATACCAGCACGATAATAGATAAAAGGCACCCGGGAAGAACGGAGCCTCCGCAAATCCAAGGCAAAACCTGATGGCCACGAGTTGTCTGTAGTTATGAACGGCAGCTGTGGCAGCTGAGAGGCAGGACCAGACACAGACCCACAAAGGAATGTATAGTGATGGCCTGACACGAGTTAATAGCATGTTGCTGGGCAGCTGCATGAGGATGTACCTATTTCAAATGCTCATGTTAGTTGTTGTTGACGGAAACCCGCGAGGAAGTCACCCTACCCGACATTCAAAATAGATATCGCAGTATTGTACTCTTCATTCTTTAGTCCAAGGTCTTTCTCGAGGCCGTTCAACTTCGCTTGTCTGAACAACTCAGTCCATTAATCCAGGAAAGTAAACCTTTGAATGTTTTACTCACGCTATATTATTACGGTCCAAGTAATTCAAAAGATAGAGAATCCAGATAACAGGCATGAGGGTCATGTCTAGCTTGCGAACGAGACTTTTCTCCAGTTTCCGTGCACTCTCATCTTGATTCTCTTGATCCGCAGCCTTGGTGGAGTCCAGTTCAATATGCTCGGCAGAGGCTTCTTCGTTGATAGGTTTTGAAATCATAATGACTGCCTTTGTAGCGATGAAGCGGTGTCTCGGGAGGTTTGTTGAGCCTTTTATACATCTGGATTCACCGTGGACTGCTCCGCTCGTTCTAGGATCACTACGCTAGCGAAGGCACCTCTCTTCATGGGGTCTCCCCCTCCCCTATTTTCCTGTTTTTTTCTTTTTTCTTTCCTAAAAAAGAAGTGACAATACGCGGTACAACAGCTACCGATAGAATTTTGACCCTCCGTAAACTCCGCATTATCCCATTCAATGTATGTTATTGTTCCGAGACCTGTCATCTTGTTGGTCATTAATTAACTTAGGTCCACACCCTTTTGTCATAGACACCTTCAAAACTAAGATTGTTCCTCCATAATACTGTCGCTGATCCAACTCCACATCCGTGATCATTCTTACCTCGTCTAGCAAGCATGTCGTGATTGGCTGTGAGATTTTGTGGGGGGGGACAGCGGGGAAGAAAACGTGGAGAGAAGTTGGGGAATCGAAAAACGCCAATCAGTCGTAAGGGCTGGGAAACCGAAGGAATCCTAGGCTATGGAGTTTCAGGAGCACTCGGTCTTGCCGACCGAGTGTCACAGCTTTAACAGTTTCCTCTAGCTCGAAGCTTCGCCGAGGACACAAAGGCGCAACTATAATCATTATTCCAACAACGCCGAGGAAGCGCCAGTAAATCTGTAGCTTAACTCCTAATTGACGGATTACTCTTGAATCATCTAAATTCATATGAGGTCTATCCTCCGCCTTTCCATAACGTTACTGGGTGGAAAGAATGCAAGAATGCCCTCGCCATTGTAGTATCATATAGAGGGGATGGTCCAATGCAAAGGTTAGCCAGGGAGCGTGACCTTTTTGGGATAATAATTTTTGATGCAGTAGGAGAATAGCAAAGCAGTTTAGATTTTAAATTTCATAAATTAGTTTAACAATCGATCGGCCTTTTATCTTTATGCCGAGGGTGGGGGCCGTACTACAGTTCGCTGTGCGCGGAACTTCGAGGCTCCGGGAACCTTCTTCTACTTCCATTCAAAGATGTCACCAAATTTCTACGCCCACCGGTGCAGGCATTGTGCGCGTGAATTTTCGCGTGCAGAACATTTGACACGTCATGAGCGCATCCGTGAGTCGATTTCTTGATGCCGCGCCGCTCAAGGGCAATTGTGAATCTACCGAGCTAACATTCCTTGCTAGACACTAAAGAGAAGCCGTTCAAATGTGACCAATGCCCTTCGGCGTTCTCGAGGGTCGACCTGCTTCGACGCCATGAGAAGAAAGCCCATCTAATTCGAACAAGAAACCAGCCACGGCCTCAACGTAACCAGTCCCAGGATCCTAGTTTGGGAAGGTCTGGGAGTTCCCAGGGCCAGGAAAGCCCTGTCACCAACTTTTGCAATCAGGTATCAATTTATGCCGGTCCCGAAGAATATTTGCCACCCGCATCGCTAACTTGGCTTGTCTCTCGTTGTGGTAACAGGACAATTCAATCCCACCCGTATTGGATCAACCGCATCTATTTCTCGTCAACGGTGCGAGTGAAGAGTCAACGCCACAATCCATACCCATGTGGCAAAATATTAACCTCGATTGTACTCTTGACATGCAGGATATGCTTTTGCCGGATGAAATTGTCTGGCTGGACCACATACAAACTACTGAGTCAACATTGAGCTTGGCTGCGGCCGGGAATGGACCCCTCTCTCACTTAATGCATTCGCAGACTGGTGAAAGTACTGCATTGTCCCGACTCTCCTCCCCAGAGATCCTAGATCCGCCAGATGTTCGCGATGTAATGCAAACTGTGTGCAACTACACCATATCTGAGGAGCGGTGGGTATCGATTGAAGACGAATTGGCTCAGCATCAATTATCTCTACCATCCAGAAAACGACTCTCACAGTTCGTGAATCGATACTTTCACAGTTTTCATTCCCATCAACCCTTTATTCACATGTCGACCTGGTCCCCGAACACCTCTAACTCGACCCTTTTGCTTGCAATATGCGCTTGCGGCGCTCAATATAGCTTGGAGTCAGAAGTAGCCTCTCAGCTGCTCAAAGCTGCTATCTATCGTTTGCCGTATCAAGCTCAAGATATTCAAGTTCTACAGGCTCTTATGATCTTATCGGCTGGGACTGCTTGGAGTGGCTCGCCAGAAATGCTGAAAATAGCGCTAGATTACTATGGAAAAATGGCCATGATGCTTCGCTCTGGATGGAATCGAAGTCGCCAAGATAATCATGAACAGCCCCCAAGCTGGGAAAGATGGATCGAAATGGAATCTCTCAGGCGGTAAGTCTGCTTGCGACTCTCCTATTGCTCTTCCTAGTATGGAATACTAATAACTTCCCTGCAGGATTGCATTTTGCGTCTTCACTCTGATGAACTTAATCACGATCACGTACGATATCCCATCTCTCGTGACACTGGAGGAACAGTATGGTGTCCCTTGCCAAGAAAGCCAATGGTGCGCCCAAACACAAAAAGAATGGGTTCAAGTCACTAGTCTATTGCCTACCGACCAGTGGGTATCGGGCCCGGCCATATTGAGACAACTCTTCGACGATAAACTTCCCGTCCCCAACATGTGTCAATGTTCAGTTGCCATATCACCATCTCCTCTCTTGTCCAAAAAATCATACTCTTTCGCAAAAGCACTCTTCAATTTGGTACAGGTGCAGATGTCACAAGAACAATTCAACGCTTCCACATTGCCTTGAAACGTTGGCAATTAATGTGGGAAAGTGAACCCAGAGCAGCTCTGTCACCCAACAGTCCTCACGGCCCGATGCTATTCAATAGTACAGCGTTGCTCCGGATTGCATATGTTCGACTCGCAACAGATTATTCATTCATACGTGGCCTATTTAGCTTGGAATCACCCGATTCCGTCGCTATTATTGAAAGAGCGATAGAAAATATGAGTCTACCGCCCCGGAACGACACCACTACCAGGGCAGCTCTTCATTCCTGCTTAGCCCTCCAGGTTCCAGCAAATTTAGGATTGAAGCTGGTGGCACGAACAAGCTTCTGGGTATGGAGTGTTCAACATGCAGTCTGCTATTTTGAATGTGCTCTCTTACTCGCAGCGTGGCTCCAAATGATGGCTTTGCACACTGAGGATCTCTCTGACCTAGAGTGGAAGGTCGTTGAGTTGTTACGGCAGCTCTTAGAACTTCCACAAGGTGATAAATCTGAGGATACTCTTCGCTCAATAATCCCTGTTGTACTTCGCGAATGGAGCCAGCTTCTCGATACGAAAGAAGTCACAGTATGGAATATTATACCGCGATTATCTGACGTGCTTTCGCGGCATTCGGAAAGTACTGTACATAATTGGGCCAATGTAGAAAACCGAGACAATTAAGCTTACTCAAATCTATCAATCACTAATATGGTTATATCTGAAGCGTAGTTCCGAAAGGGCAAATTTAGATCATTGTGTATCACTAAATACTTAGGAAACAGTGTATTTATTCTATGAACTACTAGTAGACCGAGATCTGTAATTCCATGCAAAAGGACTGGAGAAAGGACAACAAAAAGGGTTTCCAATGCCGGGAATTTGATTGAACCTCCCACGATTTCCGGATCGTATTGATCAGGTCAAGCATGTTCAAGGCTTGATAGGGATACCTTCCGCTTCCATATCAACAAGCACCTTCTCCGCCGCCTTAAAAGCTTCCATGCCAGCGGGCACGCCCATGTAAATGCAGACCTGGACGAGAACCTCACGGATCTCAGTGGCGGACAGTCCGTTGTTCACAGCACCCCGGGTGTGTACGGCCAATTCGTGGACTTTGCCGGTGGCAGCGAGCATGCTGAGATTGATCAGCGAGCGCTCACGGCGCTCAAGCCCAGGTCGTCCCCAGACAGCACCCCAGCAGTAGGCAGTGGTGAACTCCTGCATAGATTTGGCGAATTCGGTGCTTCCCTTGGCAAGGGCGTTGTTGACGTAGGCATCGCCGAGGACGGAACGACGGTTTGGCATGCCAACCTCATAGAGGGCCTGCTGGCTAGAGATACGCTTATCGTCCGACATGATGAGATGGTTGTAAAATAATTTTTTCTTTTCTTCTCTTTTTTTTTTTTTTATAAAAAAAAAAGGCAATCAAGAGTGAAGAATTGATAGAGAAAGAGTCTTTGTCTTGAGAACGAGCTTTCTTCAGATGATGGATTTATGGAAGAGTTGAATATGAAAGCAACATGACATGTAATATCTCTTTATATGATTTTTATTCCATGATCTGACGAGGTAAATACTATCTCTGCAATAGGGAGATGTGGACTCTCCACTAGGTCGGTCCACAAACCCCCGTTTTCTCCAACACACCCCACGAAATGGAGATATTGTCGGTTTCATTCCGAGGGTGTTTTTTTGAGTAACCAAAAATCCTGTAGTAACCTATCAAAAATTGCAGTCATGTCGCTGACTTCAATTTCTTGGCTTGTCTCCTCCTTTCCACCTTCTGGGCTTGATACCCGTGGTGGGGGTAATGCAAGCCTCTCTGGCTGCCCCCAACTCCACAACTACGTCCATGAAGACGGCGCAATCGGACACGACCCCAACAGTCTCATAGTATTCTTCATTTGTGGAACAGTAGTGGATTATACCTCCATGACCTTTGCATCATGCGAAGGGCTTTCGGTCTATATAAGCCGGATCAACCAAGCCTTTTATCTGTTTAACTCCAATACTCACTATTTCCTTCAGCACAACAATTCAGGCAGACAATGGCTAGTGAAAATGCGACATTTGGCTTCATTGGTAAGTTTTTGAAAGTAAGCGATATTACCCATCATTGGGATCTGACCTATTCTAGGCCTTGGTGCCATGGGTCATGGTATGGCCAAAAACATTGCGCTCAAGATGGGAGACTCATCAAAGCTGTTTGTGTACGACATCAACCAAGAAGCCGTTCAGAATTTCGTCGCAGAGTATAATCAGAATGAAAAGGTCAATTCTGCAGGCTCTCCCAGAGAAATTGCGGAGAAGTGCGTACGTCAAAAGCTTTCCTCCGATAAAATGCTCTTATCTGTGAGATCCATTGCTAGTGATTTTTTCTAAAGTTGCAATAGGATATTATCATGACGTCGGTTCCAAAAGCACCTCATGTGGAAGTCGTGTTTTTGAATCCCAGTACTGGTCTTCTTGCTGCTCCAAAGACAGGGAAAACCCTCTTTCTGGAGTTGAGTACAATCGACGCCGGGGCATCGAGCGCGATCAAGGACAAGTTAGAGGCCGGGGGATTTGGACAATTTGTTGATGCGCCTTGTTCGGTCAGTGAGCCTTGAGCCAGAGAGTTATTGAGAAGTCTTGTGGCTAAATAAATCTTGCAGGGTGGCTCAATGGGGGCTGAAAAAGGTGCATTGTCTTTCATGGTCGGTTGTGCGGATCAGCTCTATCCGCGCGTTTTTGAAATCTTAAAGTTGATGGGCAAAGAAGACGGTATTTTCCATTGCGGTGAATCCGGAACCGGACTCAAAACGAAGCTTCTGAACAACTATCTTTCGTCGATCACCACCATTGCTACCGCTGAGACAATAAATATTGGTATTAGAGGTGGCTTAAATGCTGAGAAGCTGAACGAAGTTCTGAATGCAAGTTCAGGAATGAGCTTCAACTCTAAGATCAATAATCCAGTCCCAGGTCTTACACCTGCCAGTCCCGCGAGCAATGGTTACACACCCGGCTTCTCTATTGAGTTGTGTCTGGGGGTTTTGGAACTGGCTGTGAAGTCTGGGAACGATCTGGGTGCGAAAATGGTCCTAGGCCAGCCGATGCTCAACGCTTACCGCGAAGCCGCGGCAAAGGACATATACAAGGGGAAAGATGCAAAGATTATCTACAAATGGATTGAAAGCGGATCAAACTGAACGGGAAATGTCACAGATAAATCGTTACATTGAATTAAACGTGCAGTGATAGTGTCTGTTTTTCATTAGACAATACGTTTCCTTTATACCTACTTCCACCTTCTGCGCTTGATCGAGGTAGAATCTTACAGTATTTAAAGTCGCAAATTATGGAGAAGGAAGTGAAAATGAATCATATCGTTTGCGCAGACGTTTTTGACATTGGCGGTTGAGGTTAGTGAGCATATTCTGACGAACTGGGGGGCACTTCAATCACACCAATTACTAAGTAGGGTTCTTCAGGATCAGCTCATTGTTTTTGCGACATCCCACTCGCTCCTGAAATACGTCTTATCATACCAGCAAAATGAAAGGGCGCTAACCGTGACCCCTGTTTGCCTCGGCTAGGGACAGACAGTTGGAGACCCCAAAATGCCAAGCATTTCTCCGTTTCGACCAACTCAGTCTATACACTATTTCCAAATCCCGTGAAATGCCTAAGTTTTGAAGGTATTTTTCTTACAAGCTGGATTTCAAGATCGTGGATAAGGTTTAAGTTTACCGCACGTAGAGGAAATATTCAACAAGTATTTAGCTTGAGCTACTCACCCACCGAATCTCGCCGTGCCTCATGCTCTTGGTCTTGTTCGGGCCATCCGATGGGTTGGAAGAGGAAACTGCACATAACAGAAAAAAACCAAGATTAAATTCCACACGAAAAAAAACTCAAACTGATCTAAATTGTTAAAATTCCGTTCCAACATCAAATATAACGCCTTATGATACTTCTTCCTTTCGCCTGTCTTGTCGCTTTGCTATCCAAATATTCGAAAAACCATGTCAAATAACCATTTCCCAAACACGCCAGCTAACCAGCCATAAATTCATATCCAGCAGATTTGATTATTGCACCGGGATATCCCAAGCTAAATCAAACCTTCTGTTCCACATGTTCGATGGGTGTTGCATCTCCCTTGTCCAAAAAGGGCTGCAGCTCGCTTGGATACCAAACAGCGAAACATATCATTGCGAGAAACATAGGGAGTGCATCGAGGATGTATGTGGGCCATTCATTTGACAGCAAATACCCATCATTTCCAAGCCCATATTCGACAACACGGAAGATGGATCGGAGCAAAATCAATGCGCTTATAGCATACATGCTGTAGAGGTGTTTAACCCATGGCACCTCGCTATTCATAGTCGTAATAGTTGGATGGCGATCCATCCGCAACTTGAAGACCGTCGCCGTGGTGAGAAATAAGACGAACGTGGCAATTTGCAGAATGAGGCCCGCAAGGACAATATATTGTCCAGTGCTGGTCAGACTACTCTGCGACATCAGGCCAGCACCCCCACCTTGGATGAAAAAGGTGAGGATATCACAGGTGACAAAAGTCTTGGTGACAAATCTGATGGGAATAGGTGAGAGGTGCTCGGCTTTAACGCTCCGAATAATCCGGGCGAGAACCATATAGACAGCGGCCGCAAAGAGAGTCGGTGCAATGAGAATAAAGACACTCTGGATGATATAGGGCATCAAGCGACCTGTCTTGTCGTAGGCGCCGGCTCGAGCGGCGTAACCGATTAATTCAACTAAACCAGCCCACGCTCAGTTAGCATTTTTTCAATGTTATAAAACGGATATTATGGCGGTAAGAACTTACACAAGCCTCCAATGGCGAATGGCAAGGTGAAACGAACTTTTGTTCGGAAGATCTTCCAGAAGTGGATAGCGGTGACGGCGAGGAAGAGGAGAATGAAAACGACAGATGCGGCTACTGATGGAACATAGTGCCACACATAGTATCCACTCTTCAAAGGCTCAAGTTTGGGCATCTTGAAGAAAAGTATGTGTAAGGAATAGACACTTCAGAGAATTTGAAGGCCAATTGAGGATAGAAAAGTAGTTGCGAGAATAAGGTTGAAATCGTGAGTGGATTTTAGGTTGAATTTAACGAATACAAGTTTTAAAGCCTCCAAGGACCCCTTTTGATGGATACGAAACCCGAGGGAGGCTGTACAAAATTTGCCATATCTATACGCGTATTCAAGACCGCACTATCACGATCGATCATGGTCCGTGCATACGCGTAAAGAAGGATTCCTGTCGGTATGAGGGTATGAGTGGGGAATTGGTATTGTAAGGCATGGTCAGAATGTATCATTGTAACTTAGCCAAGAGTCTTAGTCATGGTCGGTCGCATACAAATTAGTATGTGAGCGAACATAACAAAAATTAGACAACTACCCATGGACCTGATTGGACGTACATTTCTGTTCCGACAGTTATGAGCCCGGCTTGCTAAGTGAATATATTGCCTATTCTGTCGAATCTGAGGCTATTCATACCGTTTATCTGTCGAATTGACCCCGTCGGTCAATTACCCCTGAGAGCGAACCGATCTGTACACAGTATCTGCATCGAAAGCAGCACTGTTGAATACAACCCGATACCGCTATGGAAAACGCTGTTATCTCCGCTTCGCAGAGCGTCAAGCTGCGAACGTCGGCCGATTGGATCGATTGGATACGTGCTATCCGCGATGTCGCCGAAACCGACCGTGTATGGAAGTTCATCGATCCCGATACCCCTGAGAGTATTCTTCCTGAACCGAGAGAGTGCCCTGAACCACCGTCTCCCGAAGCGAATGCAACGGCGATCGATCTATATAAGATAAATTATCAGCGATGGGATCGAGAGGAGAGAGGACTAGCCAATATCAAGAGAGTGATTATGGCAACCGTTGAACCTGCAGTTAGGGATCAGCTGTATGATAAACCTACTGTGCATGGACGTCTAGTGATGTTGAGAGACCGATACTCTGACTCTGGAAACCTGAATGAGGAATATCGCCAGGACTATATGTACAATGCAGTGTATCCACCGCGGAAAGGTGAGGATGTAAAAGCATTTGTACGTCGTTGGGAGAAGATGAGAGATCGGATGATTGCTATTGGTGAGACCCAAATGAAGTTTAACAAGGACTTCCTGTTAGCAGTGAAGCATTTGGCACCAATGTGGCACACACAACAACTTCGACCTATCACGATCGAGAGCACCAAGATGGATAATAGTACATTGGTGAATGACTTCCTGGCTCACTACCGCGAGCACTTTGGTAGCGCACCAGCACCAGCGCCACCGACCAATCTCCGAGGTCATTCAGCACCAAGAGCTGCATTCTCAACTCTTCAAGGTAGCACTGAGGCTGTACCAGATTCGCCAAGTGCAACAAAACCGGCTAAGAAGCGGTCGTTGAAGGATGTGCCAATGGCTGAGCGATGGTGCCCGTGTGGTAAAAGAAACCACAAACCATGGGAATGTCCATATATCAATGAAAAGGAGAGATCGGCCAATTGGAGTGCCGATTCGAGAACTCAAGGAAGGATCAACCAGATGCTCAAGGATCATCCTGATTGGAAGGAGTTTATTGACAAGGAGATCAAGTCAGCCAATCAGTATTATTCAGCTGAAAAACAGGGTGCTGCCCTAGGTACTTGGTCAATGACTACGCTGGCACTGAATTGTCTTAATCAAAGGCCTCACCTTAGGGATGAATGGGTATTTGATACAGCAACTCATCGCCATATCTGTGTGGACCGAGATCTGTTCATTGAGTATACCCCTGATGAATCAGTCGTCAAAACTGGTGACAGTGTCACTCGCACCTTAGGGTATGGAACTGCAGTAATGTCCTGTATTGACCCTAGAACGGGTGCGCGAAGCAGCGTCAAATTGCATAATGCCTGTCATTCACCTACCTTCCAAGCCAACCTAGTCTCGTATGGTTGTGCAAAGGAACGTGGCTGCCAATGGGATGAGATGAACAACTGTATAAGAGATCCGAGAGGCATCCCATTTGCACGTGTAGCCTGGAATGATAATGCGAAACTGTGGCTGTTTGATAAGCCACAGGGTGATGCAACTAATTGACTAGCCGATGGAACTGCCACCTTAGAGAGTGAGTGTGATATCGAGTACGCAATGGCAGTGCGGAAATCGATTGCACCAAGGATCTCTGAGGCATCGTCGGATGTGTGGCATCGCAGATTGGGCCATATACATCCAAATGCAGTGAAGAAAACAGCTGAGATGGTAGAAGGAATCAAAATCAAGGACCCTGAGGCTACTGGCATAACTGAGTCCCCGTGCCAGGTGTGTAGTATGTCACACGCACCACGTCAGATATCACGGAGACCGGTAGGTCGTACGTTTGGCAGGTTTGGCCAGCTGTATTACGACCTAATCGAAATGCCAAAGGAGTCACATAATGGCCACCGATATATCACACATTTCTATGTATCAGGCATTCGGTTCCACTGGGTGTATACGCACGCGCGTAAATCAGAGTGTCAAAACGGAATAAGGGCGTTTTTGTATCTGGCCACCCGTTTACTGAAGATACCCCTGATTGGAATTCACTCAGATAACGAGAGATCAGTGACAGCTGATACTGAACGAGAGCTCGAGGGAATGGGCTTTGTGGTGACACATACTGTGGTACATAGCGCTGAGATGAACGGCCCCGGCGAACGCTCAGGGGGTGTCGTCATTCATAAGGCCAGAAAGCTGCGTATTGAGGGCCAATTGCCTGAGGGCCTGTGGCCAGAGATGGTATACGCTGCGGTGTATATACTGAACAGGACTCCAACCCATCTAGAGGATGGAAGTTGGATAGTGCCCTGGGATGAAGCACGATCACACCTGGACCAGAACTTTGTGAGAAAGTCAGACCTGTCATGTCTGAGATTGTATGGCAGTCTCACCTATTGCCGGATACCGAATATTCCCCGTTCTCACAAACTTCGCCCTCGTGCGGAAGTTGGTTTCTTGGTTGGTTATCAGGCTTCGAATGTGTGGCGAGTTTGGATGCCCTCGTCGGGTAGGATTCAAACCGTACGCGACGCAGTATTCGATGAATCGTGTCGCTGGCACCCTGGCATACAGTTTTGGAGGGAGCACCCACTACCGATCCCAGAAACCCGTGATATCCTCAACGACCGTGAGGAATGGCGCGTTATTCACCACGAAATAGGTCTCCCTGACGACTGGATTGAGAGACGAATCGGACATGAATCTGAGGCCGAACAATCGAATCCAGCACCTACTGATGCTGAGAGCGTTAGTAGAGAGCCTGAAATTGAGGATAGCAGTGAAGATGACCCTGAGGAAGTAGCTGATCGTGAAGCGACACCTGCACCTACTCATCTTGAGGCTGTACAACAGTATACTCCGCCACCTACTATTGAAAGACCATCTCAACAGTCTCCGCTGGGACATCGTTTTCCGGCCGGAAAACCTGCTACAGAGACTGAGGGGGTGAACAAAGAAACGACTTCGAATTCTACAGGAAACGAAGATCAGCAGGATGACCAGCCTCAGCAGCAGCAGAATGAGTTGTTTGAACCGGAGCCTCTATCTGAGAGTGAAGCTCAATTACACGAAGAACTGGCTACGCCGTTGCCGGCTGTAGCACCTCGAGACATTGATCTGTCGTTGAGCCCTTCCAATATTATTGAGGGTAAGCGCGAGCGTAGGTCAACACGGCGAGATGACTATACATATCTGGTTACCGAGGACGAACTGTCGGTCGAACCACCTGAGTTGTTATATGCATTCGCTACTGCGTTGAACGCTGAGAAACCGAGTCGTCACCGAGACGACCTGCCATCAGCACCTGAGCACTGGAATGATATGGTCCGACACTCTAACCGTGACGCATTCATGGCAGCAGCCGCCCTGGAGGTTCGGAACTTGAAAAGCAAAGGCACGTTTGAAGTGGTTGATCGTCCGAATGATCGATCTGTTCAGGTCTTGCCACTACGTTGGGTCTTTGACTATAAGTTTGACCAGGATGGCAACCTATTGAAACACAAAGCTCGTCTATGTGTGAGAGGTGACCTTGAGAGAGTAACTTCAGAGGAGAAGCGTGCTGCTACCCTCTCTGCCCGTACGGCACGGATTATCTTCGGTTTAGTTGCTGCGTTTGACTGGGATCTAAGGCAATTTGATGCAGTAAATGCCTTCCTGAACAGTACACTACCGAAGCCGGTGTATGTGAAGCCACCGGATGGATCAAACCTGCCGAAAGCAGTATGCTGGAAGCTTGTGAAGGCACTGTATGGCCTAAGGACCTCGCCAAAGCTTTGGCAGCAGGAGGCCTGTGGCGTGTTAGGTAAGCTTGGTTTGACACCACTACCTGAGGATCCTTGTGTGTTCGTTGGTAAGGGAATTATTGTATTCTTCTACGTGGATGATATTATTCTGGCTAGCGCACCTGATCAACGAGATCGCGCCTATGAGATCGAGCGACAGCTCCACACACACTGGGAGCTTACAGATCATGGAGATGCCCGCTGGTTTCTGGGTATTCGGATCATACGCGATCGATCAATGAAGAAGCTGTGGTTGTGTCAGGATGCCTATATTGCGAATATGGCGGTCAAATTCAACCTTGCGAATAAGCCCCGGGTGACGACGCCAATGACAGCACCTGATAGCCTAAAGCCTTACGACGGTACACCGCGCAGAGAGTATATTGAAGAGTTCTCGACCAAATTGGGATCAGCTCAGTATGCTACTACAATCACCCGCGTTGATGCCGCGAAAGCCACTGCTCGATTGGCACAGTTCTTGACCAATCCGGGACCTCAGCATATTGATGCTATTGATCGAGTGATCACCTACCTATATCATACACGATTTTGGGCAATTGCATATGGAATTGGTAGTGGGTTGGAATCTATTGCATTCGCAAGCGATGCCTCATTCGCAGATAACCTCGACAAGACGAGCTCTGCTGGATATCTATGTCAGATATATGGAGGACCAGTTGACTGGAAGGCGTCAAAGCTACGCACTGTCACTACCTCAACCACTGAAGCAGAGCTGCTTGCTCTATCGGAGGCCGCTCGGGCGATGCAATATACGATTCGCCTTCTACGCCACCTTGGTTTCCGACCAAACCATGAGATTACACTACGGTGTGACAATAGACAAACTGTCGATCTGATCACCAGCACCAACACCAAACTGCATACGAAGCTCAAGCACATCGATATACACAACCACTGGCTTCGACAAGAAGTGGCAGACGGTAGGTTGACGATCAGATGGGTGCCCACCGCAGAGATGGCTGCGGATGGCCTCACTAAGCCGCTCACACGGCAAAACCACGAACGATTTGTCCAAATGCTTCGATTACATGATGTTCGAAGATATATTGAGGACTGAGGCAGCCGTTCCTGCCTATTTGGGACCTTCAACGGTCTACATCGATTGGATACAGCATTCAACACGCTGATATTGGAAACCTCAGGTGCTTTGAATACTGAGGGGGTGTGTCGGTATGAGTGGGGAATTGGTATTGTAAGGCATGGTCAGAATGTATCATTGTAACTTAGCCAAGAGTCTTAGTCATGGTCGGTCGCATACAAATTAGTATGTGAGCGAACATAACAAAAATTAGACAACTACCCATGGACCTGATTGGACGTACATTTCTGTTCCGACAATTCCAGATTTAGGTGGCCGCTAGCCGATTACAGCTAGCGTGGCCGACGACCTTGGTGCCCGCCGAGTGGAACCGGCAGCCTTCCGGAACAGCAAATGCCCCTAATGTGAAATCTTCATACATTACCGTGTTTGTGGTATTATAGGTATTGCGCAAATATTCATCGCAGTTTCCGGATGTTAGTACCGAATATCTACCGTTCATCATGCTTCTAGTCAATTTTCTGGCATGGCCTACTGTGGTAGGTATCAGGTAGCACTCCCTCGGTGAAGTACTTCAATATAAGCTTATTTAATACCTTATCCAAGTGGTCAGTTGATAGTTAAACATACTCGTATTTAATTTTGTAGAGTGGCCCATTTTCTTCACAGATATGAAAACCGATATCGTATTGAACTAGAGGATTGCTTTCTTCAAGCTTTTCTAAACGAAGGAGACGAAAGTAGCAAACGTAAGATAGAATAGAAAAATACAATTCTTCGGTCCTAGTAGGGATGCTGAGAAACATTACCCATGTAAGTTCGAATAGCTTTGAGCAAGCGGGATATTCCCCTCTATATCTTTGTTCTTCTGCAATTCGCTCGGATACCAAAGGAAGAAAACGACCATGACGATCGCCATCGGAACAGAATCAAAGATGTACAGTGTCCACTCATGCGCCAAAGGATAGCCATCATTCCCGAGAACATACTCGATGATGCGGAAGATGGAGCGAATCATGATCAAAGCACTGACTGCATAGAGCATATACAATGCTTTCTGCCATGGAATACCAGGTATGAGACATTCGGGGGTCGGCGAGCGGCGAATTCTCTTTTCAAATATGATGGCCGTGAGCCAAAAGATCGAGAAAGATACAAGCTGGATTGCGAGACCTCCAACAACTGCAACTTTGGCCCACGTCTCATATCCCAAGACTGAAAGCGAGGAAGAATTTCCTTGGACGACGAATGACAGAACATCTCCCCAGACAAATGTTTTCGTCAAACGCGAGACTCTGATCACGGAAAGGTGCTCTCCTCCAACAGAACGAATTATACGACCCAAGGTCATATAGATAGAAGCAGCGAAGAGGGTAGGGCTCAGGAGAATGAATATGTTGGCTACTATATAGGGTCCCATGGTAGTCGTATTATTATGTGCCACGAGACGACCAATATATCCGATGATTTGAACTGGCTCTCATTAGTTTTCAAGGGCTCGACGAATTTTGGGGCTATTTTCTCATCAATGCACACATACAGAAACCACCTATAGTGAAAGCGATGCAAAACCATGTCCTTGTCTTGAACAACTTCCAGGAATGGAGCACAGTCAAGGCCAGGAAGAGTAGCATAAATATGACTGCTGCAGGGATTGATGGAGCATAGTTCCAAAACTTGTAAGAGCGAGGAATCAACTCCATTATGATAGATAAAGTGTGCCGATCCGCCAAAAGGCGAAAGGAGTGTAGAGAAGAGAGTGAATGGAAAAGAGAGTGAGAGAAATATCTGATATGGACTCGGAGGTATATGAGGACAACTTTTGTTTAGAAAATTTCTTATTCATCAAGGGGTACCTTATCATACGCGCACTTAAAATAATACACAAGTGGCGCATAGCCGTAACTAGATCGCCTTTCTCCGATAATTAGGCCCCAGCTCAATTCACTTGGTCCCACCAATATGACCCACAAAGCCATGCACCCGCACCACACTATGAATACGCGTATAGAGTATGATTTCGGAAATAACTTTAACTATTTAAAAACTGCAAGTGGTTCTCATAAGCCACCTGAATAATCTGATAATGTGGATACCTTTCGCGATCACTAGCAGATTACCGCGATAAACGCGAATGATTAGTTCAAATCCGACCATAGGCGAATTCAAATTAGATGGTCAACTCGGCGAGTTATCAACCATACTTGGAAGAGTGAAGGTAAATTCGGCAGAAATGTTTGCATCATACTATTGTTTCCAATTAACGTTATAGATTCGAAAGCAAGTTTTTCTTGTAATTTTTCTTATATGATTCAGATATAGTACTAATATACATGGGTAGGAAAAAGAGATGATTGTAAAGTAAAGGTGATAAAAAGTCAACAGGGGTGTGTCTCCTGAATTCCCCTCCTGGAAACTTGTAACTCGGAGAGAAGAGGCTATTAAATACAAGTAAAAGATGTGGAGTTTCTGGAGTCTCCCCCAATATACTTCTGACGAAGGGGATACGGGCAAAGGTCTCTTGCTGTATCGTTGCTCCCTTTCGTGGCGTGCAAAACAGCAGGGGCATGTCCGTCCTCTACCCATTCAATAAGCTGAGACATTGCTCCATTTGGGATTGGCCCGAGTCCACCATAGCAGTGGCCAACGCCAGGTGCTTCAAAGGAACGATAAAATCTGTGGGCATTGGGGTCACCCTTCAGCACATTCTCATAGTACTCGGTGGTTCCGTTTGGAGGGATAACTTCGTCTGCTAGTCCATGCCAAGCGATCATTTTTCCGCCAGCCCTCTTGAAATTGGAGAGATCTGGGTCATTATTCCCAAGCATAGAGGTATAGTCGCTGATCGAAGAGTGCAAGGCGTCGAAAAACTGGTTTTTGGTCATACTGCTGGCATCGAATGTGAGATTCTTGGCAACAAGATATTTGAACCAGCTGCTAAGGAGGTCACTTTCTGTCGCGTGGCATGTACCATTCCCAGAACATGAAGTGGAAACATAGTAACCACCGAGCGCCGCGTCTTTGTTGAGTCCGTGCCAGCCGTATCGCTTAGAGACTGACAGTGAGCCAGACCATGCAGCTTGGATTACCTTTGCGTTGGAAGCAGTAAAGGTCTTTTGAACCCCATCGCAGGAATAATTCTTCCCAACGAAATCAGAAGCCTTGATGTCACAGAGCCCAGGGGAACTTATGATGCCATCTTCCACGCCATCCAGCTTGTCGCAAGCCTTTGTTGCCGCTTCAGTGAAAGCACTGACCTCACACGGTGCCGGATAAGCGTCGGTTTCTTGCATGACCAGAGAAGCCCAATAACCCGCGGGAATGAACTTCTGTGCATTGATAGCGGGGGCAACAGCGAGAATTCCATCGAATACATCTGGATACTTTTGCGCCATCATGAGGGCCTGTCGTCCACCACCAGAACATCCCGAAAAGTAAGAATACTTCGGAGGCTGTCTGTAGTAGGACTTTGTGATCTGTTGCCCAATAATAGCCATATCGTTTGTTGCCTTTGTCGCGTAATTATCCAGAAGTTCCCAGTTGACATTGCCCTCGCTGCTAAGGGCCCATGAAAGATCCGTCGGAATGGTGGACGCGCCAGAATTTGTACCCAGTCCTCCATCTGTGGAGGCAGATGCAAATCCCTGGGCAACTGCGTATGTCAAGTAGATAGAGCCCATGCCTGTGCTGTATCCTCCACCACCCAGGCCTTGAAACCTGCCATTCCATTCCTTAAGCGGCAGCCAGATTTGAGTGTGGATCTCATCATTCCAGCCAGGATGAGTGTGTGTCACTGTGACATTGCAGAAGCTGATGGTGTATCGGCCGCCGTCGTTTGTTCCTGGTCCAAGACTCACGGTAGAATAGTTGTGAATTTCCTGAGCTTGAATTCCAAGGATAGAAGCCCCGACTAATTCAGGCTTTTGAATCACGGATGGTGAGCAGCGGGATGCAGATGATAATTGAAAAAAGATCGCGCTCAGAGAGAGCAGGCTGCCGGAGAGAGCGAACATCGTACTTTGAAGATAGAAGAGGGATATCATTTCAACTTTTAAAAGCTGGATTGAAGCGTCGATTATTAAATAGATTCCAATGCGTCTGCTCGGGTCGCGGTGGAGATGGATTCACCAGACGATCCATTTGTGCAATAAAAGGGGATCACTTCTTTACGCGTATAACTTAACTTTTGGAAGTCAGCACAGTCTAAAATTGTTTAAAAATAATATGTTTTCTCCAGTTTAGTGCCCCATTATGGATCTTGCACGATCAATCTATTATTCGTAATTAAAGACTGGTATATGTATCGTATTGTCACGACGCGAATGTTTCCACTGAGCGGGGACACTTCAATCATCACGACCCACTGTTTCTTCCATTTCTTTTTATTGAGTGGGGCAAAGTTAAATGTTGCCTCCAGGGCTCTATACGCGTATTCCGGCCCTCCCATACCGAGGCTGCGCGACCTGCGGCTCCAAAGGTAGAATTCAGGGAATATATGTACTATTTCTAGACCAAGGCCTCGTATTTCCAAACATCCTTTTCATGAACATTGCTGCCTTGAAAGGCTGCTTCATTTCAAGAGCCACGGTCGATCTTAGGAAAGACCGAATAGGAAGAATGAGATACGAAAAATTCAGCGTCGAGCCGAGGCCACTTCATGGCCAACTTTTACCATCGTATGAAGCACTGCCCCAGAACTCATCGGAATTCCTGTTGCATTGGGTTTGACGGCAAGGATTTAACTCCCTGCGGATTGAGAATAAGGCCATGACTACTAGGCGATGGCCGTATTTCCGTTGATGCGTCCTCAATAATGCCAGTTCATCGATTCTCACACAACTTCGCTTCAAGTAAATTTGTAGCGGTAATTGATAGATTGAAACTGTCCCTTGCGTTTCCATGTGCGTAGATGATCCGCTTTATTGCCACGTTTCACGGTTATGACGAAAGGCAGAAATCTCTAACTTACTCCGAAGACCCATAGATGGTAAGAAATTGTTGAATGCCCTTGAAACCATCATAATCTAGTTCATTCACCAGATATTACTTCGATTGGCCAGCGTAACCAGTCTGACCATTGATTGCCCAAGTGATCACAGATTAATCTTACCAGGAAATGCCCTCCATCTCCACATATCCATAGATCGCGCCGTAAATGTATCAGGGCACCATAATGAGCCAAAACCACTAACCCATGTGGCTCTCTCATTCTCAGAAGATCAATGTAACCTTTGCATACCATGACTGGCCAAGCCCGAATGGAAGTGACATTGGGTTTCCAGGGGACTTGTCTGTCGGACTCGTCGAGGACAGACTGTAAGGCTAAAATGGCCTGCTCACAGCTATTTTTATGTTCTTGGTCAAGGTTCGCCGTCGTAAGGAGTTCCAGAAGCCGCGAGCAAGTTTTCCCTGAAGGAGGTCCAGTGGGTGTCACAGTCTTTTCTCCTTGCTTGCACATCGGCCCCAGAATACTTTCTTTCAAAAAGCACCATGAGCTGCCCGTGACTGCCCGAACTCCCTGATTTAAACATAGAGAACGGATAAAGTTGTCTAGGAAGTGCTCAAAGGTTGGTTCTCGGAAAAACAATGTCTCGCACATCTCATGCATTCCAAGAACCGAAGAAAATATCATCAATGGCACGCATGTTTCCGCATTAACCTCGGGAGCCATCTGGTTGAATATTGACAAGGCGTGCGTCTGTAGCTCTGTCGCCTGGCGGTGATAAATGCTCTTCTGGTCGGAGTTCAAAGTACTCAGATGCAAGGCTGCAAGGGCTAACAGCTCATTCAAGACGTACGGTGCGTTCAATACCTCTTTGAACGCATCTTGGAGCGAAACGCCAGGAGCATCGATTTCAGCCTGCAGTGAATCAAACGTTTCAGTGCATAGGTGATAGAACAATCTCACGTGTTCCATATCAACCGGTGAAGTTTTGGCTTCCTCTTGAGAGTACTGCTGTCGCTCCCGAGGGCTTTGACTTGATTCCTGTGAGTCATGCACATCATCAGGTAAAAGTGACTCCCTCGAGACTCGGCTGGAAGAACGAGAGGAATGCCGTGGCCTGGCTATGAGAATAGGGGATGCGAAATCACAGCTTCGTTCTGAGCTTATGCAGTTGGAACAGACTGGTTTATTCTCATCGCACTTTCAATCAATCAGCATTGTCTCCAAATGGGATCACATCTGTCGGAGCGTGGCACCTTAATATGACGACGCTTGCATTCCACACATCCTCCGCGGGACTTCTTATGTGTTCGGCGGACCATTTCATGCCGACGCGTCTGTAGCAGGCTTGCGCGCTTAAACGAGTCGATATGTCCGGTGGCTTCCGGGGGCGAATAGACCTGCCACAAGAATAGAGCAGCGGTTACGCTTCGACATATGTAAGCGAGTTCAAGTTTCACCATGAATGACCTGGAACTTACCCTGCCGCCCACGGGCCACCGCCCACCGCCTACGGAAGGTAGGAACCGCCCCGCGCCCAAACTTAATCTTTTTAGTTTATACCTCGCAGCAAAAAGAGCATCATGGATTTATTTCTTTCTGGATCTGCAGGTGTGGACTGTTTATGTTCCACCGGAATTCCGAATATACAACCAACTTGAATGCTTTTTAACAGAATTGAATTGAATTGAGAGGGGTCTTTGGTCAGGTGGCTATCTTGGAATTGGTTCGCAGCTGAAAATAGTTCATTTCATGTCACCCAGTCGGCAAATACCCTCCTAAACCGTATACATGCTGTTTCTGGATAGTAGTCATATACCCGTGGACGCTTTCAAGTTCTGCGGCCTGCTTCGTGACAAACAAACAAAGTCTCGTATAATTCTTCTCGGGCGTACTAGTCGTTAGCCTTTCCACCTCAATATGATCCAATTAAATCCCAGATATTTCTCATGCGCAAGCAGTCTATAGTCCCTGTATTTTATAAACGTCTTCTCTCGCAGTCAATGAGGCCAGTGTTATATAAATTTACTACTCAGTCAAACAACTACCCTTGATGAACCAGGCCGACGGCCGGAAGTACCGGAATTAGTTTGCAGTGCCCTATTGACTTTTTTCTCGTCATGCCAGGTCTTAAACCTTGGAAATGCGCCCGAGCTTAGTGCTCCTACAGCAGAGTTTTGAATTCATTAGGTTTAATTAGGTCGAGTTGCTACATGCTTGATTTATTCAACAATGATTTATAATTGTACGACGGAGCCTCTTTTGGGTATCTTATATGCAAACTTGCCCTTACTCGCATTCTCTCGGTGCATCACTTAGTTCTATATTGGTCGATGAACGTCCGAAGCAAACTTGGTGTTGGTGAGCCATTTTAGAAGTAGACCGGAATATGCCTCCGTTGATACAAATCCCACGAAAACATTACGTAGTACTTATAGTAGAAACAAAATCCCTCACCATAATTTAGAGGAGGTATGGTTCAGTAAATCATAGTTATAAATAAGAGGCTTCCATTCATCTAGTTAGCTATTGAGCAACGACCTTGAAAGACAACCATTCAACTTCATATTGCCCATAAGTGATTGATACTAGACATCACCACTGTCAACATGCATTATCATACTATCATCGGTTACATCCTTGCCACTTCTTGTCTGGCTATCGCTGATCCCGACTCCAATGGAAGATGGGGTCTAGAATTCTTCACTGATGGAGCATGTGGAAAGGGTCATTCATCCTTTAGCGACAGCAGAACATGGGAGTGTATCAATATTGATCCCGATGCGGAGATTACATCCTTTGGTTGGGATGCGGATGATTGTGACTTCGACCTCAACGTATTCTTCGAAGACGATTGCAGGGGCCTTTTCGATAGAAGTTTTAGGAACTGCAATGAAGCCAATTCCTTCAGGGGCCAGTCATACAGGTCTTTCATGGTAAGTCTCAGCCTCTAGGATATGACATAGCGACAAGCATCGATTGAAAACGGATATCTAATTTATTGGCAAAATCGATAGGTTGGAGATTCAACTTTGGGTTCAATCCGATGTGGAGAGAGAAAGTAAGGTCTCTAATGATACAACCCATCTGTGTTCAACATTCGGACTTGAATTCGGAAGGCTGGAGCCCTCCCAAAAAGGGCTCACGGAGTCATGTATCCAAAGAAGGGAATAAAGAGATAGTTTGATTTCCAAATCTTACTTCTTTTTTTCAACTCCGGAGCATATCTGATACTTTCAAGTAATTTATGTACCGCTATAAAACTCCCTTCTAGAACTACCTTCCCTGGAATTTTTGTAATCCACAGTGAGATTCATAACTTGAATGTTCAACTCATATTTAACTAAAGCCATATTTGTAAGCGAGGCGTAGCATTGTGAAACGACAATTTGATTCTAGCAAAAGCCTGTGCAGCGGTGAGAAGCCCCAATCGCGTACGGCATATAGCAACCACTGTTTTTTCAGATCTGAATCATGAAAGTCCCTTCATTTTGGCGGTGCGGATGACTTGCCCGGCCTGATTTAAGACAATCACGGCCCCAATCTATCTCCGTTTTGGTACTAGAAATATTTTCTACGCAGTCGCCAAATTTTTGCAAATCGACTCTTTCGGACTATGATATTTTCATATCAGAATCCCACCATGGGATGGGATTGGAGGAGAAGTATACATCTTATCGGCGGAGTCGGTGGAAGCCGGCAAAATTAGAAAGGGCAAAAGAAGCTCCGCCAACTGAGCTGCTTCAACTCCGCCTAAAACAGCCCACCATGTCGTCAAGTAAGTCTTATGGTCCACAATGAGATGCAATACACTGAATTTCTGACTTACTAACCTCCCCCAGATCAATTCACAGTGGCATCACCGCCCGCGGACGCCATATCCGCTTTGAAGTTCTCCCCCGACCCCGACTCCACGCGAATCGTTGTTTCGTCATGGGACAAGAACGTTTACCTTTATGACCTGCGCGACGAGAACGGTGCGGTGGGAGAGGGCAAGCTGCTTCAGAAGTTCGAGCACCGCGCACCGGTACTGGATGTGTGTTTCGGCGAGAATGAGAACGAGGTCTACACGGCTGGTCTGGATTGGGATGTTCGCAAGTGAGTGCTACTTTATACTGCGCGCAAGCCGTGAAGAGCTCCGCGGAGCTTCACCATCAAGTGGAGATGCTAATTACCCTAGAATTGACCTCAACACATCCGAACAAACTGTCCTAAGCAGCCACGAAGCCGGCGTACGCAACGTCGTCTACAGTCGCGAACACAACCTAGTCATTTCCGGCTCATGGGACTCAACCCTCCACGTGCACCGCCCCGACGCAATCCCCGTCACCGTCCCTCTCCCCTCGAAACCATTTTCGCTCTCTCTAACAGCTACCAAGCTAGTCGTGGCCATGGCGTCGCGATCTCTTCACATCTACGACCTGAAAGCGTTAGCCCTCCTCACAGCACAGGCGGATAGCGCCAGCGAGAATGGAAATAAGGTCGAGATCGAGCCGTGGCAACGGCGCGAAAGTAGTCTGAAGTTCATGACTCGATGCGTCGCCTGTATGCCCGATGATGCGGGGTACGCTTCGTCTGGCATTGAAGGCCGTGTGGCGGTTGAGTGGTTCGACCCGTCGCCCGAGTCGCAAGCGCGCAAATATGCCTTCAAGTGCCACCGCCAGACTGGCGAGGACAATGTCGATGTCGTTTACCCGGTCAATGCCCTCGCATTCCACCCCGTGCACGGCACATTTGCTTCTGGAGGTGGTGATGGTGTTGTGGCTCTGTGGGATGGAATTTCCAAGCGCCGTATCCGTCAATATCAAAAGTACACTTCGAGTGTGGCGGCCGTCGCATTCAGTGGCAATGGCAAGTATCTTGCGATTGCAGTCAGCCCTGGTTTTGAAGATGGCAAGGAGGATGTGCCGGAGGGTATTGTTAAGATTCATATCCGCGAATTGGGCGAGACAGAAGCCAAGGGCAAGGGACCCAAATAGGTTCTCGGTCTTGTAAATGTTGAAGGGAAAAGGGAGGTCTCCTTGATACCAAACACAATCTAATGACTCAATGCGCAATTTCTACACGTAGACATCGATAGCTGGAGTGCACCATGTTATCAGGTACTAACTTTGCATCCATTTCTCAGCCCGTCCGGGGCATCGCATCTTGGTATCATCTATATGTATCCTATCTATCACTCATAGCATCAAATCCGGAAATCGCCAATCTACTGAATAGCATTGCGCACCGAGACAGAACCGTCGGGCATACCAAAGTAAGCGGCAACAGGGCGCTGACCACCAACACCTCCGGCGGCAGTAGCCTGGGGACCGGTCTGGCCGGAGAAGATGCCAACCTCCAGAACACCAGCAATCTGCTTAATCTCGCGCGCAAGACGAGCAACCTCCCAGACGCCGCCGGTGCCGGTTCCTTTGAGACCGCCGTCAAGATCAGCTTGAATAAGCATGGGCGGGAAGGGCGCATCGATGAGGAAGAAGTCCTGGTCAGTCTTCAAGTTGCCCTCCTTAGGGTTGGAGTTGGAGCGAATGGTTGGGTTGATGGAGCCGAGCTCGGTCAGTTTTCTAAGGACGCGGAAGGCGGCAATGGGAGCGACCTCGATAGGGATGTACTTCCAGTTGGTGAGGAGGCGAGATTGAAGCTTGCGGGAGTCTGTTGAGTAGAGACGAAAGTTAGTGAATTTCGCAGGGGGTTTGGTTGGGCTGTTCGTGTAACTGTAACTGCTGCTTCTGCTTCTGCTGCTTCTGCTACTTATGGAGGGGCAATTCCTACCAGCGACGCAAATAAACTCCTTCGCTTGCATGGCAACCAGCTTCTCCTGGAAGAGACAGGCACCACCACCCTTGATGCAGTTCAGCTCGTCGTCAACCTCGTCCGCGCCGTCGAATGCGACATCCAGGACGGTTCCGCGGGGATAGCATCGAACTCGACGGCTGTCAACCCCGCGTTGACGATCAGCTGGCGGGACTGGTATCCCGTGGGAACGTAGCGAGTGGCAGAGGTATCGACACCAAGGGCCTTGATTGCCTCGACGACATAAACAATGGTTGTACCACTGCCGATACCAACCCATTGCGCATTCTTGGGGTAGTGGTTGGCGACGGCGGTGGTCGCGGCGGCGCGCTTTGCCTCTTCAACGTTGGACATGGTGGACTGCAGGCGTGTGGAGAGTGGGAAGGGAGAGGGGTGGAGGGGAAGTGGAAGAGGGAGAGAACGGAGAGGGCGAGGGTTAAGGCGAAAATGAAGAGGAGAGAGAAAAGACGAGCAGAGAAGTCGGCGCATGGAGGATTCCGGGGTTGACTCAAGAAGGCGCTGGTTGAGACTTTCCTTCCCCATTGGATTATTGGATTGCTGCACCACAGCGTCATGTGGGGTTGGCTGTTTACCACGGCTCTACCCTTTTTCGGGGCTGTTTTCTTCCAATTTTTGTATGTAATCTAGAAATAAAAAGATTATATTTGGGATGACAAAATTATTGCTCTTCCAATGACTAGGGGTCATCAAAATCCCACCATCCCATCACTGTATACCATCACTCTATACAAGCTACTCGATGCCCCGCCGATACAAGCACATGAAATCCATGATCCATCCCTCCACACTCACCGGCCCATGCAGTGCATGGACGATTGATTGACGTGGTTTAGTGCGCGCAGCTTCAAGGGCCAACCGGGTGGTTTGTGGTGGAGTCGGTGGGATTGCCATCCACGGAAGGACTAAGCGCCTCTGCGAAACCCCGGTAGAATGACTTTCCAAACCTGCAACAATATCCTCGATATGAATCCCCCGGGTGGATTTATCGATGAGGTAGAATCTGGCGATGGTGGTGGCCGTTCCCACTGCCAATCTGGATGGTTCTCGATTTTGGTACGCATAGTTTTCCACGATTTGATACTCAGATCTTTGATCGTCGTCACCCTGTATCATTTATGAGGCGAAGTAAACGAATATGCAAAATCCAAGGCAAGCAAGATAACTAATGAAGACATTCCTGCTGTCATGCAAACCAGCTTCCTCGTCAAGGCAATGTCGAGATTGAAATATTGATATGGTAGTATTCCGAGTCATCTTGTATATCATTGACTGTTTAATCGTAAACTGGGTGTTGAGTTGTATACTACTCTGGGCTTGATATTGCATACTTTGAAATTTCAACTACTCCAAGTATGCAATTTTTAGGCTAACCGCATTCTCCGTATCACTCTATGAAAAGTTGTTTTCGAAAACTTGAAGCTGTAGGTACGTACACAGTCCTAAGTTTCAGGCTAGCGCGGTTGGGCTATCTAAGGATTTCAAGACTTTAATAAAATTCAGACTAGGAGCTAGATAATTTGAAAATTTGGGCTTAAATAATTCCAGAGCTTCGGTTTTAATGCCCTGGACTAGCACTTTTTGCCATTTGTTTACTTCTAAAATCGCAAGCACCTACTAGTATGCATGGAAAATACTGACGCCTCAGGGATCAGGCATGAAATTAGCCCACCTGCCCGCTTAGTCAAAACGACTGCACATCAACAACGCCGCAACGTACCTCATCAACAATCGAACAGCGTACAGAGTTTCAATTTTGGTGAACACATATCCCCGAATATTAGCAAAACTGGCTCACCTCATTGAACTTTTACACCCAAAACCCCCACATTTTATCTCCAACCCCGCCACATCATACCATGACGGACGCCTTCCCCGCGACCCTGGCAGGACCAACCTCCAAGGAACGGAGATATGATCGACAACTCCGACTATGGGCCGCCAGTGGCCAGCAAGCACTTGAAGATGCCCGCGTTCTACTGGTGAACTCGGATGGTCCTCTCGGGTCTAGCAGCACTGGAGTCTCTGGCGTGGCGGGCGTAGAGACGCTCAAGAACCTTGTTCTGCCTGGCATCGGTGGCTTCACCATCGTTGATCCGGCCACTGTCACCGAAGCTGATCTGGGTGTAAACTTCTTCCTCGAACAGGACTCTCTTGGCAAGTCTCGTGCCGATGAAACATGCCGTCTGCTCCGAGAGCTGAATCCCGATGTGCAGGGATATTCCTATTCAAAGGTACACCATCGCCCTCACTTTTAGAACCACAATAACTAATACCCTTTCAGCCTATCGCCGAACTGCTTCAAGATCCAGCATTTCTCCCTCAGCATAAGCTGATCATCATTTCCGGCCCAGCCAAGCGCTCTACGCTGGATCCGCTTTGCCTCGAGGCCCAGGAATTGGGCATCCCAGTACTTTACACACACTCGGTTGGATTCTACGCCACCTTCTCATCTCAATTGGCCGCAGAATTTCCCATCGTGGAAACTCACCCGGATCCAGAAACAACGCAAGACCTGCGTCTTCTGAATCCCTGGCCTGAACTCGTCGGCGCAGCAGCAGCCTTGCCTAACCTAGAGACCCTGGACGACCACCAACACGGCCATGTCCCATATATCCTCCTTCTACTACACTTCCTCGAGGAATGGAAGCAATCGCACGAAGGCAACGCACCATCAAACTACAAAGAGAAGACCGAGTTCCGCGAATTCGTCCGATCCAAGACCCGCACTGACAACGCCGAGGGCGGCGAGGAAAACTTCGACGAAGCCGTAGCCGCCGTACTGAAAACCATCTCGCCATTCACCCTGCGCAGCACAATCCGCGAGATTTTCGAAATGAAGCAGTGCCAAACACTCACCGCTGACTCGGCTGACTTCTGGATCATCGCATCCGCCATCAACACATTTTATACCAAGCACAATGTCCTTCCCTTGCCGGGATCTCTCCCAGATATGAAAGCGCAGTCAGCAGATTACGTCTCTCTACAGAATATCTATAAGAGCAAAGCACGCGCCGATGTGGAAGAAGTTCTCTCCACAGTGCGCCAGCTCGAATCACAGCTCAATCGACCAACGGCACAAATCCCAGACCGAGATATTGAAGTATTCTGCAAAAATGCCGCACACATCAAGGTCGTGCGTGGTCGGGCAATCCCACAAATAAATAGCAACAGTGATCCCGAAACGCTCAGCTCGATTCGCAACCAGCTAGCACTGGGTCAATTGGGTCTGCCAGAGTCGCTTGTTTCTGTATTCATCGCAACCCAGATCCTTGATGCGGTTGTTGATGAGATTCAAAGTTCGTCGCAGAATAGCTCGCTCTCCGTCGATGACGAGGCTCTCTGGAAGAGTCATACGGAGCGGATTATGGCTCTGTTGCAGAGAGATGATCCCACGCCGTTGGATGAGGAGGCGAGGGAGTCTATCGAGAATGCTATCATGGAATTGCGGAGGGCGGAAGGGGGTGAGTTGCACAATATTGCTTCTCTGGCTGGTGGTCTTGTTGCACAGGAGGCTCTAAAGGTGTTGACCAGACAATATGTTCCCATGGATAACACCTGTGTCTTTGATGGAGCCCGCAGTCGCAGCGAGATGTACAGGCTGTGAGGCATTGGCTACTAGTATGATGCATACACGATGGGGGTATTCCTACGAGGGAACTCTAGGTGTAGCCTCGGGACATAGGCATTATGAATTATGAGTGATTGAGTGGTATTCGCCGCTAGAAATAAAATACCAAGCAAGATGGCTTGGGGTGAATTAAGACTCTATCCGATTCATTCCATCGTAGCGTTTTGTACATCGGGGTTTAAGCAAATGCCAGAGCTTCAGAGTCTTTCGCAATTCGCAATGACTCACTCTATCACCATCCACGGTTTTTATTGATGAACCGCGGGTAACATGGTCACGGTCACTAAATCCTTCATGGCCGGCTTCATCTCTAAAGCAGGGTGGGAAAAGCGAAATTAACCCCTAGGTTGTACCCCGTCTGCCGAGGAAAAGCGGCCAATTTCATGCTGATATTGGTGTTGTAAGAAGCGTGCTAGGTGTGTTTTCACACTGCACGTCCTCGTTGAAGGCCTCCCCATCACCTCTTCTTTCCACGGAAATTTCCATTCCGTTTATTGCCCATCGAAGCAGCTTGCGTCTCGTACAGCTTTTCTTTTCCAAATGCCGCATCAGCAATTCTTAGATAGCTCACAATTCCTTGATCCACCACCGCCATAACAACATTGCGATAACCGTGTCGCAGACGCATATAAACTAATCGCTTCATCTTCTCGCCGCTCGGTGGGTCCAGCGGTGTACTTTCCAGCAGCGCACCAAGTTGAGCGAGAGTTGGAATAGCGGCCGTCTCGCGTGTGTTTACCACAGCTATGCGGAAATCCGGAGCTGGCCAGGCGGACTTCTTGATCGGGGTTGAGGGTCTGTAGGCGTGGAACACCACTCGGAATGGAGGAGTCGTGTCGAGGGGATCTCTATCAATTGCGAGACTGGGGTCGTACCATGGGATCACGGCCAGTTGGCGGTATATGTTATCTGCGTATCTTGTTAAAAGAGGATGAAAGCAGCACTGGGGGGGTTAGAAGAGAACTCACTATAGTTGCGATGCATGCCACATCCCACGACCGGACCAGCCGCCGTAGACCTTGTGGAGAAAGGATCTTGAGCCCAGCTAAAAAGCTGCTCCAAAATACCCGCCAGACCGGCGCCACGCTTCAGAGGACGCTGCGAAGCACATTCTTGATTTTGATCCTTCAGCCCCTCCACCTGCGCAGAATCATCCCAGCCCGGCGCTCGAGTCAGCGCATACCCAGTCCGCTTCAATCCGGTGTAGACAGTATATCGCTCCATCGTAAGTCCAGACCGGCCCATAAAACACGCATAAGCCGCCTGCAAACTCATCGGGATAGACAATTCCTCGGGGCCCTCATCCTCCGGCGCAGCGGTCATTTCAATCGGCCAGCGAATATCCAAGCTCCCGCGCTCAATCAAGAACAGCGCTTCTTCAGGCAATAACCAGACTCTATTCCAGCGATCCGACTGGCCCATATTTTTGAAATACTGGCCCTTCGGATTAGGCACGTAGACACAGCTATCTGGATGCACATTTGCCCCGACACCCTTGTCGCCAAATCTGGCTGGATCTTCGATATCGATACCGGGTGGTGGCGCAGGACCGTCTGGCGCATAATAAGCAATAACCCTGGTATTGAGATTATGCAGACGGGGATGCGCGAGGGCATCGTGCATTGCCTCGCGGGATTTGGAGAGAACATCGGCTTGGTGTTGGGTTGGATTTGGTTCGAAGTCTTTTTCGCCGCGTTTTGGGAGGCCCGGTGAGGATGTGTCGGTTAGGCTAGAGGGGGGGGATTGAGTATTAGCATTGGCTTGGAGAGGGTGTGCTGCATTGCGCGCATACAAATTGAGGTGACTCAGTAAGCGGAAGTCTTGAGTCTCGTCAGAGAGGTCGGTCTCGACTTGAGTTGGCTCAACCGAGGTGCCACGGACGGCATCCTCGTCTTTGTCCTCCATGGTGCCAGGTGGATGACCAGGTCAGGTCAATTCTGGTGAGGTGATCTTTGGCTGGGGTCGTGTAGAAGTGCAGTGTGGTGGAGGTGACCACGAAGAAAATCGGAGATTGAAGTTGGGGTTTATCGATAAGCGGTGGCCCGACGGGGATTGGAGTCCGCATCCACCACGAGTCTCCCGTGGCACTTGCACATTGAACTTGAACTCAAGTTCCATCTTGAACATGGTATCCATGGATCCATCAGTCAAGGACTACAATGAAACTCTCCGAAAGGTAAATCGAACATCATCCCGACCCAAGGGCCCGGAATCCAATCCATTTGTGCCAGAGCTCACAATATATATTCAGATATCAAGGAGTCTTGAAAATGCTTTTGAAACATTCGGCTCTTCCTCAGTCCAATACCATGCCATCCTTGAACTCCTCCATGACTGTCTACGGGATATCGAGGAAGCAAAGAAAACACCAGTCCAACCAACCGTCGACCCGGATGTACTCAGCTTAGCGATGGGATTCCTGAAGATTGCAGAATAGCCCAAGCGGGGCCGAATTTTGCCTTTGCCTTTGCTTTTTTGATACCCCCACACACATGCGCACTTGGCACTTGATTACCGCTATATACTACGAGTATATTGGTTGGTACCTATATATGACTGAGGCTGCCCAGAAGCCAGTGTGAATGAAATTGGATATATTGGATATATTGGACCATTATTGCATTTAAATTAGTCATCCATGGATTTACATTGAGTTTACTTGCTGAAGCTCAAGCTCAAATACTAAAACGCGGAAGCAAGGTGTGCCTCCTACCCCAAGCCTGGAGCAAGTCTTCAATGTGAGACTGGTCAAAATGCCTCTCAAGGCACGAAGCACGAAGAAGTGGCCCGCAACACCCCCGAATGAACAAGCTTTCGTGAATGCCATGCAACAAACTCCAAGCTCTATGCAATCATAAGACATGATATGGTATGGGGCCTCCGGCCCCGGTTGAGGAGCTCAAGGCAATAGTGGCGGCCGTGAGGCTGTCGATGTTATGTAGATTCGATCGACGATGCGATCTCTCTGTTCATTGGCGTCGCCACAAATCGGGTTCAATTAGATGTACTCTGTTGGTTTTCAGAGTGGAATATTTTCGGTGTAGATCGTTGTTCACATAAGCCATCTCTCAGTCGATCAACGGTTTCTTCTGGTTGCCAACCAGAGCCACGCCCAGATAATTGAGGGCATTGAGGTCGTGCGGTCGAACAATGGCTGGCAGAGGAAGCATTGGGTTGTCTGGGTTCACGTGGGCTGCATCGCGCGCGGCTTGTTCGATAGCTTCCATTTCTTCCTTGCAGCCTGCGTGGTCGAGTGGGCAGACGACGATCGGTTGTCGGATGGTGATATCTCTCGCGGATGTTAAATGAGCCTGTCACATATTATATTAGCCTTTGAATCCGAAGTATAGAAGACTGGTTATTGCTGGAAGACCCACCCGCACTGTGAGGTAGTATTCGATTTTATACAGGCTGGCTGTAGTGGTGAATCCGCTGACGCCATACATCGGAAATGCTGCGCGACTACGCGGCAAGATACCCTCCGAATCCCGCATGTCCTTGGCCGGAAATACCAAGCCTGGATTCGTCAAGTATCCCGACTGGGGTAATCGGACCCCCACCGCTTCGGTTTTCTTAGTGAGAGTCTTGATCTTGCGCTGGGGCTCGTCGCCCTCGTGGTTGTATATGATCTCCTCGTCAATGCCGATAGTGATCTTGCTGATAGTGACTTTGCGGGCCTTACCCATCCAGTCCTGATTCGGGGATAATTTGACGTATACGCTGACCGGGTCGAGAGGTCCATAGGACCACCGGGGTAATGAGATGGCCAATGTGACCAGGTGATCTGATACGCGCTCTGCTGACTCGGGGCGGTTGTACATGCCGAAGGTGGATAATGTGTCGTAGCGAGCGATGGGGACGGGAAAGGTATATTTGCGTTGCTCTGACTGGCCTTGTTGTACCATCACCACCATTTCGTAGTATGTTTCGGCCGTGCGACTGGGTAGCTGGAGACTCGCGGGGGGTACCCGCCGAGAGGCATCGCGGCCCCCACGACCAAATGGGATGAAGAGGACGAATGGGAGGTCCATCGCGATGACTTCCTCGAACTCCTTGCCGGCGGGGCATCGAAATAAGAGCATTTCCTTGCCGACGATATCTGCGACTTCCTTTCGAGGTGGAGCAAGGCGTTTTTTGGTGACGGAGTCGGCCGAGGGGTGAATGGTTTCGCGACGGAGGAGGGAGATGGTGACTAGAGAAACATTGACCGGGGCAGATATCCCGATGCTGGGGCGGATCTCGACTTTACCCTCGATTCGAGGCTGCGTGAAGAGCGAGATTGATTAGCATACGGTCGTCGAGTCGAGCTCGAGTCCAGGGGATCGGGCCACACTGCAGCCGCCCCCGGTGGCCGATGAAGGACAAGACGAAAAGGGCTTACCATAGTAGCCGAGATGCCCGGGTAGCCGATTAGAAAATTGCCATTTGCCGGACCTGAAACGCGCACGAAGGCGGCCATCTCGAAAGCGCAGTTCCCACACTAGCATAGGCATGCGGTGGAGGAGGCGCAGGGAAGTTGTGGGGAATCGGCAAGCTGGGCCCTGTCGCACAGATCATAGGGGCCTGACCAGAGGCGCAAGATGGCGAGGATGAGTTTGGAGGAGGAGGAGCGAGTGGGAGGAGCGAGAGAGAGGGTCGTTTGAGATTGAAGGTGGAGGTGGAAGTGGAAGTGGAGGGGGTGAGGAAGGGTGAGGCTGATGATGGAGCTGAGCTTGGATGATGTGGGGGGTGAGCCTTGCCCAGCCAAGTGCGAGTGCGAGTGCGAGTGCAAGGCGCTTAATATCTACAATGGAGTGTAGTAGTAGTATATACCATACTATTGATCTATGATCTATAAATTAATCAAATCAATATACCCTAATACTAGTTACAATACTGCCAGTGGCCTGTGTCTCAAGTCCAATCGACGTCATTGCCAGCATGCAAGATGGACTCTGTAGTACTAGTGATAGTGATAGAACTACTATTACTCTCTACTCGTAGATGCAAATTATCATTCTTTCCCCCCTCATCCCACCCCCACGCAAATTCTCCATTGATCATCAACAAAGAAGTGTGGACTGTGGACTGTGGACTGTGGTGGACCATGGAACCTTCCGCGTGCGGCCAAGCTTTCCACTTTCCGTTGAGCTCAAGTTCGGTTGCCAGGTGCAACACGAACCATGACATCTCCCCTCCATCATCCTCCCACATATCTGCATTGCATCTAGTGCAACTACTACTGCTGTTACTACTACCCTCACCACTCCCAACACTCCCACCATGCCTCCCCGTCGCCGCACGGCTGCCTCCGGCCAGTCTACTCTATCCTTCGGTACTCAGTCCCGGGTGACCAAACCATCAACTGCCCCTCGCCTGGGGAAGAATCTCGACAAGTCAGCGAGTGGAACTCCGGAGCCTCAGGATGTGATTGTCTCGCAGCCCCAAAACCCCATGTTGCCGATCTCGTCGTCCGCCAGCATGTCAAGCCAGCAGCCCAAGAATCTCTCTCGGAGGAGGATAAGCGGGCCTTGAAGATGAGCAAACAGGATCTGAACCGATATTGGAAGAAGGAAGAACAAGGCCGCTTGGCTCCTCGAGGTGGGTACTGCAAATCGCTAGTGGGGAATCAAACAGAAATCACTGACTTCCCTGATTTTATAGTCCACCAGAAGGATCTAGCCATGGAGGAGAAGATTCTCCGCCACTTTGATTTATCGAATCAATATGGGGTATGATACCTTAACCCGCCCCCATATTCCTTATCGCAGTCTTTATACGGAGTTCCATACCGCAGAGAATATATCGACGAGTGTTGCTAACCACCACCAGCCTTGTATCGGCATTGCTCGGATTCAGCGCTGGCGCCGTGCCAACAAGCTCAAGCTCAACCCACCCCTCGAAGTTCTTGCGGTTCTCTTGAAAAATGAGGAGATCGAGAACGGGCCCATATGGATGAGTTGCTTTCATAAGAGCTCGGAGTCGAAGACGGTCTTTTCTCAAGGAGACGAGCCGAACCACTCACCGATTGCACAGCAAGGTCACGGTGTGGGCACTGTACATATAGGAACGAATTATGGAATACAACGAGTCATGAATGAATGGGCGTTCAAAAACTCCCCCCTCATCTACCAACGGGAAACTGCATTGTCCCTTCTTAACCGTCGAGCCCCTTATTTGCCCGAACTCCCACATGAAGTGAATATCTGGGATGGAATATGCTCGACCGAGGCGTGGCGGACAATTATCTCTCATATGTCACCAGTCTCCAGGGTCCATTCAAGGGACTTTGAATCCTGCGAAGATGCAACAGTACTACTCGTAGTAAGCCTCGAGATTAACAGTCAGAAAAGCGGAAATGACAGCCGGAGCTGTACTAGGGTGGTGCTGGGGTCTTTAATTGCAGATTAATCTCGTTTATCCTGGTCGAGATAGTATCCGAGTTGACCACTGCAGGTACTAGTCGGATTATCGGATATTCTTAAATGGCCGAAACTTTCCCCTGTCTCATCTGGACGGGATGGAAGTTACTATAGAATCCGAATAGGCAAATTTCTTCGATTGAATCTGTCGATCGCTGGGTCCAGCTCTGTTCTAGTTGATCGCCTGCCGTACTCCGTAGATGCTCTTATCCTCCATCTTTGTTTGTTTCAGCTCCACTTCCCCACCATTTCCCCCCACCAAACACTGGCCAACACTTGGAACTTGCTGAAATATTCAAATGTTGGAGACCAGCCAAGCAGTAAGTCAACTTGAGTCTTAGTGGTTTGTACTCGGTACCTTTCTTTGCAATCTCTCGACGCCGCAGGGTCCACCCCCAGCCCCCAACCGCCACCAAACCATTGACTTCAAAATAGATTAAATCCCTCCATCTAAGCCTGTTCCAGCTCTTGACCCCGTCCAGGCACCTCGTGTGGGACTCGCTGCATTTCACTGTGGCGATATCATACGCCGAAACAGAACCGTCATCCCATGTGATCCTCCCCCTACGTTACCAGGCTTAGCGCTCCTTGGCACCAACAAGAAACAACGGCCATGCCAGTCACAAGAAGGACGAGGAGGCGAGAAGGGGACCTTTGATCCACCACCGCCGCCACCACAACAAGAATGTCTCACCTAGTTGGACCAGGTGGATGGCTGGCCCTGGTGCCCTGGCCCTCCGTCCAACATGAGTTCGTTCCTGACCATACCGCAAAACAATTCAGGGGAATTTACGGAGCACAGAGTTCTTCATGGGTCAAGAGCCACAGCTGACATTATTGCTTAGCCGATGGCCGATGGTGATCGCGGCCATGCAGGTACGAGGCCTCCGATCGAGTAAAATGGCTGGTAGGGCGCCCAGGCCGTGATCCTATCTCGCTATCTCACTAGACTGCGGACTTTCCCTTCAAAAATCCCCGGACAAACAATCAGTTGAAGACCCACGGACCCCAATTGTTCCTCCCCGCGGACCCACCCCCGGTTGGCCCATGCAAAACAGGCTCGGGGGCCCGGATCATCCGAGTTGTGTCTGGCAGATCAAAGAAGTTGAATTGATCTTCTTGGTGCTAAATAAACCCTCCAATGGTGATCGCCGTGGCCCGAAATGGATCAGAACGCGTAATCATACCTAGTCAAATGCATCCGACACCCTTTGTGTGACTTACCAGAACAATAACCGTTATTAATGGATTGATGGCGCTGATGGGCTGACGGGTGTCGGCCAAGGGCCTACTTTGGGATAGTTGGATGCTACGCTACCAGAACCCTGTCGTTTGCCCTGCCAGCGTTGGCGTATCTGATTGGGTCTGAGTTCCCCGGATTTGCTTCGGACTGGTACTTCCGTGACATGAATAGGGTCCACTCACTGAGCAGTTCTCGACAATGTCTCGCGGGGTACCCTTGTTCCTTGGTCAGATGCCCCCCCCAAATCAGTGTGGTTTGCAATGACTGAAGCAACTATAGATTTTTACCTGCATACAAATCCAGAGGATTGCGTATGCAACAGCTTGGCTTGTACGAAGTACTATCTGGGTTCTTGCTGCAGTCGTCCCGTGCATTTACCGTGTTGTCGGTATACTGTTCTACCAAGCCTGATACTTACAGGGCAGTCTGCAGGATCTGCAAAAGCAATCCCAATTCCGCATGTGCTACCTCCATATTGTCTGGTGTTTGGATCACCCCAAGGTCTGGCCACCAGTGGAAAGTGGAAATTAAAGCCTGCTGCCGTGCGACTAGCTCAAGACACCTGCATTGGCTAGTACGCCTACACTAATCCATGCCCTCTTCTCCATATTCGCCCAACCCCGGTCTGATGGGGCCGTCGTGAATCGCGCGGGCCCTTGATACGCACATCGTACACTACACACCGGATACGCAGTCTATAGGCCAGCCCCCGAGCGATATTAATTTACCCCTCTACTCAATCGGGTGCATGAAGCCAGGATCCGGCGCCCGCCATGGTGGCTTGGCCTGCAATGAGACGCCCCAATTAGTTAGGACATGGGTGATCTGAGTCAACCGCGGCCATGGGCTCTTCTCGATTCTCGCTTCTTTGTGCAGCGGACATGTGATGTTTATAGTTAGTACTACCCTGAGCGGAGCCCACGGCACCATATCAAAGCTTATAAAAGGGCAGATGCACCCCAGCCTTGGATGAAGCTCTTCTTATTACTCGACTACCCACCTCATTCGTTATCATCAACTGTCGTTTCCGGCACGCTATATTATAATCCATTTTCAAAAGAGTTATTATTATAATCGACAAGATGCAGTTCTCCCACGCTCTGATTGCCCTCGTTGCCGCCAGCCTGGCCAACGCTCAGCTCCCCGATGTCCCCTCGTGCTCGGTATGACTCTCTCAAACGTATAAATATTCAAAAGGTGACCAAGTATACTAACGATACATTAGCTTAACTGCTTCGTCAGCGCTTTGACCACCGATGGTTGCTCGGCCTTGACCGACTTTGCCTGCCATTGCCAGAAGACCTCGCTGGTCAGCAACATCACTCCTTGCGTCCAGAAGGCCTGTGACGTTGCCGACCAGATCTGTAAGTTCTTTGAGATATCAATCTATCCTCGCCCCCACTTCTCTCCCCACTATGTCAAGTCATCGTATACTAACTGTCACCAGCCGTCTCGAACGCCGTCGTCGCCCAGTGCAAGTCCGCCGGCCACCCCATCGTGGTTCCTCCCATTGAGACCACCACCTCCAAGACCTCTGCTACCTCTGAGAGCTCTGCCACCGAGACCTCCTCTGGCTCCAAGACCACTGCCACTGGAACTGGCTCCGGCTCCAGCTCTGCCTCTGCCACCGAGACTGGCTCTGCTACCAACACTGGCTCTGCCACTGGTACTGGTGCCACCACTGGTGCCACCACCCCCGGCTCCACCCCCCTCTGGCTCCGGCGCTGCTGGCTCTACCCCAGCTGGCACCTCCACCCCTCTGGCCAGCAAGACTAGCGGTGGCTCCGGCGGCTCTGGCGCTGCCACCACCTCCCCCGCTTTCAACGGTGCCTCCGGTGTCAAGGGTAACATGGCTGGTGTTGCCGCCATTGCTGCTGCCGCTGCTTACATCCTGTAAATATACATACCTTAATCTGTGCTGTTGTTGACCTCGCCGTCGGCTTTCTTCGATAGGCATGGCAACACGTTGTATCATTTGCCTGTGGTGGACGCGGTTGCAATAGTGACTCACTCTGTATAGTGGACTTAATATAACTGCCCAGGTGGGGCCTTAAAGTTGCGATATTCTTCTTATTCTTCTTCAATCCTAATCTATTGTGAATTTACCTTGATGATTTTCAAATTTTTCAGATCTTAAATCTATGTAAATCTAAATCTAAATTTGATCGACAGTGAATCAAATGTTGGTCGCCTTAAAACGCCCCACTTAGATCGACCACCACGCAATGGGCACACAATGGGGCGGAGGCTTAGCTCCGCCCCTAGACTTCAACTCTCAGGAAATGCAACACGCTATATTCGGCAGCAGGAAACAGCAACACTACTAACCTTGGAATGCTCATGCGCTGACTCAATAAGCAGTTCCTGATGGGCTTTAGGGGGACACCATCGTCAGGGTGCGCACCGTGCCGTCAACGACGCATCAAGGTAGGCACGAGATTCGAACGAGGTTCTGATCTGAGCTCATTCATTTTGCCAGTGCGATAGAGGATCCCCTGAATGTACGCAATGCCTCAGGGTTCAAGGAAAATGCCATGGGTACCGCGACCGGCTGGACTTGATGTTCATGCACCAAACAGACACAACTGTCAAAAAGGCAAATCCGCGCTCACCGAAATCGAAACTGGATCCTCCTAGTTCTTCCAATTCAGATGGGAATGAAAAGAACGATAATTACTATACACCCGACCAAGTGATCGGCCCAATCCAGATGCAGCATTTAATAGAGCCCATTGGCTCCAGAGCTGTCAATCTTTTCATGTTTGCGTTTTCCGGCGGCGTCTACCTGGACTACCTGCCAGCTATGTACGGCTATCAAGCGAAGCCCAGCTGCTTGCACATGAGTCTCGAAGCTGCAGCCTTGGCTTACATGGCAAATGGGCACCATCGACAAGATCTGCGGCAGATGGCACTACAAAGCTACGGCGCTGCATTATCGCAAACGAATCGCGCATTACAAAACCCCAAAGCGACCATGAAACTAGAGACAGCGACGTCTGTGCTCCTTCTAGCTCTTTTCGCAGTGATATCGCCGCGAAATTCAGACCAAACGCAAAATATCTGGTCAGAACATGTGCGTGGAGCTCTGGCGATACTGGGTTCTTGTCGCCCCGACATGTTCAACAGTCTATCCTCCCAGGGCATTCTCCACCATGTCATTTCGATTGTCCAAATTGATTGCCTTGACCGCCGTGTTCAGATGCCTCCTCAACTCAAGGCTTTATATGCTTTGTCATGGCTGAACCCTGGACCTCAAGTACAACTTTGGTCTCTGATAGATCGGCTTGCCGAACTCACTGCATCAATTGGAAGAACACCAATATGTCTATCAGGCATCGAACAAATACGCAATCTCGACTCGAGCTTTGAAGAGTTAATGAAATGCATGCCAGAGGCCTATAGCAATTGCTTTGAATTTGAGGAATGCACAACAACCGCTACTCACTTATCGGAAGGGGAGACTATTGAGCGAATCCCAGTTCTCAAGTTCGCTAGCCCTAGAATGGCCCAGAGATGGAATACATTACGACTACTACGACTACGCAGCATAGATCTCCTCACATCCGCGACGTCTGATTATCTGTCCTCTGTCCCAGGGGGGACTCATTTGGATGAGGGTCTCGAATTATGCCTCGATAATGCATCTGAAACAGCGAAACAAATCACTACAGAGATTTGCGCAACGGTACCGGAACATCTCAGACCTGATCAGTTTACCCGATACGGTATTATGGGAGTGGCAGAATCTGCCTGGGCGCGATCGCTTGGATGGCCATTAAGCATGGCAAAGGCTACTGCACATAACTCAGAAGCCCTACAAAACTATATCGAGAGACAAATTCGCGTCATTGCGGGAATTTCGAGCACCCACAATCTAGATTTTCAAAAGGGCTCACAGGCTGGCTCGCTTGATATGGATGGGTAAGTCGCGCTTTGCAGCATGCAAGAGTCGAGTGTTTTGATTTACTAACATTTATTTCTGAAATAGAGTACATGCAATATATCTCTCGTGAATGCCTAAATCACTCGCAGATAGTGAATAATAGAGGAATCTATAGAAGCCCATCCCAGAACAGATAGGAAATCCCATTGTTCAGCTGCGGCGCAACGTTACGCGGAAAGCGGAAAGTGTCACCTCATCCACAACCGAGTTAGAGCCATCAGTAGCCCTCCAAAAGACGACTTCATTCACGGGAATTTTACCATAGGATATGGGATCAATATTGACAACGCAATAATCATTCCAGACAGTCGTAGCATTGGTAGGATGATCATAATCATCAATAACATTGATAAACCGCCAGATATCACCGATCCGACCATCGGAAGATCGCTTGGTGCGAAAGGTTGGCATCAATTGAAAGTACAGATCCCCGGTGGTACCGGCCTTTTTCGATACAAAGCTACCGAGCGCCGCGAGAACCTCTGTCGAGTTGGAGACCCAGGAGGTTATGTGGAGGGCCCTGGGATCGGTGTGAGAGAAAGTGATGGAAGAGTTCAACTTCTCATCAGTTGAAACGTAGACACCCCCATAGTTGTCGTTCAGCTGGCTCTGGGCTTCAGATTCCGCCGCGATGACGAGCGGATTGAGGACCTTTGTGTATAGGTTGCTCAACCCAGCGAGCTCTCCGGCAACGGACATGAAAATGACCAGGTCATATTGCGGAATGATGATGCTATAGCTGTAATATCCTTCCAAGCCCCCACCTTTTGTGTAGAAAGTCACCGGGCGCTTGGTATTGGGGAGAATTTCCGTGCTTCGAAATATCTCCCAGGGATATCCGAGGAGTGAGTGTGAGCCAGAATTCCAGGCACTGGGTTGGAACCAGTTGACCGTAGGCGTAATTTTGTCGTGGTTTTTGAGGGTCCATCGAAGGAATTTCATCATGTCAGAGGAGGTACTATACATTCCACCGGAACTTTGTAAAGTATTAGCATGCGGTCAATCAAGAAAGATTGAGTCCCAGCCCTGAAGGGCTTCATAAACTTACGAAATACCGACACCCAGATCGTAGCCCCAGTAGGAACCTGATCCAGCCTTTGCGGTCACAGAATCGTCGGGAACATTGAATGTAGTATCTTTCATACCGAGGGGTTTCAAGATAGATGTGCTTATGTAGTTCTTGTACTTGGCACCAGTAACATTGCTCAGGATTTCCCCGAGAATATCGTAACCCACATTGCTGTATGAGGTCTCTTTCTGTGGTGTAAACACCGGATCAACTTGGTGGAGGTCGTCATTCAAATCTAATAGGATCCAAGTCAGTCGGTGATCAATAAAACATGGGGTTCTTTCAACATACCAGCAGCGGTACATGGGTTGGTCCAATTGCTATACAATCCGCATTTGGGTAGATTTTTGAGCTGGGCCGCAGTCACTGGAGGCAATCCAATGACAGATGGATCGGCCAGGGTAAGAAGTAGATCCTCGTCATCAACTTTTTGAATTTTGAGTTAGTTTTTCTAAGAGGTAAACGCCGAACTGGGAAGATACTCACAGTTATCTGGCAATCCACCGGCATGTGCAAGCAATGATCGAATCGTTATGCCCTTCCATGAGATCCTGCTAGGTCCGTTTGCCAGCGAAGAGACATACTTTGTTACTTCATCGTCAAGATTTAGTCTTTCGAGAGCTTCCTGTTTAAGAATCCCCAGAGCAGTGAACATCTTTGTGCCACTAGCAATCCGGTATACCGAGGAGCCATCAATAGGGCTACCGCCCAGGGACTTATCGGTGTGATACTTCGTATAGAGAGTCTTTCTTGACGACGAAATCTCCAACGAAAAGGACGTTTTCGCAAACTCTCCGGCATTGATGAGGCCGTCGAGACTTTTGGTAATTTCACCCAGGGGCTCTCTCAGAGTATCCTTCCCATAATTGGGAACAGGATAGGATATCTCCGGCTCACAAGCTGCATAAGCGAAATCTATTCCCGCCAGGAAAAGACCCGTTGAAAGAAGTAGCTTGATGAAAGGTGTCATGGTGGTAGCTGATAGGGAATCAAGTGTTTGAAAAAGCTAATGCTGTCAGGATATCACGAGCTTTATATGCCAACGAACGGAAGGCATTATGTTTAACGAGTCCAAATTGAATCCTGCGTCCCCTTTAACTCCAAAAAGGCACCAGCATTTTATTATTAGGAATCTGCCCTGATATCGCAGTGGCTTATGCTACGGTGTTTTTGGCTGGTGCGCCCATGCCCTAGAAAATGATCAATTTGCGACAGTATAACTAGGCTCCCAATTTATACCTTACTTTAAGGGTTCTAGTCCGAGACTAATGACATGTATACCAAATTGAGCGAAGCTTCTCTCCACCTTATTTTTAAATAACTGGGGCTACGACGGCCCCCACTTGACAGATACTAATTTTCAAAAGCAGTTAGGCTTCTCTCCAGCTTACATCTAGTTTAGGCTAGGGTGATCCCTCTCAGGCGACCTCATTCGTCGAATCGTATTTTGCAAGATGTCTTCGGTATTATAAAAGGAAATGCGCAAATGAGTGATTTTGTGAGCTTTGTAATGCCCATCTGGACCCACGACGTAGGTTAGTGCCACAGTGCTCGAACACAGCCACGGCGAGGGCTGTCTTATATGGCAAAAAAAAAGAGTACCATATTACGAGTGAGTGTACAATTTAGTTTAACTCTCCATAGAATCCACGTGATTGAGGCTCGGCGTACTGTGCACTGCCCCTCGCTTGGTGACAGAGTCGCCCCTCCTCAACCAACTTGGTTTCTTGTCGTCCCCAGCTGGCCTCACGTACGATGTCTGGATTAGAAATCCTCGGAGTGGTCGCAAGTACTCTCCAGATTGCGGAAATTGGCATGAGGCTTTCGGTAAAGCTTTGCTCTTTCTACCGACAAATTAAAGATGCGGATCGGTCTGCGGAACGTCTTGCAAATGATGTTTCACTTACCTGCAGCATTCTGCATCAACTAGGCAAAATTCTTGAGCAGGACATTGAGACAAAAATTTGCTCACAGCAAGCATTTTTGACAGCGCGGGAAGTCTTAAATGAATGTGAGAAAATCTTCAAGCAAATAGAAGATGCGGTTGAAAAGAAAGATCCTGGATCTGGCAAGACTAAATGGGAACGTGGAACACGAAGGCTGACGATTGTGGTTCTTGGGCCCGATCTCGATGTGCTAAAGTCCCACCTGGACAGATTAAAATCCACAATGCTTCTAATGCTCAATGTTATTATATATGCCAGAGATATCAAACGGTACGTTATATCCATCAAAGATTGGAAATCTGCGTGCGCATTTATAACAATCTACGCCAGGTCATCCCATGATTCATTTCTTGGATCTCAACGACAGTTGATAGAGGCACTTCTCCGGGAGAAGATTAACTTTGATGCTGGAAGAAATCATGTTAATGAGACGGTTAATATTAACACAAACAAAGATGAAGAGATCAGGTCACCTCAATTGACAATGATGGCACAACCTAACCAGACGACCTGTCGCGGACCCTCCCCTGACAGTGAGATCGACAAATATCACAATCTTGTCCGAAGCCTTTTGCAAGAGATTGATGCATGCCAAGCCACCTTTCCTCGAGATCGGCATGTGAGGATCAGGGATGGAGTAATTACTGTTCACGAGGCCGAACTTGCAATGTTCCGCGAGTCTCATGGAGAAGAGGCGATAAGGGCCTTTGATAGTCCTATTTTTGAGGTACGTATAGATATTTCGCACAACTACCAGTACGCATGGCATACCGAGAAAAGAACAGGTTACTCACAAGATACCCTTTCAGAGGATAGAGCCATTCAACTTCAATAAAGGAGGTCACGGCCCTTCTGCCTTCGAACCGCCCCAGAAGAAGCCTTTGCCAAAACCTCGCAGCATTTTCACACCTATTGATGATTCGGGCTCAGTGCTTGCTCTCCATTTCGCAAATGCGCCGTGGACCAAGTCTTCGCAAGATGGTCAAAAAACAGAGACCTTTCAAAATAATATTCCTGATGATATACCCGAATCACGAAACGGTACTCGGATAGTTCCGTACCGACCTCGACTTAAATTAAGCATAGATATTCCCAGTGAGAACAGCGCAACAGCAGAATCGTCTCCCGTCAATTCATCTGCGACCCAAACCGAGGACATGGGAAAATACAGCCCTTCGACGGAGATAACATTGCCCCCTCCATCGCCGCCGGCGGAGGAAAGCCCCAGCACCGGCGCTCAAGGTTCTTCCAATTCAATTTCGCCTAGTCTACGTCGAGCTTCTACGGATAGCTTGGGCCTTAGAACTGGAAATAGGCGAGTCATGGGCGGGTATAACAATGAAGATCCAACAAACAAGATGAAGCGTACATTCTCCCGAGACCTACATGTGCCAAATATGAGACCAGACGGCTTTGATGATTCATTATCCGATTCATCTGGAGTTGAAGTGGCGCCTCCGCCCGCCTCTCCCTCCATGACCTTTTGGGATTGGGAGGATGCCTTGGACGGATCGCCTCCACCATTATTGCCATCTCCAGAATTTTTCCATCCCTGGCCGTCATTTGTCCTCCCATCGGAGGGTGATGCCACGGGCAGAGAAGACGAGGGAACATCAAACAGTTCCTATATGGCGCATCGGCTAGACAGCCAGACTCACGCCTTTTACGGTGACTCAGTATCGGTCGGAGTTCTAGCTCCAGATATAAAAGATCTGCTTGTCGCCTGGACAACCATTGCCCCAGAGGATATTTATCTATGACTGCCCATCAATGATGGAACGCATCTCCGAGATTGAATTATCCGAAATGAAAATACTCGAGTTTTGGTTTGAGGAAGCACCCGGACAATTTATGCAGTCGGATTGCTTTGCTGGAATTATATTCTTGGGATATTCTCGTTCACGGGGCAAAGCCCATTTGACCATCCATGCAAATTTGAGGATCTGCTTCGCTGTAGAGCGGTGTCCAGGTCTGAGTTTAAGCATGGATTTCAGCATCTTGATGATAGCGTCCCTCTCGGCTGGTTCAATGTACGAGGGACACTAGGGTTACATTATACCACTGCTCAAATGCTGGCTCCCAGCCCAGTTTATAGCTGAGCTCCTACCTGCTAGGTACTGGAAGCAATAGAGTGACCTGCGAATGTAAATACAGTAGCTTTGAAGGTATAGGATGCTTGTATAAAAGAAGGTTTGGAGCACAACTCAACACCTCCAAGGTTGGAATTGTTATTTCTATTTTTTACATAAATTTTGGTATTTTGTGTACAGAGCTTTGAGTCCAGGGTACCTACTTGTAGTTACTAGTAGAGACTGCATTATTAGTACACATCGCGGGGAAATGACATCAGCGCTCTCGGGAATTTCCTTCCTTTCGCTCCCAACCTCCCGGTCCCACATCGCCAAGACAAGTTGTATGCTCTGAGTATCCTGGTTCCTGCCTAAACTTTCCGGAGATTGCGCCTTATTCGACTCGCTAGCCACCTGCTCATTTAACATGGTCGGCTCCAACGACTCACCACGTCGGGCAACTGGTTCGTTGACATGTCCGTACGACGTAAGCCACACAAAGCCTCGCCAGTATTACCGACTATTCTAATATACTCATCTTTCTACTCGCAGGGTGAAGGACTGCTACAATCCTCCCGTTTTAACAAGGGAACTGCTTTTTCCGAGGAAGAGCGGACGACCTTCAAGCTGCATGGACTCCTCCCGCCAAACCGCCAGTCGTTAGATGAACAGGTCAAACGTGCTTATCAGCAATACAGCAGTCGGCAGGATGATTTAGCCAAAAACACATTTCTGGCTAGTATGAAAGCGCAGAATGAAGTTTTGTACTATCGAGTTTGTGGACCACCCCATCTCTGGAATCCAATCTGGGAAGCTTGCATTGACGAAGTTCTCAGCTTCTACAAACACATCTCAAAGAGATGTTCAGCGTTATCTATACACCGACTGAAGGTGACGCAATCCAGAATTATTCTCGGTTGTTTCGAAAGCCAGAAGGGTGTTTCCTCAATATCAAAGACCAAAATATGATCGAGAAGTCACTGGCCAATTTCGGCAACGAAGAAGATATCGACTACATCGTCGTCAGCGACGGAGAAGAGGTAAGCTCTAGGTTACCTAACCCCCCGCCCTTACAATGCTAAGGCTTGAGTAGATTCTCGGCATCGGCGATCAGGGTGTGGGTGCCATACTCATCTCAGTTGCCAAGCTTGTGATCACGACACTGTGTGCCGGTATTCACCCTGCTCGACAGCTTCCAGTCGTGCTGGATTGTGGAACAAATGTATGTATTTTCTGCAGCTGCTCATCTGAGACTGCCACAGCTAACCTTGGACTTAGAATGATGAGCTCTTGAATGATGAGCTATATCTAGGATTACGACAGCATCGGGCAAGGGGAAAGGAATACGACGATTTTGTGGAAAGATTCGTCAAGAGTGCACGAAACCGATTCCCAAAGGCCTATATCCATTTGTGAGCCGTGCGCCCCTCTCCTCAGGTCTAAAGCTAATAAGTCTATGTAGCGAGGACTTTGGTCTTCACAACGCCCGTCGCATTCTGGACAAGTTTCAATCTCAAATTCCCTGCTTCAATGATGATATCCAAGGCACTGGATGTGTCACTCTCGCTGCAATGATGGCGGCTCTACATGTTAGCCAAGTAAAGATGGAGGATGTCCGTGTGGTGATCTTTGGCTCTGGTACGGCTGGCACAGGCATCGCAGATCAAATTGCCGATACTATTGCAACGGAGACAGGGAAACCGAAATCGGAGGCATCTAAGCAGATCTGGTATGTCTTCGCGGCCGCGTCAACTGGTGGTTTCCGCTGGAGTTCGTCATCTGATGATTGAGAATAGGTGTATCGATAAATCAGGTCTTCTCTTAAAGTCTCAAGGGACTGATCTGACTCCGGCTCAGATACCATTTGCCCGCGAAGATGGCGATTGGCAAGGCGGCCAGCATTATGACCTTCTTTCTGTGATTCAGCAAGCCAAACCGCACGTCCTCATAGGTACATCGACGAAACCCAAAGCCTTCACAGAAGAAATAATCCGAGAAATGGCAAGGCACGTAGACAGACCTATCGTGTTCCCACTGAGTAATCCGACACGCCTCCACGAGGCACAACCCCAGGATCTCTACGAGTGGACCGACGGCAAGGCACTTGTCGCAACAGGCAGTCCATTTCCGCCTGTTAAGTATGGAGGTGTCGAATATGATATCGGTGAGTTCAGGTCCAGCCCGATCCCAATCTTGGAACTTGTATTAATTCCATGGCAGCGGAATGCAATAATTCTACCTGCTTTCCAGGAATCGGCCTCGGCGCAGTCCTGTCGCGAAGTAGTCTTTTATCAAAGAAGATGCTGGTGGCAGCTGTGGAAGCCCTCAAGGCCCAATCGCCCGCCTTGCAAGACCCCAGCAAGCCCCTACTGCCTGATGTTGAGGATGTTCGAGAGATTAGCGTTGATATCGCTGCTGGTGTGATCAAGTGTGCAGTGGCGGAGGGACTTGCACAGCAAGAGGATATTCCATCAGGGGATTTTGAACTCAAGGCATGGATTCGTGAACGGATGTGGGAGGCTGTTTACCAACCCCTGGTCAAGCCATAAGCCAGGGCGAAATGAGCGAAGGTCATACCGTTTTTGTTTTCAAGTTCTCCATCTGAGATAGCACTTGAGCAATGCGCACGATATTCTTTGTGGATTTTTCAAATACAATTTGAGTACATTGTTGTCTTAACAGTCAGTCTTGATTAATCCGAAGCCCTAAAGATGAAATATAACTATGTACAAGAAAAGAAATGGCGTGCTGACGAATGCCGGGAATCCAGTTCGCATGGTAATCTGGACGTGAGTATCAATGAAGTGATGAAGTGATGCAGATGCAATATGTTACACGCTTCTCAATGCGCATAACAGCTGAATTGAGATGGAGCCTCAGGGGCTTCAGAAATCCTCGTATTTCTATAAAAATAAGATGGCGCTGCAAGGGGGGGTATGAGATCACGGAACCCATAGACGCATGAATCCACCAACCTCTTGGCGGCAAGTCACGCAGCTGCCGAAGTTGTTCATGGCTAGACTAACGCGGCAGTCTTCGCAGATGCAGAGGCAGCGGCATGGCCAGGTGATGATGGATCGAGGGCTTGTTTGGCAAACAACACAAGGAGGACCGTTTTCACCTAAGCCCATCGCGCCGGACTTCCAGGTATTGGGATCATCACTGGCGGCTGTTTCGGCCCGACGGGAAAGGATCAATTTTTCAAGGACATCGGATTCTTCTTCTGCGGTCGGCTTCCGCTTGTCGGGCGAAGGCTGTAAATCCACATGCAAGCGAGACGAAAGCAAAACACGCGATCGTTCTCTTTCCACTTGGTGGCGGTACTGGCTGCGAGTCATAATACCACCGGAAGACTGGGGTGGTCTAAGATGTGCGGCAAGAATTCGAGCCTCCTCCCGGCTTTCACGGTCCTGGGGATCAAGAAGACGAGCAAGATGGCCCATGTCTAGACCAGGATCTTGAAGAGGAGTACTCTCCCGTGAAAACGAAGGGAAAGGCTGTTTCTGAGTTGGAGTGCGACGTCCATCTTCGGCCTCGTACTCCCAGTCATCCTCAGAAGCGTTGGTAGACATGGATATCACGCTGGTAGTGTCATCATCATCAGCCACGGAGGGATCGTAGTCCGACGTGTGATCCTGGTTGCCCCATGAGCCACCGCGTTTCCACCAATCGTATAATTTATCATCCATTCTCGTCTCATCGTTCCGTTCCCAATTTGAGTTGCTAGGACGCACTCGTTTTCGCATTTCCAGCTCGACATCATACTCTCGATTGTCAGGAAGCTCAAGCTCCCCTTTTTCAGAGAGGATCCAAAAGTCCAGCCCTGGTGGAGTGTCGCTGCGAGAGCCTGCTTTATCTTGCTGGTTCCGAGAAAAGCGCTTGAGCCATTGGGGGCGGGCGCGGATTCCCAATCGGTCAAGGGCGCGATTAGCACCATATGCCATCCACCGTACAATAAGCCAGAAGATGGAGCGAAAAAATGACATAACGTGCCAAAGACGGAGTGAGGCTTGCACAGCACCAACGCCTCCTATCTCAGCATGAGGTCGCATCTGTCTCGTGCCGTTCTTTGGTTTCTCTGGTTTCTTTTCACGCTTGTATCCGCTTTCCCATGATGTGGACTGCATAGGAAGGTCGAACCCAGAGTATCCTACCGCATCGAAGGGAGACCCTCGGGATTGGCTGGACCAGTTTCCGTCGTGTGAATTCCGTTGGCGAGAAGCTTCAATCTCGGCGAGTCGGTCTTTCTCGAGCCAGGTCATTTTCCTGGCAACGACAGCTGTGCCTTCATTCAAGAAAACAGCCTCGCTGGCGGCCGTCAACGCAATGTAGCCAATCCGAAGCAAAGTTGTATAAAAGTCTTCGTGTCTATTAATACGAATGCTGCGAATTTGGTTCGCACCCTGCATATTTTCATGGGCCAGGGCGAATCGCTGTCGGAGGGAGATAGATTGGCCTTCATCGGCGGGTAGAGAGAAGGCTGTGATCGTCAAAGCAAGCCCGTAAATGGCTAAGCAAACGACGATGCCCAGCAGGACAAGCAAGTGAGGGATGAAGCCGACAATGCAGACAGTGGGGAACCTAAGAACACCGGGCTCGATGCTCACAGGACCACTCTCCAGGCCCCATGACATGGCGCCCATGAAACAGAGGCCCCAAAGAGCCGTGTTGAAGAGACGGTATCGGCTTTGCTTACCAATTACGTCAAGAATATGGGAGCTCAGGCTGTTAAAGCATGATATCAGGGCAATCAGTAGTAACTCGGGAGTCACGTTCATTCGATCAAGGACCTGTGCTCTCGTGAGGAGTCGTAGTGGAGAAACGGGTCCGTCGTCGGTGCCACCCGAGGTAAGAGGGCTTTGTTTTGGAAGACCAAATAACCCAAGCCCGATCGACTTGCTGATCATCGACTCGGCTTCCGCAAAGGCAAGCGAGTGCTCGAATATCGACATGCCAGTTTCGGTCATCACAGGTTTACCCTGTAACGCACACGAGAGGGTTTCCATGAAATGGCTAAGGCAAAGTAGTAAGAAAGTAGGCCACAGCAAAGAAAACGATCCGAAGGGAATGTCCGGCGTGCCAGGTACCCGTGCCATACCCACGGCACTGCAGGCCTGCTCATCGGTTTCCCACGATAGCATATTTGATGACAGCCAGTGAAGACTGCCTCCCCCAGATGCGTAGTCGAAACTCAATGGTTTTGTAGGTCGACCATATCGCATTGTAGGGTAGGATGGAGCGGTCTGGCAACGGATTCCCCGCAGTAGAGACAATATCTGTGACCCGAGGAGAATTATGGGTATTAAGCGCAAAGCCAGGCGTCTTTCCCAGCCAAGTCGAAGATGGCGACGAGTCGAGGCGTAGATGGTGATCCGATTGAGAACAAGAGCCTAGGCAAGTACATGTATCAGCGATGCTCCCAGAGAAAGTAAGAACGAGTGGTATTTACCTCCACCAAACAAGCAAAAGACCATACGCTGGTCAGATACCCGAAGAAGCCCCCGATTCTCTTCGCAGCCATCAAGAATTCGCCCAAGTACCAGTTATCACCGAAAGCCGCAGCACCACCGCCACCTGCCAGATCCGCTGCGGCCTGCGCTGCGTCGCCCGCGTCGCCCGCTGCCGCCGCAGCTCCACCCCAGAAGTTCATTTCAATGTTGGATATACCCGCAATCCGAAGGAGGTGTCTGGGGACGGTGCTAAACGCGAAAGTTTCGGCCTGGTTGAGGACGCGCAGGGGGAAGGTAATCAGAGCGAGCGGGGATGTGGGGAGGAACGAGCTTCCGGATGTCGCGGAGGCGGTCGCGTTCAGAGCCTGGAGGAGGGAGGCATCGGTGGTACTTGGCACCGCTGCTGGGCCAAGAACACTTGACATGATGTGTTGTTGTCGACAGTGCTCCTCTATCAGTCGTTATCAAATGGGATCCGGGGAGACGGAACCCTATGGGAACGGAATGGGGCAGCCCCCACGCCACGTTCGATTTCGGCAGACAAGGGGTTGGAGGTAAGCAAGTGAGGGTGATGTTAAAGTGAGGTCGACTGAGGGATCATAGAGAGCCCTACTCTTACACAAAGTGCATGTCGTATGGAGTATGGAATATGGATGTATTGGGATGGCGCTGGTTATGGGGGTGGACCCGTCGGATGAGTATGTAAGCAATGCCGAGGTCGAATCAGGAAAGCCCCAAGTTAACTACAAGGCAATACTAATAGTATATCCATGGATGTAACTTGAATAACTACGGAATAGTTCATGTCTCCTCTACAAATCCCAAACCTTGCTCAAATCCCAGGTGCTTGGGCCCACAGCACCAGGGATCCAAATGTTGCGGAGTATTGTCTCAATTTGCCATCCATTTTAGACCATTCGACCATGGAGATATTAGATCGAATGTTTTGATGCTTGGATGGCATTGCATTTACTTGATGTTAATCAAGTACCGCACGGGAAGAGTGAAACAGCAATAACCGATCTATTATTTTCGGCGCCTGTATAAATCAATAAATCACAATGCGAAGCGAAGCGACAGAGTATGTTACAGCAAAACGCCTCCTCCAGTCCTTTTTCTAGAAATGGAAAACCCGATAACTCCTTGTAAGATCAATTGTCGTAGTAGAGCATGTTTCGTGCGCCGTAAAAGCCATTTTGGTCCGTTTTCGATTCGAGAGCAGAGGTGCCAGCCGTGGTAGCTCAGTGATCTGATACCCAAGAAGTAAAAGATACCCCATTCTCTAGATCAATCAAGTGTCCAGGTAATCGGCAGCCATCAGAAGCTCCAGACACAACTCCGGGGGGATATCCATATCTGACACATTGACCTGATCCTTGTGCTTTTCGTTATAGAGGAGATATTCGCAGACCTTCTCCAAGACAATGCCACTAAAGAAGGTCGAAATTCAGAATTAGCGATGGACAGGATGAGAACGCGCAACAAGGCCACAAATGCGATGGGATCTTTCGTAAGACACATACGTCAATGTTTCTAGGGTACATCTCCCGGTGATGGCTTCGGAGAATTTGCCTGTAATGCGAGGTCAACGATTAGCAACAGCTTCGAGTGCACGAGTTGGAAAATCGAAAAGCGGTCCACCTACTGGACGGGTCCAGCATGCGGCGGATGGTGCCCGACACGCAGGCAGCACTGCGCGGAATTATGAACTCGAAGCCATCGCAGGACACCAGAGTCACATATTCGGAGGTCGGGGATGCCATGTTGGTACGGGTCGAGGCATGGAGGTCGCGCAGTCGGCGGTCCTCGACGGGCTGGGGGACATGGCGACTCGGTGGTCCGTGCGCCCGCATCGTTATCGATAAGGCGCGTCTTAAGATAAATTGGATTGATGGAATGGTATGGGATGCACCAGGTCGTGTGCCGCTTGGATAGTTTGTTCTCAGGATTGAGGTGAGTTGGAGAGACTTTTGTTTGACAAGAGAAAGCTGACCAGTGAAGGAGTGAATGTGTACAGTCATGACTACTTCACTTCTCCCAGCGCGGGTGTTCGCACCTTCCTCTTCCTCCATCTTTGCCCACTCTATGAATGACATCAGGAAAGGATGTCTTTCAGTCACCCCAAGAACAAGAGATCACCGCTTCTTTTCCTCGTCTCGCTCTGTTCAAACATCAGCAGCAACACGCTTTCAGTCTGCAAACCGGCTGGCCGGTCGTACATGCATGGTCACCGGTGGATCATCCGGGATTGGCTACGCCATCGCAGAGCGGTTCCTCCAAGAAGGCGCATCTTCTATCATTCTAGTCGGCAGATCACAGAAACGCCTACAAGATGCGGCCGATAATCTCAATGCCTCTACGGGTGTCTCTCCAGATGCTAATGCTACTATCACCACGGGAGAGCTCAATGTTCAGCAAGATGCGCCGAGTAGGATTCGTTTCCTTGTTGGTGATATTGGAGAAGCAGCTTCATGGATGCGTGAGCTGGAGAAGGAAATGGTAGACACCACCACCCCTTTGCGCAACCGCACGCGCCCTGCTTAAGCACGCTTTGCTCACTTTGATACAGGCCACGGTAGATGTCCTTGTCAACGCCGCGGGAATCTCGATTTCAAGTATTCTCCCCAGATCCGAACTGGCAGACATCTCCCAAATCCTACGCACAAATCTCGAAGGTGCGGTGCTCACCTCCCGCGCCCTAATCCGTGCTGCGATTCGCAGCCGGGTCCGAACCCGCAAGAACGACTCCACGGACGCAAATCCCCTCTCGAAGTGTATCATCAACGTTTCCTCGTTACTGGCATTAAAGGCTGGCACCGGTGCTGTGCCGTACGCTGCATCCAAGGCCGGGGTGTTGGGTTTGACTCGCTCCGTGGCCGTGGAGGCAGCGGCCTCGCTGAAGGACTTGGCCATTCGGTCAAATGCCATCGTGCCAGGATACATCGAGACGCCCATGATTGCAGGTGATTACTCTCTGGCAATCCCTGGTGGAAACGAATCTTACTGACGACAAGCCGCAGACTTCACCCCCGGCGAAATTACCCGCTTGAAAGACACGATACCCCTACATCGATTCGGAGATCCGCGAGAGGTGGCGGATGCGGCGGTCTTCCTCGCACAGAACGAGTACGCTAATAACTGCGTACTCAACATTGATGGCGGACTTAGTGCTGTCTAGGGACATTAGAAGATAGTTGTAGATAACAACATATTCGGTCATGAGGTGGACCTCTTCTCAATTTGAAAAGGCTAACAATGCAATGCCATATGATACACGTAAAGAGTAATCTGGAACATGGTAGATCAAATCGTGTACTCCTGTCTTTTAATTATCCTGTCGAGATGCATGCCGCTCTAGTCGATTAAGATGGCACCCCCGTCCTCTTCATCTAGAACAATCACCTCTTCACCATCACCGTTTGCCTGATCACCAGCAACCTTCTTTGCAACATGGCCATTGGTCATTTCTTCGTCTTCTCCGTCCCTTTTCCGTTTTCCCGGTCCGCTTGTACCATTCGTCGTTGGGGTATCTTCAAAAGAGGGGGTGATGACTTTCTTTGGTTTTCGGGGAATTTCCAACCCTTGCTGTAGTGTGACTGGTTTCGATTCTTCGGGCGAAGCCTCCGTTCTGCGAATGAAAGTTAGAAAAGCTGCCGAGAGAAACTGCGATTTTAGGGAATCGAGCTACCTTTCAACGAAAAAAAGTTCAAGATTGACACGCGGGTCTTGGTCCACATCATCTTCGTCCACAATTGTGATGTAATCGAGGTTGTTTGTGATATCTCGTAACTTCTTGGAAAGGTTATCTTCAAGGTCTGGATCATAAACCACTTCTCCTTGGCCGTTCTTTCCGTGGTTCAGGATTGAAAATTCTTCCCCGTAATCAAGTTCGGAGCGCAGCACTTCGACCAGGTCACCAAGTGTAGCGCGCTCAGTATCGACGGACACTCTGCCGTGCACAGCAGAACATACTGAGCAACTGGGTTTGGGGGGGTCAAGAGAATCGGGATTAATTGCTCTTGCGCCTGATCTTTCGAGGAAAACCCTTTACATATCAAAGTTAGTTGTTGTTAGGAAGAAGGGCATTGGGAGCTGTTGCTTGAGATTACCATTTTGGCCTGGTTTAGGTCATGCTGGAGAACTTTGAAAGCCTGCAGAACACAAAGACCTGCCGTCATGGCATTTGTGGTCGCAATTGCGGGAATGATGTTGCCGGCCATCTCTGTAAGTATGTTAGCAACGCAACCATTTAGGTGCATTAAATGTCATCTGCTTAATAAGCTCACGTTTCGTATCGAACTTGGTCTTTCTCTCAATGTGAAAAGCTGTGGAACGCAGATTCGCTGCAGCAGTCACGAAATCCAAAGTATCCTCATCGTCCTTGTCGAATGACAAGATAGGCTGAGTGCCTTTGCTTGTGTCCCAGTTAGACTGGAGCTCGATCAGGCGCTTTCTCAAGCGATCCACACTAGCATCTGGTCAGTAAAAACACTTAAAGGAGGCGGAGATAATATTGGTCATACCTGTCCTTGAACACAACAAAGTTCTCCTCAACCGACCAATCCTTCTGGCTCAGTTCTGAGATTGTTGGCTCTAGTTGTGCTGATTCGCTCTCTAGTTTGTCATAGTCGAGAGTATCTGGTGGCTGACGCTCTTTCCACATATCCTCCATGCCACGCAGCCGCTCGAGATCAAGTTTGAATACTTTTTCAAAGACCAAGTGGAAGAACTTGTCAGATCCCATAGACTCACGGATCTTTTTGAGCTCCAAGGCTTCCTTCTTCAGTCTCGCTATCTCATCGGCTGTCTTGAAGTCAGTAATCAAGTCACAAACAGTAGAAATTTCGATCAAAACCAACCGTTCTCTGCGTTTTCTGTACTATCTATGACATCGGAGTCTTCCTCGCTTTCGCCAAACAATTCGCTGTATTATTCTCAGTCAAGTATTATGAACGAAAGGGGCGGGAACTCTTACGGCATCAGCCAGCTCTTGGCCCAAACGATGCAGTGAATTGGTTGGGTTGGGCTGCCGCGGATTGTGCAGAAAGGAAAAGTTTTGGGGGTTTCTTTCTCATTGCAGTCGTAACATTCCGTTTCTCCCTTTGCAAGTCAGCTATGGGCGACGAAAGATTGCTAGACCGGGATGCTCTGCAAATCCATCTCACCTTTTTGATCACTTGTACCTGGCCGTTGAAGCCCGTGGTTCCACTTTCAATCAGCGGGACACCAGCTGCAAGGCACATGTGATTGACATGTCGCCGCGCAGCAAGGTTATCCAGCGCATTGAAGACGACATTGAAACCCTTGAACCAGTCGATGTTGAATTGTCTGTCCATGATATTCGCGTGGTGTGCTTCGAGCTTCGCACTGGGCTGAAACTTTTGCGCAACCTCCTTCGCTACCTGTATCCATATTTGAATTATCAGAATATGCTCGTATCGACAAGAGAAGTTTTGCGCGCACGACGCGGGGGAGAGGGGCGATCTCGCAAGGGAGCGAAAGGGTGTCTGAGAGGTAGGGTGACGAACCAAGGCTTTGGGTTTCTTGATGTGCTCATGACGGAAGAGAAATTGGCGATTGAGGTTACTTAGGTCGATTGTGTCGAGGTCGATGATGTGAATGTCTCCAAAGCCGGTGAGCACGAGGTTTTTGAGGAGCTCACAGCCGATGCCGCCAGCGCCGACGAGGAGAACGCGAGACTAGAATGAAGGGAGAAAACATCAGTATCTGAGAATATTATAATCCGCTGGAAAATTCGGCAGATTGTTCCTGATCGCATTGGGGCAGGTACCTCTTGGATCTGGTGAGCGAGGTCCACTCCGAGACAGCGTTTGATGGAACTGGGTCGCATGATGGCGGGTGCTGATGCGCCAGCGATATGCGCAGGGCAATGCAATCGAACGAGAGGATGTATGTGAAGAGACGAAATGTGAGGGTTGTAGGGAGAAGTTGATGACCGAAGGAAAGGAGGGTGTTGTGGAGGTGAGTGAGTGTGTGAGAGAGAAAGAGGAAGCGGAAGCGCTGGCCGGAGTGAAGGTTGTCGATGACGGCAAATGCGGAGCGGAGCCTCCTCGAGCAGGTGCGATTGCTGGCACTGCGGGCAGGTGCGACTGGCCGGGCCTGGCCTGGCTTGGCCTGTGAGAGTAACGACAAGTCTATTAGTACTGCGACTTTATCTTCTATAGCACCTCCACTTCTTACTCTCAATCTCACCATCTATTAAATATCCCTGTTTCTTTTATCTGCCGTTTAAACCACCATCCAATGTTTGCTACTCGTAGTCTTTCCCTCCCTGTTCGACCTGCACGATTGCCTATGCATTCCCATGCAGCCCGCTTCCGGCCGACATCGCCTTGCATCCCTCATACCTTTTCAATCATGCCTCCAGGGGTAGAACTACTCCTTGATAACTCTCTGGAAGCTGTTTGACTGACCCAGGTTTCCCATTGAAAATGATACCACATCACTGGCGCGTTCATTCGGAGGTTTGACGCCCTGACCAAACACTGTCACTTATGGAGTACATTGCTCAACACTGGCATATTTCCCCTTTGACCATCGGATAATCGATAGCAGAAGAACCATTGCTCCATTCCTTGCATGCTCTGAAGTTCTCTCATCCCCATCGCTGTTCAATGGTAGATGGAAGCTTCCAAGGCGGACTGTCGACGATCCAGATGCTACCAGGGGGCCCTCATTCATCTCCAACCACATACATGGCTCGCTCGGTCTCGGGCTGGCGTTCTTTTAATCCTCTCGGTCCGCCAAATTCGATGTATTATCCCATGTGCATTCACGTTCGGCCTCAGAAACAACGCCGAGACAAGCTTCGGTGCTTGGAGTCCCCGGAGCCAGGTCTCTTATCTCCACTGAAAAAGCCACGCAGTGATAACAACCCAATAATGGTCTTGTCAACTGCAGGAGCTATCTGTTTCTAGTAACTTATCTTCCCCCCTCGAAGCAGCAAGTCCAAGCGTGATAGCCAAAGCACCTCCGCTCAGGCGCGGAGAAGCCGATGCGGGGAAACAGCTCGATCAGCCACCCCATTGCTTGTCTTTGCCGATAGCGTCACAAGCGATAGGGCCTTGCAATTCACAAAGAAGTCCCTGAAAGTCTAATGGTCGATTGCATGGGAAGTAAAAGTGATGTTGTTTAAAAGGCCCTTGGCCCCGCTCAGCTTCTCGACATATCCTCTTATGTTTCCCATGTCTGTCGCCGTTTCCCACCATCGCTATGGATCTGGAAACGAACCCTCCCCTGAAACCTTGCGATTCAATTGATCAAGCCGTTCTCGATGCGCACGATCTGGCTGCCCTGGGACATGACCAGGTTTTGTCTCGGAAGTTCAGCCTAGGCAGTATGCTTGCACTCGGCTTTTGCGTTTTGGGCACTTGGGGCACTTTCGCTCAAGATCTTGCCACTGGCTTGGAGAGTGGAGGACCGGTGGGCATTCTGTGGGGGCTTGTTCTTGTTACTATTTGCAATCTATGTGTTGCACTATCACTCGCCGAATTGTGCAGTAGCATGCCAACTGCATTGGGGCAGGCATACTGGGTTTATAGACTTTGGAACACTCCAACCGGTCGCTTTGCCTCATACATGTGTGCTTGGATCAACACCTTTGGGTGGTGGACGCTGACAGCTTCGGCGGCTGCATTCATGACGAATTTCCTGCTGGGAACGAAAGTTATGTTTAATAACTCCTGGGCTGGTGCTTCTGAAGGCTGGGTTCAGTTTATCCTCTACGTTGGTGTTACGGCCATGCTCATTGTGACCAATTTAGTATCCTGTCGGAGTGATAGGACGCTGCCAATTTTCAACAATATTATTGGAATTTGGTTCGCTGGGCTGTTCATTGTAATGAGCATCGTGATGGTGGTTTGCGTGGCAACTCAAGCGGATCTAACCTTTCAGCCCTCTCGGTTCGTGTTTAGCGGGTGGATTAATCAGACAGGCTGGAGCGACGGTGTGACATGGTTTATCGGTCTTGTCCAAGCTGCATACGGACTAACAGCTTTCGATTCTGTGATTCATCTTGCGGAAGAGATCCCCGCGCCTCGAAAGAATATTCCGAAGACGATATATCTATCGGTTATTACAGGTGCCATCACGGGGTTTATATTCATGGTCATCTGTCTCTACTGTATTCAAGATTTGGATCAGGTCTTGAATTCACCTACTGGACTTCCATTCATGGAGCTCATCACAAGCACAGTCGGCCTTAAAGGTGGTATTGTGTTGATGGTCTTGTTCATTGGGAATGGCCTCGGTCAGGCAGTTAGCATCATGACCACTTCCTCTCGACTCACCTGGGGGTTTGCGCGGGATGGCGGGCTGCCCTGGAGCCAATACTTTACTCACGTTGATACGACATGGAAGATGCCAGTTCGAGCTCTTTGGCTCCAAGGGCTTCTGATTGCCCTGGTGGGAGTACTATATTTCGGTGTCGACACGGTCCTCCAGGCCATCCTAAGTGTCAGCACGATCGCACTCACAATCTCATACTGCATCCCTATTCTATCTTTGCTGCTCGTGGGCCGTGAAAAACTACCTCCCGGGGAATTCCGATTGGGGAGACTTGGCCCGGTGATCAATTGGATCAGTGTGGTATACTGTCTATTGACAACGGTTTTCTTTTTCTTCCCAGAAAGCCAGAACCCTTCGGCAAGCGACATGAATTATGCAATCGCAGTTTTTGGGGTCATGCTCATCATTGCGGTGGGATTTTGGATCTTCAAGGGCCATCGGACCTACTTGAAATCCGAAGATTCCATGAATGCCGTCATCAACGCGCGCTGTGAGGAAGAGACTTTTGAGCCGGTGTACGAACAGAAGAAGAGTTGATTATCTGACTGTGCAAGACAGTCAAGCATTATCATCTGTCTACAGACACCGAGGCAGTTGAACGGTCAAGCATTATCATCTGTCTACGGGCACCTAGGCAGTTGACCAGTCAATCCTAACTTATTCCAGGTTTAAATAGATCTCTTCGGTCATCGTAATGATCCCGGTGTAGTCACTCTACCCATACAAGCCCTGGAGTACCAGTAGTATATTGGAGTACCACCGGATCCAAGGATGGAGTGAGGTCAGCCTGTCATCAGAATATACATCTAGACTAGTACATATTATTTTTGCGCCCCACCAAGCCCCCAAACAAGATCATTTGCATGCATGAAAAAAGTACCAAAAAAACTTAAACAATCACCATATAAATCTCCTCTATAAATACTATATTACGATAGTATACTGCCCCTGAATCAGACCGGTGAATCCTGCTTACATAAGACACATTGGACCTGAATTTTCTCCGTGGCGACAAAGAAAGGACAGAATCAACAAGCAATTGTACATAATTTCTTCATCGGAGTAATCATCCCTGTCAAACTTGGAATAAAATCTTCAGTTCGATCTTCCAACCAGGTCTTGAAGCCCTGGAGCTTACCGAACGGCCGGTTGTCCAACTCTCCTCTCCCACAGAAGCGGCCACGCGGTTCCCTGAACAAAAAGGAGGCTACTCGACAAACGGCGTGTACTAGAATTGAAGGTCTTACTCTCATCGTCCAATTGAATATCCGATCACCAACGACTATCAACAAAAATGCCATCCTTGGAGCCAATCCCCGCCAGGAACCCCAACCTACCCGATGGAGGGTCCGACGATGAGGCAGACCCTGAACTAGTGGAACTCCTCCGCCAGCACCTCGGACTGGGCGGCAAACAGCAGAATGATCTTCCTCCAGAGACCAGAGTTCTGGAGGGTGCTCAGTACATTTTTGACAATGCCATCGACGTGGCCCTGAGTCCGGCGCAGACCAAAGAAGCCGCCGAGACAATATGGCGAATGATGCAGAAGAAGGCCTACTCCACAAAGACCTGGTCAGAGCATGAGCTGCATCCCCAAACTAAAGATGAAAGCACTGTTGATTTTATTTTCACAATGGATCTTTTAAACTTTAGCTTCTGGTCCGAGGAGAAAGACGAAGCGAAGCGTTTCTGCATCGAGTATCGCGGCAAGAGGTGGACAGGCTACTGGAGTTTGGTTGCTGCCTTGCAACGAGCTCTCGAGGAGAAGATCCCTATCACAACTCCAGACTTTTGGATCGATGAGGAGCAATGCACAGATGAGCTGCTGAAACATGTCTTTCGATCCGCCACCGATGAGGAGATCCCTTTGTTCCAAGAGCGAGTCCAATGCCTGCGAGAAGCAGGTGAAGTTCTCTGCAATGTGAGTTAGATGACCGACCCCGATATTTTCTTACTTCGGTACTAATGGAGTTAATGTTTAGGAATTTGACGGAAGCTTTGTCAACTGCATCGATGACGCAAATTTCTCTGCTGCCGGTCTTGTAAACTTGCTCACCGAGAACTTCGCTTGTTTCCGTGATGAGACGAGGTTCAACGGAAAAAGAGTTCGGCTTTACAAGCGCGCCCAGATTCTCGTTGCAGACCTGTGGGCCTGCTTTGACGGCGAGGACTTTGGAGAATTCAACGATATTGATAAGATCACTATGTTTGCGGGTGAGTATTCTTAATACATCCGATTTTTATCCCAGCCCTTTCTGACTTTGTTTTGCAGATTATCGCATTCCGCAAATGCTCCACCAGTTTGGCTGTCTTCGCCTGTCTCCCCCACTGGAAAACCACATTCGAGATGGAAAGCTGATCCCAGCGGGCTCAAACTGGGAAATCGAACTCCGCGGCGCGAGCATCTGGTGTGTTGAGCTTATAAAGCGGGAGATCGAGAAGCGTCACCCAGAAGTAAAGAATGCTGGACACAAAGGCATCTTCACTCCGTCCGAGGAAAACACTCCCCAGGACTCGGAGGCCGAGGCCGAAGTCGAGAAAGCCAAGGCTGAAAAGCCACCGAAGACATACGGAATCAACGCTATTCTGATTGACTTCTTTTTGTATGATACAATGAAGAACCTGGAAGAGGAACACAACGAGAGTGTTCCTCACCACCGGACTCGGAGTATTTGGTACTAGTGTTTTGGAATTGTTTGGTGTTTCAAGAGGTTCGATTCGCATTTGTACCTGATTCTTGGGTGGCTCTGGAAGCCTATGGCCAGGTGGCGAAAAGTCATATAGATTCATTGGTAGAGATGGAGGGACATTAGACATTTATTTATTCGCGATTAGGTTACATTTCACTGCAATATGGCGCAAAAACCCAGCTTATATGATTGGTTTATTACTGGAGATAAAATCAAGACATTTCATGTTTACTGTATAAGGGTATCAATTATCAATTCTTCCTAGCGCCAAGTATGCTAACCATATAACGTTCCCAGTCCCCCCGCAAATCAAGCAGCTGCTTGTCCATATCGAGACATCATCTCTGCCTTCCATTCCACGAAATCTTCCTGGCGATCTTCACTCAACCAATCCACTCGATCCTGCATCATAGTGCCCAGACCAGGTAAAAGGCCACCTCGAGGAGCAGCTTCCCGCCCTGAGCGAGGGCCGGCGGCACCTTCACGGCGTTTGGGAAGTTTTACACCACGAAGAGCAGCGTCCTCCTCATCAAGGTTCCGGTAAGAATTACCTTCCTCGTCTTCACCATCCAACTCCCCAGCGTGTGGGATATTGTCGAACCATTCTTGTCCACTAGCCCACCCCTGTTCCATGATGAGAGCGATCCATTGGTCAACATCATCGCGATGCCGTCGGTCATTCGGAAGCCCCAGGCTAGTCAAGGCAGTTTGGCGCATCTCGGTGAACGTCTTTTTATCCATCTTCTGCGCTTCGGCATTGGCCTCGTCCATGTCATCAGATGGTGCCGAGCTACGCCGTCTTGCTAGCACGAGGAAGTAGACAGCCACAGCCATAGCGTAGACCAGTTCCTTGAAGTCGTCGTCATTTCCTGCGGGTTTAATAGAAACGATGGGCTCGAGGAAATCTAGAATCTCCTCGTCGAATCCCTCTTCATCGATTGACATGCTTGATGTCAGGAAGAGGATAGATGAAACACCGGCAAATATGTGAGGGGGCAAGGTTCTAGAGATCGGAGGGCGAGACCAAGTCGTTGTTCGTGGAGCCGGAGTTGCGAGTGTCTTGCAAACGGTTCGGATGGCGGTCATCGCCCATGCTGGGGCATCGGGGATAATGGTAGAGGCAGTGATGCCCCTTGGATGAGCAGAGAGGGATTTCCGCGCCGACTTTGATGGCGAGCCGAGTTTGTTGGCCACACTGACACTCCTTTTCAATGGGGTGGATTTGGAGGGTGTATTTTGGAGACCGCGTGGAGTTGGCGCTGCTTTCGTAGGGGATTGTGCAAGGGCAGATGCCTTAGTCGGAGTGGTTTGAGCAGCTTTAGATCGAGATGGAGAGCCAGCGACAGATCCACTTGCTGAGCGCTTCATTCCTGTTGAACTCGCCGAGAGAGACTTATCCAACCATGTATAAAGCTTCTTGTATACGCGCGGCGGGCATGGCGGGTGGCCGAGCAACGGGGAAGTGAAAGTGCACGAGTCAATCTAGAGGTCATAGAACGAGATTAGCAGTCTCTCCGAGATTAGGAAGCTGAAGCTGGCCATACCTCCTGCAAGCAATTTCGGCGCAAGCGTATGGACGGGCGATTTCTTCCTCCGGCTTCAAGCTGCTGGACAAGCTCCGTGATTGAGCTACAAGACTCAAGGACAGACTGAGGAGCTCTTGAGGTAAATCTGCAGCATGGGTGGGCACCAAAATCCCCAACGCTTGTTCGACTGGTCGGTTATTCATTCTGGCGATGTGCTTCAGACCTCGGCGGCCTGGCGGAAACTAGAGGATTGGCGATGGGCGATGGGCAATGAGCGGAACGGTGTTCTTCGTAAGTGGGTAGAAACACGGTAGTCATTGGGTCTTTATTGCAGCCAGCCAAAGAGTTTGAGTGTCTCACCCTGGAATTGAAGCTTCAATGGTTGTAAACAATCGAGGGTCTTCGACGACGAAAGCGCCGCATGCTATGACTAAGCGCGATGTCGATCGGCGGGTCAACTTCGCTGAGATCGGAGCATCGGTGCTTTCGACCTTGAATACCAATACAATCTTCACAAGCATGTCTGTCACGGTACGTGGACTCTGTCTAAACAGCCCAGGCGGTTTCTCTCTCTCTACAGAAAGTGCCAATCTCGCAACAAAGGCTAACGCTATCTCGTATCTAGCTCCATACGACCCAGGGCGACCTCAAGGTCGAGCTATTCTGCGAAGCAGTCCCTCAAACGACCGAAAACTTCATTGCGCTGTGCGCATGTGGTGCATACAATGATATCCCCTTCCACCGAATCATGCCAGGCTTCATGATCCAGACCGGTGATATCTCCTTGGGTCCCGCAGCGAAGCCCTCCGCCTCCAGCAAGCCCATGTTCGACTTCGAAATTCCCAAGGGCGGCACTTCCATATACCACCCCTCCGCTCTCAATCAAGAAATAAACCTCCCAGCTCTCCGACACAATGCGCGTGGTGTTCTCTCAATGGCTTCCCGTCCGGTTAAGGACAAGACGGCACCAGGTTCTCAAAATGCGACGGGTCCGACGATCAACGGCAGCCAATTCTTTATTACATTTGCCCCGGCACCGCATTTGGACGGTGCAAGCACGGTCTTTGGAAAAGTGTTGAACTTGAGCGCTCAAGATGAAGGTGGTGATGTTTTGTCGAAACTAGAGAAGGCCAACGCTAAGGTGGATAAGAAGGGCAAGGTTTCGCAGCCCAAGGAGGGTGATTCATTCGAAGCACTTCGCATTAACCACGTTACCATACATGCCAACCCATTTGCCAAGTGAGACATCGATTATCGGAATGATCCTATGCGGGCCCGTTATTGGATGTCTGCTCTAGGAACTATACTTGGGAGGGTTACAATGCGGCCCTCGGTGCCCTCATGCCAGCTATCTTATTCGGAACGAAAAGATCACGCTTTGGAACAACTGCTCATCCCTTCATGATTCCGATATGGGTTTAAAATGCTGTCCGAGGCAGATTTTGCCAGCACACACAATGCGCCACCGCGAATAAATGGAATAGACCTTGTTCAACCTCGAAGACAACGGCATCGCGGTCGTGAGAGAGGAAACCAACAAGCGCTGGCTCAGATATCTGAACCATTCAAGCTTACGCTCAGAACGTGGGAAGCGCATTGACGATCTGGAAAGATGCAAAATTAAACTGTTCGATGGAATAGTGGAATAATCTACAATATACCCAATGGAATTTTGATTCAAAAAAACCCAAATACTTTTCAGTCATTCCCCAACCGTCCCCTCATCGCCGGATATCTAAAAGCCTGTACAAAGTATAGTATCGTCAAGACGCCATCATGCAAATAAACATATAACAGATCGCGTAGTAGTCATAAAAATGGATATAAAAAATTGAAAGTCAGTGAACGTCATTGAGCAACATAGATTATGACTTCTGCTCCTCCTTCTGGGCGTCTTCCTCGTAACCCTCAGTCTTCATGTCCTTGAGCCCAAGGTCATCCTCTTCTTCGTCTGTGCGCTTATACTCCTCGATGGTGAGCTGAGGATCCGCAGCAGGCGCACACAGATCTTGGACGTAGCTGTTGGCCAGAGGATCGCTGAGAGTAATAGTGAACTGGCCGCCGAACTTCTCGAAGTCGCCGTTGATAGCGCATTCAAGACGCTCGAAGAAGCGATCCCATTTGGCCTTCTCGTTAGTCTCGAGACTGTCACCGCCGCCGCCACCAATATCGAACAGGTGACCCTTCAAGCTGTCGCGTACCTCGGTGAGCAAGCCCTCAAGGGTGGTGAAACGGCCACCAAGGGTACCAGCCTGGATCGAGATCTCGAGCTCGTCACTGTGCACGGCGCAGGTGTCAGATTTGAGGATATCGCGAGAAAGATCAACCTGTTCCTTCACGACCAAGGTAATGTGCTTGCCGAGCTCGGGAACCTCTCCACCAGTCTTGACATCAGATGAACGCAGTCCACAGTGTTCGCAGACGTTGCTCCACAGGTAGACCTCCTTGAAGTAAGGAATGTTAACCTTCTTGATAAGCAGCTCGCACGGCTTAGTGCAGCCAGGGCACTCGGCAGGCAAGCAGTATTCCTTGCCATCCACGATCTCAGAGTCGGCGCCCTCTTCCATCTGCGCAGCCTCGGCATCAGCGGAGATTCCGAGCTCCTCGTTCTGCTCGTGGGTGCGATAGTAGAGCTTGGTGCGGTACTTGTTGCCACGGTCCAGGGTGTTAGGGGCGATCCAAGAGTTTCCAGTGGGGTCGTCGAGGGAGATGGTGAAGGGGAAGCCGGTGCCATCCAAGAAGCTCTTGAGGCGGTCGACCAGGGGCTGGAGGGCCTCGTAGAGTTCGGGGGCTTGCTCCTTGCGAGCGGGCTGGTCGTTGGAAAGACCCTCGTGGACACGCTGGATTGCGCCCTCAACGTTGGTCAAGTTACCCTCACGAGGAGCTTCAATTCCAAGAGTATCGATGGTCAGGATTCCTTGATCAGACTTGACTAATTGTCTTTGCATATCGTCTATGCTCTCAACTTCGAGGGTGTACTTTGCACCTTGGGTTTGGACTAAAGTGAAAACATGGTCAGCATCTGTTTTGCTCAGGTAGTCTAGGAAGAATTGGCACATACTTTGACCAGCTGCCTTGATCGAATTGTTGGCAAAGTGGCAGTGTTCGCACGAGAAAGACTCAAGGATGATATCGCGGAAGTAGGGGACACGGATAAGAAGCAGGCGGGTGACTCCCTGTCATGAAGCAATTGACGTTAGTATTCGGAGCTATGCCACAAGGCTCAACATTGCTACAAATGCGATGACGACTTACATTCTCATGGCAGTTCATGCAGAGAGACTCAACCGACATAGGACCCAGGTCCTCATCGTCGCCCTCTCCCTTCTCAACGATGTCTCCAATGTTCTTGAACTGCGACTGCGACACGACATTGTCAAATTCGGACTTGGCCGCTTGCTGCTCCTCGGCGGACATCTTGGGGAAGACGGACAGGGGTAGAATAGAAGAAGAATGAACGTATTGAAGATCACGAAGGGTCTCCAGGTATCTGCGAAATAGAGAGAGGAGGGGTGGTTGTGGAGGGGTGGAGATGAAGCGGCAGAATTTCTTATCGCAAAAAAACTCCGGCGGAACATTCCTTTTTATTCTTTTTGCTCTGCGGTGGCGGGGCTGGAGGGGCAACACCGCTCCCGATGACTAATGTGATGATGCCCGATCTATACAAGACAACAGGTAAGATGCTGGACCTTTAGTGACTCTTCGATAACACAGTATAATGGTATTCAACTGTGAAAAATGACGAAACCGTGGATACAAGTCAACCCATCCATGATTATTGGCAAAAGTCCTATTTGAACATGCTTCCTAGTTGTTTCATGAAATCTCCGCGAAAACATCAGCCAAAAAAAGAGAGCAAAAAAAGAAGAGAAAGATTGCGGTTTGCCTAGCCAGTAGTTAGCTGCCGTCAGATGTAATGCTCAATAAGATAGGAGCACGTATAAAACAAAAAATTATGCCGTTTTCTCCACCGAAGCAGAGAAAACAGCAAGTCCATCAGCCGTCGCTTGGTTCCTATATTCCGCCCCATGTCGAGTCAAAACAAACAGAGATTCGATCCCACCACCTGGCAGCAATTCCTTGATAGCTAAAGACAAAGGCAATTCTATCCCGTCGCTTTAGGACCCACACCGTATCGACACCGACCGGAATACCTAGTCGAGGGCATGCAGCAACAGAAATAACGTAGACAAGCCAAAGCTTTGATCCTCACTCGAGAGAGGTCCCACATTACTCTGCAGAACGCGTACATGCCGACAACCACTAAATACTGCAAATCGGATCGATCGGATGATGTAGCCACCGGAAAAAGAAATCGGGAGACATGAATGCCTTTGGACTTCGGCCGGAACCACTGTGATGTGTGAGCCAATATTAAGCGCTCTGCCGACCATGACAAGACGGAAAGGGTTGAGGAATATATGGTGACCAAGGTGAAGCTATGACGGACGTGAATGCAACCGCCCTCTTTCCGCACCCCTCAAAGGTAAATCGCGATTGGGCCAAGCCCTGATGATCAATCGAATAAACCTTGCAAGATCTTCATCTCCGCAGAATTGCACAAACAGCCATGCATTCGCATCGGCATCTAATCGAATAGATGGAGCCAGTTTCTTGTGCGTGGTACAGTACCCTCTGGGACAAGTTTTTGTTTCCTCCCCTGATCAACTGCAAGGTATCTCAGGGGGGCATTGGATAAATGAAGCGAACAAAGAGCATCCAGAAAAAACCGCTTCCGTCTTCCTGAGGAAGGAACAATGAACATATGAGTATATGCTATCGTTGATGTAGTCGGCGCCCATCAATCGATCTGCAAACTGATTCGCAGAGAGATGGCTGACACAGGGGGTCTGGATCTTCCGAGGAAGTCGAATTGGTGGCGGGTGCCATAAAACGAGGGACCTAGCTGCTCGAAGCTAAAGAATGGCAGTACCGAAAGGGTGAAAGAAGGGGGCAAGGTTTTCCAGGAATCTTCTCTGTGGGAACGCGCACGGGTCGGGCAACAGCTTTTGCGTACAGAGACGAAAAGAACGCAAACGAACAGAATCGAAAAACACCAAGCTAAAAGGGGGAAATGCATTGTCGGGCCGGAACGTGCCAACAGTCCAAAAGCTTTGATAATGAAATCAAAGAGTCATGGAGACAAACAAAATAGAAGAACCTCGCGACATTGATAACTATGAAAGTGCCTGGGACACGATCAGGGAGAAATACAATGATTCCGACGAGTGGATCCTTTCAAATTGAGCAACCATGCCGTGTGTAATCGAGACTGATGTGTTCTAGACGCCGCATTTCTGAACCAAATTAGTTGGTGCCCTAGGCATTCGATATCTGAACGCCGCAATTGATTCCGATCGGCAGCACTGTTGTTTGATCCCCCCAAAGACATCCTCTCATACCGAGGTGTCCGGCGCATTCCACCCTCATTTTCCTTCTGGTAGTGTGTCATTCAAAGCATAGGTTGACCATCCGATTGTGACCGGCATGCAAATCCAGCATAGGCAGAACCGACGCATCGCCCGTAGGGACGCTTGCATAGTAAAGCCGTCTTTTGTGCCCCGAAGAGCTCTGGCAATGTCGAGCAACTTTCGCATAACTGATCCATCACAGATCAATTGTACTAGTCATGATACCCGGCACGCTTTTTCTCCGTGAAACTGAGTCTCGAGAGACAACCGACTGGATAAGTCTTAGGGTTAGATCCCAACATCGCCCGGACGACAGATTAAGTTGCACTGAACAGAAAATGCCGAGGTCGGGTGATAGCCGGATCAAAGAGGGATTTGCTGTACTTGGATGCCTCAAAGGCAAGAAACTTGGGGATCCACATCCTCGATAAGACGTGACGAAACTCCGGCGTTGGTAAACAAAGCTTTGGAACAATGAAGATTTTGGGATTCAAGCGAATTCAAGATGATTGATCAACAGGGGTTCTGCCATCGCGATTGAGTATCTCTGGGGGTGTTGAAGAAAGTCGGCGAAAGCATTGTAGTAAACAAAAGGAGAGAGACTCGCCTTCTCCAGTGTATGGGCAGGCGCGTCGGCGGGCGCACCGAGGCGGATCACGCGACGGGTGATCACGTGATTAGCACACGAGCAGCGCCAGACCCGATTACTAAGCAGCATTCAACCCGCCAAGACCCGCGGCCCTCTTGGAGAAGCATTTCTGATGCTGGAAGAATCAACTCATCAGCGATGGATTTCGTGATGCTTTATCCCTTCCACTGTTCATGATGGAAGATCTCAGTAGGGTTCGGAAGGCGTTTGATGCCGCCAACGAATTTTTGAACCCGGTCCTGAATCGAGGTATGCGGCCGGAGCTTGTACTTTGATTTTGAACTCCGAGCTAATTCAATTCTAAGATGAAATACAAAAGTCCCAAGGCAGGGCGCTTCTAGATATTCTCAGCCAATCTACAGAAAATGTAGACGTTGAGGATGGTCTCAAAAGGCGGACCGTTGTAGGTCAGGCATTAGATATCCTGAACCGGATCCATACGTCCTTCGCAACACCAGCCGGGGATCAAGAGCCGGTGGAAGATGTAATTCCCGTCGACGAAGATCCGGCCTTGGAAGATGCAAAGCGCCGTCGACTGTTACATGCATTACTGGACTTGATATCTTTGGAAGGAATTTATCCCTCTCTTTCATCAGGAGTTGGTATTCCATTGCAACAGAGAGTGATTTCGGTGCTGCCAGCTGGCGTGATTGCGAAGCAGACAGCTATCCCTGCTAGTAGCAGACCTCACGATGAGGTTCTTCTTCGTCAGATCATGAATGTTACTCTCAAAATAATGCTAGACCCCACGCCGAGCATTCAGCCGGTCATTCGAGGCCGCATCTTGAGTGACATGATTAGCGCCACAGCGGACCTGGCCTTCAACCCGAATATCGCATCCTCGTCTGATCGAGGCAATTTCAAGAGTGGGTTTCTGAAGATCATTGAAGAGTATGTTATGTCAAGACAAAACCTCAATACCAACTTTGATGCTGACCCATTGAAGGACACCTAGTGCCGCTCTTTTGCCGACATTGTCCAGCTTTCTCCAATCAGACCCAACAGATTGGTTTAAAGCCACAATTTCGGGCCAAATCGCGCGGACACCACTGCGTCAGGGCGGGGTTCTACAAACAATCATGTTCATTGCCTCTCAGTTTGCTCCGTCCCTCGGACAAGAAGCACAGAGCGAGTCATCAAATGGGCCGCATTTTACAGTTCAAGCTATTATGCAAATATCTCGATTGCTATCATCTGTTCCCCAGGACATCGAGCCTACTTTATACTTCACCAATATTGCTCCTCAGCTTCTGGCATTGCTAGATGGTCCTGACCCAGATTTGAAGAAAACGGCTTCTTATAGTATTGGAAATGGAATACTGGGAAAGCGTGCTTATGGCGCACCCGGAACAATTGGCCATTCTATCTTCGTGGAGCCAGTATTCGCAGCTCTGACCGCAGAGCTAAACGACAAATCAATGTCATGGTTGGCACACTACGCGGATATTGAGGGTTCTTCCTCAATGAAGACTGAAGAGATGAACTCGGAATACACACTCGTGGAGGGAGACATGGTCCACCTCGCGATAGAGAGACTGAGAAGCCTGGCTCTCCAACATCCGAACCCCGGCCTTGTCAAGAGAATTGTCTATCCAATTCTTCTTCCTCTTTGGGGCTTGATTTGTTATGCCCAAGAGAAACAACTCAAGGAATACCAGGAAAGGATTTTTGAACTTCTGCAGACATATTTCAGCATATCGGTGGGCGTGCAGCCTCTGAAGAAGCTCGTCGATCACCTTCTCTGGGACAGGGGTGCAACTTGGACTTATTCCACGAACCAACAAGGACAAATCCTTTTGACCAGGCGAACAGACCAACAAGATAACCATTCCAACATTATTCGAATGATTGACTCTCTACAAAGTCGCACCGACCTTTTCGTTAGTCTGCTTGGCTCTGACCCTAGTGGCGAGGAACACACTGGCGATATTTTCCTCTACGTGAGTGAGAAATGGCTGGTGAAATCGAACAACGCTGGCAACTCCACCGAGAACGAGAGAATTGGCGAGTCAGAAAATATCATCCAAAAGCTTGTCAGCGCCAAGGTGGCCGAGAAACTACTCGACACTTTCAAGGATACTTTGTCTCGTCGGCCTTTACGAGTGCTGGAACTCATAAAGCAGGTTGTTGATGGCGAATTGCATAGGCTTGGTGGTCAAGCTTCAACCAAGGGAGATCAGAAGGGCAAGGTTTCACTATCATCTCTTGCCAGCATTGTTCCAGAAAAAGACACACAGGAAGAGGGTACATCTGACAACGAAACATCTGAATCCCTTTCTACCGCGTTCAGCCTTTTATCTACAATTATCGCATCTCCTGAATTCACCACCTCGCCCGAAACTCAACCTCCGCTACAGGCCATCAAGGACCGATTGGATCAACTCATCCCGCTCCTCCCGCCCGCACTAGCGAAACCAGCAACCACATCATCCATGCTGGTAGAGATCCAGCTCACCCACCCAGAACATGACGAAACAAAGCCACCCCCTCCGCACCTCGCCGACCTTGATACACACCGACAGGCTTTGACAAACCTCAACTCGGACCTCCCACCCGTTCAAGCAGAGGGCTTCTCGCTACTCTCAAAGCTAGTATTGAAGGGATCTCCCGTCCTCGACATTCCATCCACATTGACTCTCCTCTTATCAATCATCACGGACACCAGTTCCTCCGCCGCAAATGAAGAATTCATCTACCTCAACGCGATAAAGCTCATCGGAACTTTGGCCTCGCGGCATCCACGAACAGTCGTGAAAACCCTCGTCGAAAGCTACGCCGACAAAACCGAACAAAGAGCCCTAGACCAGCGACTGAAAATCGGCGAATCACTCTCCGAACAGTCCAAGACCTAGGCGAAGCATTATCCGGCCCAACAGCCAAAATCCTCGGCGACGTCATGATAACAGTCGCAGGACGACGAGGCCGCAAACCCGAATCGCAGAAAGAGCGCAAATCACAACTGGAAAAAGAGCGGCGCCAACGAGAGCGCGAAGAGCGCAAGCAGAGAGAACCGGCCATGCCTGAAGGGTGGAAGTTCTCAACGGGACCAACCGACTCCAAAAAGGACGCAGAAGCCGAGGAAGATTCCGATACCGAGACGCCGGAACAATCTGCCCACGCTGCGAATATCGTCGCCGCATGGGCGGCGGGTGCATCGTCGGATGATGAACCGGATGACCTTCGTGTTCGCGCATCTGCGCTCTCTATTCTTGCCTCTGCCGCCCAGGTAAATATCATTGGTCTCGGAGCAAGAATATTATCGTCAGCAGTGGATTTGGCCCTCTCAACGCTGACACTGGAACAATCGCCCGAAAGTGCCATCCTGCGCCGTGCGAGTGTGATTCTTATCCTCGACATCCTCAAGGCGCTCGACTCAGCCCGGGAAGCGCAACGAGGAAAGGAAATTGGCTTTGGGTTCTCGTTGACGGATTCTATAGGCGGATTTGGCTCGCAAGATACGGACACGCATGGTGTATCGACCATCGGCAACGTACCTCACATGCTACGGACGCTGGGCTATGCCGAGAGTAAAGAGACTGATCCGATTGTGCGTGGGCATCTGCGTGCTCTCATCGAGAGCTTGGAGGCTTGGTTGGAGAAGTCTTTGATGTGGGGGATTGGTGTGCAATCTGATGGTGATGAACCGAGGCTCGAACTGGGTGATCGGATTGCTGGTTTAAACGTCGATCCTTTGGCTGGAGGGTCGGGTAGGCCGCGTATCGAAGAGATTGAGTAGATAGCTGTTTCGTTCTCCCCAAATGAACTTCGTTTTAGCCTTCACATGGAGCTTAGCAGTACTCGGTAACTAAAAGGAACTTGAATTTTGAATAAGAAAGTTCAATTGGAGAGAACTAGAAGAAATATGAGAACAAACTAAAGGGGGAATCATTCTTGATGAAGGTCATAACAGTCATTCTCACAGAGCCGATCGACACAAAGATAAAAACACGAACTTGAGAAGCAGTAGAAAAACAACCACAGAGTGGAAAAGGAACTGATTCACGCCACAGACCCCAAATCACGGAGCGTCAACAGAAGTACATCAAAACGAACAGGGGATATTACGGGTGGAAAAAAGCCCCATGGAATGGAGAATCAGCAGACACTGAGATGAAAAAGCACAGTAAAGTAGAAAAAAAAAGAACAACACCAGAGAACAGATTGGTATCCCCATGAACATGCTCACGGGAAAGTATTTCACACCGAATTGCTGAACTGACCGATAGTTTGAAGGATCATATGAAATGCTGTCAGTGATACGGAAGTTGGATATTCGAAGGACCATGTGAGATGATGCCAGTGATGAGAAAAATGTGGCAGCGGCCTAGACCTTTCACTGGGTTCCGCGTCCAGATCCGCGGTGACCACCGCGGTGACCACGACGGCCACGGCCCCTGTGGCCACCACGGCGGCCTGTACCTCGGTGACGATCCTCGTCACCGTTCGCCATCTGGGTGGCAGGAACGCTGGAGTAGTTGATGAATCGCTGTTCTTCGTTCAGGTAGAATTTGTTGTCGATCTGAAGCAACTCGCAGAACTCCGCGGTCTGGAGGTTTGGGAACTCCATCGGCATGGTAGGATGTTGAATGTCGCCAGTCGGGGTGGAGCGGGGGGCGGAGCGGGTGAAATTGTAGGGGACGTTCATCAGTCCCTTCTGAACAAGGTTTTCTTCGACCCAGCTTTCCTGCTCTTGGATACGAGGAAGGTATTCATTCTCACCGAGGTCATCCGGGATTCTGGCATTCTTGTCTCCCAGGACAAGGTCGTCGGCGAAGACACGAGTGATGGCCAGCCATTCTTTATCGTACTGAAGACGATAAGGCTTGCAAACATTGACGTTTGATTGGTCCGAGACAGGCGCAATACTGAGGAGCTTCACAAAAGCATTGTGATTGTTGGGCTTGTCGAGTGCCAGGAACTTTGTGAGCTTGTTGTCAATGGCCTCTGGGTGTGCCATGGGTTGCCGGGTAGTCTTGGGTGGGGGGCGTGCGAACGCGGCGGGGAGTTTGGTACGCATGTTCTCGGAGACAGCCTGGTCCACAAGAGACATTTGAGTGTTGGAGGGGGCACCCTCGTTAGCACCGTCGGTACCAGCCTGGAGACAAATGTTGCGAGTTCCAGTGGTCGTAGCCTCGAGATCAGCTTGCTGATCCGTTCCGAATGAGGTGAGCTCGGATTGTTTGTTGGTCGATGAAGTGGTGGTGTCCTCATGAGAGGAATCGTTCTCCGAATCGAGGTCAATCTCATCATCATTCTTGACTCGCTTGTTGGCATAAACAAGTGAATCTTGTTGATCGGCGGACTTGCCAGAAGACAAGTGCTTCCAGGTCACATCGACGTCGGTGTTAGGTCGCTCCACTTCCTTGCGATGGGCCAAGTCCAGAAACTCTTGTTGGCGAATTTTGCTGTCGCACTTTTGGAAGGTTCCCCAGGCTGCAAGGCGATCGGCCTGTTCGCCGTGAGGGGCCAGATTCTGGTTTCCGTACGCAGCCATCATGGTGTTTGCAACGGGGCGTGAGTTCTCAGAAGAAACTTCAACAGCTGGGGAGGGCTTAAGAACTTCGGGTAGAACCTTGGGACTAGCCACCTCGACAGCCCAGACAGCAGGAACACCCGGGCTAGGCTCGACCCTCTTGGTCAGGACGTTGCCATGCGGGATGGTTGCGGCAAACTCGACATGGAGATGAGCAGAGAACCAGTAGCGGGGGCGAAGACGGTCCATGACCTCGCGAGCGGCCTGGTTTCCGAGTCTCCCGTGCTTCGAGTCCTCCTCAAAGTCCTTCTTTTTGCGGAAAAGGAGTTTGAAGTCACCAAAAATCTCGACCTGTTGAGGCCAGTCGTGGGACAAACCGATGTCGACTTGAGTGCGGATTTGGAGAAGCTTGCGAACATCGAGTTCGCGGACATGGAAGACGGAGTGGAGGTCTTCAGGGCGATATGGAATTCGCTCATGGTGGGTCTTGCGGTAGTCGTACCCCTTCCAGATGCCAGACATGCCGGAAATGCGGAGAGGGCCATAGCGAATGACATTCGCAGCACCGAGATAGTAGATGTTGTGAGCGATCCAACCACCGTAGTAGAGCTCAAACAAGTGGTTGCTCGCCTCGTGGTTGCCACCACAGAAGATGGTCAGGAACGGTGCCAGACGCTGACCACTGTAGTACTCGTGGTAGTCTCCCATTTTGCGAAATCTGCTGGGGACGGAAAGACACGCCGCATCGTCGGCGTTTCGGAGGGCCTGTCCGAGTTAGCTGATATTCCCTTGCCCGTGAAATGAAGGAATTGGTAGCAAACATACCTGGAAATCGCCACCGATAATGACGATGTCGACACCATCCCAGCCACGCTCAGCAGCAAACTTTTCGACAGTATCGTAGATTAGGTTCAGACTACCGTGGCCCTGCGATATCATCAGCATTGGAACAAGCAAAGACGCGATAAGATGTATGAGGCATTCTCAACACGTTTTATGGGAGTAAAAAGTTGAACTTACGCAGCCAACGGTTGCCACGCGCACTTCAGGGGCGTCCATGGCAGAGTCGGTAAAGAGAGATGTACACCAGAGGACAAAATAAGGACAAAATGGTGCAAGATAGGATATGTTTGAAAGGAGATGGTCAGGAAGAAGGTTGGGAGGGTACGAGAAGAAGAGAAAGAGACGAAGACAGAGTGAGCACCTTATGAAGAAATGTTCATAGGCAGCGAGGGTGGAGGGTGGAGGGTGGAGAGAGAGAGGGGGGGGGGGAGGGGGAGCAGAAGAGAAGGGGGGAAAGGGAAAGAGAGGTGGGCGACGGTGAGAGTGAATGTCAGTCGCAGTGAATTGTGAACAGTGAATGTTGGTGATGAATGTATTCACGGAAGGAGCGAATTTGACAGGCTGCGAAAAAGTGGAACCCACCGCGTACCTTCCTCAGCTTCCCCCAATTCACTATTCACAATTCACAATTCACTTTCGCTAGTTATTCACTGTGCATTGCAATCTACAATATACTGTCCTTATTGGAAGTTCTATTCACCACAATATCACAACACCGCAACACCACCATACCGCCATACAATGCCCCCAGTTGAGCCACCTCAATTGCGCTTCCTTAGTGACGCTGCTAATCTCCTGGGCTCAAGCAGCCCATCCACAACAGCCCATCTCTTAACGGCGCATACTCATATCCTACATGATGAATCCAAGTCGCTGACCCCACGCCAAACCAAGCATCATTGCGCCGGCTGTGGTAGTCTTAGGATATGTAATGCTTCTAAGCCCACAGTGGTAAAGACCAAACAGAAATCCCGTACCGCCATTCGCGGGACTGCTACAGTCCACAAATGCGTACGCTGTAATCAACGCGCCGTCATTCCACGCAGAAGATCCGCCCCAAGGGCTCCCTCAAAGGCTCCTTCTCGTGTGTCTACAGCTACAGCCGTAGATTCGGCAGCTTCGGCAGCTTCTACACCCTCAATCTCTTCACAACAGGATCTTCCCGCCATCGCATCCACCACTGCCTCGACCGAGAAAACGGTGGAAAATGCCAGCAGTAAGAAACGAGCCAAGGCTAGAAAACAAGGAGGTCTCCAAGCTCTACTGGCAGCAAAGAAAAGCACCCAACCCTCACTCGACCTACTCGATTTTTTGCAGTAGACCTCGAAGCATCAAATCCGGCCGAACCTTCTTCCGGGCGCGGCTCTAACGCGGGGCGATGACCGCGGAGCTCCTCTCAGGACTTGCAACCTCCACCGCCAGCTTTGGTGTTGATCCCTACCAAACCTCCACCTTTCTTTCCTTCCGACTACTTCACCCCCCATACGCTATTGCGTGGAATTGACAATCATGTCAGTCTACTCGCATGACGAGGAACATGACCCTCAAGCGGACGAGCTCCGCGAGACAGCCCTGGTCACGCTCGAGGCCTTGATTAGCTCTTGCAACCAGCAAATGCTGCCATACCTGGCCAACACGACCCAAGCTGCCCTCCGGTTCCTTAAATACGACCCCAATGTCGCCGAAAACGAAGACGATGAAGAAATGGGTGGGACCCAGGACGACGGAAGCGACGACGATGCCACCGAGGAGCCTGACATGAGTGACGATGAATTTGAGGATTTCGAAGAGGAGGATGGATATAGTGATATCGATGATATGAGTTGGAAGGTCCGCCGTTGTGCTGCCAAGCTCCTCTACTCCCTGATCTCGACCTATGGCCACAGTCGTGCCCTCGATGACTCCGCCTTATACCAGAAGATTTCGCCGGCCTTGATCTCTCGAATCAGTAAAGAACGAGAGGAGAGCGTGAAGCTGGAGGTTGTGTCAACTCTCACTGCCCTTGTCCGCAAGACCAGTGAGGGCTCTGTCATCGTCACCTCGAACGGCTTTCTAGAGGCGGTCGGAGGATCCAAAAACTCCCGCAAGCGCCGTCGCCAGGACAGCGATGCCAGTATGGTCGACTTCGAACCCAGCGTTGGCACATCCTCCGCGATCGACTCGCCATTCGCACCATCCTCGCCCAAGTCTGGCCCCCCAGGCTGACCTAGCTCGATCTGTGCCATTGGTTGTCCAGAGCTTGGTGAAAGTGTGGAAGCAAGCCTCTATGCCTCTCCGCCAGGCCGTCATTGTACTTCTGAAAAGCCTCTCCCTGGTTCGATATGGTGGACTGGCCGATCATCTGCAGCAGATCGAGGATCTCATCGCGGATGCTCTCAAGACATCTTCTCTCTCGGGAAGCTCTACTACTCATGCTGGTGCTGCTGTTAGCGCAGGTACCTTGCAGATCGAAACACTGGGTCTTGTCTCCGCTATTGCTGAAACACACATGTCTGACGCCCTACTTCCTTTCCTCATTGCTCTAGTCCCCGGCGTGGTGGCAGCCGTCAATGAACGAAATTACAAGGTCAGCAGCGAGGCACTTGGCGCGGTCGAACAAATAGTCAAAGCTCTTACGCCCCCTCGTGTGTCTGCCAATGCTTCCGATGTCTCTATGCAGCTAGTGACACTGTACGACGTGATCCTGGCTCGTATTACTGACACCAGTGCCGACCTGGAAGTTCGACAGCGCGCTATCCATGTCTTTGGTGTGCTTCTAGCACGCACCTCTGGCGATAGAGGCGTTGACTACCTTTCTGGAGACCACCGTTCCAGAGGTCTCGCCGTGTTGGCAGACCGAGCGAAGAATGAAACCACTCGCCTGTCTGCTGTTCGGGCGATTGATGATGTGCTTGTCTTGGCCAATCGCAAGGAGGATATCGAGGCCAATTGGGTCAATGAGGTGACCCATGAACTTGGCTCCAACCTCAGGAAGTCCGATCGTGCACTTCGGGGCTCATGCCTCGAGGCTCTTCGAAGTCTGGCTATGAACTCCTACACCCGAACTCAGCTCACCCCGCAAACAATGACATCGCTTGAGGCCGCTCTCCTGCCTTTGCTCTCGGCACCTGATTTTCATCTCCTCACACCGACACTTATTATCATCGCCAAACTTGTGCCTGCCGATTCCAAATCCCTTGTGAACGAGGCTTTGATTGTCGCGATCTGCTCTATCGTGAAGCAGCCGCTCATCGGCACTGTCCTGAAAGCTCTACTTCTCCTTGTTAAGGTCATTGGAGAAGAAGGAGCGGGGGCACAGCTGATGCAAAATCTTCTACAGAATGTCGGCATCACTGGCGATTCTTCCGTTGTAGGACGGGCCATTGGTACACTGTTGGTCCACGGCGGATCTAACCTTGGAGTTACAATGGATGATTTCTCCACCGAGCTGCGCACTGCGGAGGACGATAGCCGGAAATGTCTTGCTCTTGCCATCTTGGGTGAGATCGGTCTACGCATGGGCGCTGAATGCTCCCTGACCCCCGATCTCTTCATCGCTCATTTTGGGTCTTCCTCTGACCATGTCCGCTTGGCTGCTGCGACCGCTCTCGGAAATGCCGCTGCCGGCAGTGTCAAGGCATACATTCCCATCATCCTCAATGGCCTGGACAAATCCAACGGCCAAAGTTACCTCCTGCTGCATTCCGTGCGGGAGCTGCTGCAGCACCCCGAAGTTGTTCGCCCCGACCTTGCTCCATCTGCACTCAAACTATGGCAAGCACTTCTCGTCGTCTCGGAAGAGGAAGACAACCGTGCTGTTGGCGCTGAGTGCGTTGGCCGACTTGCTCTGATTGATCCCGCGTCGTACATTCCCCACTTCCAGGTATGTTTTCCCTGTTCCTCCCTCCATCCCAAGTTCTTTTCTAATCCAGCCATCTTAGGAGTACATGTCCAACTCCAACCCCGTCATCCGAGGCGTCGTCATCTCCGCCTTCCGCTACACACTTGCCGACTCGAGCAACGCCTACAATGATGTGCTGCGGCCGCTCATGGTACCCCTACTAACCAGCATGCTCGGCGAGAAGGATCTGGGCAACCACCGCCTCGCGCTGACCACGCTCAACTCTGCGATCCATAACAAGATGGCACTAGTGCTGCCGCACCTGGGCGAGTTGCTGCCAGCAGTCTTCGGCGACACCCAGATCAAGCCAGAGCTCATTCGCGAGGTGCAGATGGGACCTTTCAAGCACAAGGTTGACGATGGTCTGGATCTACGAAAGAGTGCCTATGAAACCCTCTACGCGTCATTGGATACCTCTTTCGCGCGGACCCACATGGCCGAGCTGTTCGATCGGGTCATTGCCGGAGTGGAGGATGAGCAGGATATCCGGGCGATCAGCAATTTGATGACCGTACGACTCATCAAGATTGCACCGGAGGAGACGGAACGCCGATTAGACGCATTGTCGGAGCGATACACGACTGTGCTCTCGTTCAAGCCGAAGGACAACGCCGTCAAGCAAGAACTGGAGAAGGCACAAGAGGCGTCCTTGGGAATCCTGAAGATTACCAAGGAGCTGAGCAAGGCATTTCCGGGAGCCGAGGCATCGAGCGAACTTCACAAGTGGAAGGGATATCTGGAGTGGGTTCGCAAGACTTTTGCGTCGCAGTACCAGACGCTGGAGACCGAATTTTGAATTTCAAAAGTGGTTGCCTAGACCCGTCAGGGGTTGGCGTGGAGCCTCGTGAGGACCAGTCTGGTCGCTATGATCATGATGAATGAATGCATTTGTTAGTTGTACATCGAGGTATTCCCGTAGGATTTTCAATTAGTGTAATGCTTGGCCGGACAAGCATGTGTGTGAGATCTAAGCCTGAGGATAAGCCCTGGAGGACGATCCTGCCAACCCAACGAACGATGCCAAGGTGGTTGGCCCCCACGCGGGCGGGACCCTCTACTCCACCGCGTCGGACCTGCCGGGCAGAGTGATGTGCACTGCGAGTGATCTTCATAGGGCGTTCTTGGATATCGTTGCTGCCGTGGTGTATTCTAGTTGGGTCATGAATATTGCGTCAATTGAGAATGCTAGAAATACGAGTAATACCATGTAGTACTGTACAGTACACGTCGAGCCCCACTATTTATAGAAGCACCGCAAGGACGGACTCAGTATGATAGATCGACATTCGAAGGATGGCGATATAATACTAGTAGGTAGTAATAGTACAGAGTACCAGGTAGCTGGAAGACAGATTGATCCAATTTAATAAAATCTAGCAATTGACACTATTGTTCCAGTCTAGCACGGCTTCCCAGTACTTCACTAATAAGCTTATACGGGTTAGTCTTTGGCGGCAGACACTATAATGACGAGATGATGATTGGTGGACACGCCATGGGCGCAGGGGTCTGAGAGTTTGACATGACGAGGGGTTCCGAAGATGGAATTCTGAAACGAGAGAATAGACGAACGAGAAGGCCAGGCAGTGCAGAGGAATACGAGGCTGAAGGCCTTAGCTGTGGGGCGTAGACTGGTGTACATGCTCCGTCCTCCGCCCTCCGTCCACCGAGGCTGACTTGGCCAAGACCCAAAGTGGCCCCCAAAAGGGGCAATGGGCCTTGTGCGTGGTCGACCAAACAGAACTCTCGACTCCCTGGACCCTGCAAATCTTCGCTGTTGGCGCCCTGTCGGGGCTCTGCTTACTCCGCGCTCTCCCTTTTACTTTTACTTTTACTCTCGTTTCAATCTCTTCGTCCATCTTTCCCCTTCCCCGATCGCCGAGGAATGGAGTGTTGCGCCTAGTCGACTCAATTCCGCATCGATCGCGACGATGATCACCATGAAATACCAGCTACCGCACTTTCTGCGGGAATTCATCCGCCTCTTCATTAACCCCATCACCTGGGTCGACGTCTACTGGCCAGCCTCGCGCAAATACTTCTTCTCCCTCCTCTTCATTGGAGTCGTCTGCGCCAAAGTCCTCCATCTCTACTCCCATATCACCTCCCTCACCCTCGGCCGCTTTCTCCTCTGGGGTCCGACCTTTGTTGTCCAAGATGTCGCCTGTGTCCTGATCGCCCAGCTCCTATGTCAAAAATTCCACAATCGGTGGTACCGGGCGCTGGCCGCCCCTATCATGATCTTTGCGAGGTATGTTTGCCCCTGATTGCCGCCGGGCGGATGAAGAACCCGCCGAATCGCGTGCCCCCGAATGAAGCTAATTGTCGCGTGTCCAGTTTGATGATCTCCGGACTTGCCGCCGCCAACATATCCTTCTACATTCAAACCGGTGCCGAAATTCACTGGCGACAAGCACACTCCTTCCACCGCGACGCCGCCTCCGTGAAAACCCTCCTGACCGGTCTGGCCGGTATTGTCATTGGCCAGGTCATATTTACCGTGACCGCTTGGTTCGCTACACCCTACTTGTATAACTGGGTTCGGGCAGGTGTCCGGATCCTGAGGGCCGCAGTTGAGCCTGCCTGTGTCTGCTGCAAGCGCCGCTCAAAATCCACACCCAAAAATTACGAACGGGTGGCATATGATGATTGGGATGAGGAGAACGGCGAGTCCGAGGCCATGCTCGGTCTCAATGACCCAACGAAGCCCCTGCCTCCTCTCCCGGAATCCTCGCAGAGACGGAAGCCTGCTCTGCTGCTCCGAATTATCGTCGGTGTGGCATTCTTGTTCCTAGTCCTGCTCCGCGTCGCTCGCCCTTCAGAGACCGCTTACACTTTCCTCTCGCAAACCGTCATTATTACGCCATTCGAGAAGATCGATCGAAACCAGACCTCCGCCGTCGACGTACCCGATCTCGAAGGTGACTGGAGCTGGTTGTTCAACCACACCGCGCTGGGTGAACCTCCTAAATTCGACTGGCTGCCGGAGAAGAAGCTCAAGGGATTCCGGGATTGGTATACCAGCAAGCACGGCGAGAAACACCTCCACTACGACCCAGCCAAGGACCCGCTGAAGATATCCAACCTCGACAATGACATCCTCGAGCCGCTTCGTGAGGCGCTCAAGGGGGATGTGAAGATCAAGCACGTCTTTCTGTTCAAGCTGGAAAGTACGCGGGCCGATGTTTTTCCAATTCGCAAGGATTCCTACCCGGGTGAGCTCATTCAGAAGTCATATGGCGGGGAAATTCCCCAAGAAGTCGAGGAGCGACTAGCCAACTTGACCCGGAATGCGCAACGATTCACCAATACTCCCTCTGGTTTCAATGGCGAGGACAAGGTTGACCCGTACGGAGGTATGTTTATGCGCAATGCGTTCACAGGTGGCACGTTCACCCTGAAGAGTATCACAGCCAGTGTCTGCGGTGTTGCACCACTGGTCGCCGACTTCAATAAAGAATACCTTAATCATGTTTATAACCCATGCTTGCCACAAATCTTCACTGCTTTGAATCACTTGGACAACCGAACCCACCACAATCACACCAAAGCGGATGATTTCACCACCTGGCCATGGCACTCGACTTTCATGCAAAGTATCACCGACGACTACGATAACCAGGATAAGCTCATCCCCGCTCTCGGCTTCAAAGATAAGATCACCGATGCGAAGATCACTGAAGACTATGAGCACTCGAACAAAACTGCCCCAGAAAAGTACAACTTCTGGGGTTACCCTGAACACGAGCTCCGCAACTACTTCCTCCATGCGCTCAAGCATGCTGAAAAGAAGCACGAACGTCTTTTCATTACCCACTTGACTGGTCAAACCCACCACCCTTGGGACATGCCCGTTGGCGACGAGTACGAAGAGTATATCCACTCCAACCTGTTCAACCGTAACGGCCGAGTCAACAAATACTTCAACACTATAGGTGTCGCTGACAGGTGGTTGGGTGAAGTCGCCGAGGTCCTGGAAGAGGCTGGCGTGGCCAATGAAACTCTCTTCGTGATGGTGGGCGACCACGGCGTCAGTCTGTAAGTTCTAACCCCCCTTACCCCCAACCCTAATTCAAAGCCTGACTGTTATTTCTAAAGACTTGAGGACAATGGAGTGACCCCCTACGATGCTCCTCACGTGGCCAGCTTCAAGGTGCCGCTGGTTTTCTCTCACCCGATGCTCCCACCCATCAGCATCGACTCCCGGGTCACCTCGATGCAGATTGTGCCTACTATCATGGATCTGCTGAAGGAATCCGGCTCCCTGGGCGAGGATCAGGCAAAGGCCATTCAGGACATTCTACCTTTATACGAAGGACAATCAATGATTCGTGAAACGACCCCATCAAAGGATGGTAAGCGGGACTGGCAGTTCACCGTTATGAACACTGGTGGTACGTGGTTGGCCGTGCGATCTGCCGATAAACCCTACCGTGTGGTGGTCCCGCTCGTACCTGATGTTGAATGGCGATTCTCGAATGTCGAAACTGATCCCGAGGAGCTGCACGTCCAGGGGTCTTTCGAATTTTTGCCTCTGCTCTTCCAAGTTGCCCGAGACCACGATGATGATGCCGTCGAGTGGGTCAAGGAGGCAGCGCAAGTTACCAAGTGGTGGGTCAGTGAGAACTGGCGTCGCTACGAATACGAGCCCGAATCCGACTCTTGATTGTGAGATCCGAAGCGTGAAGAGGGCTCTTGATTTTAACATTAGGGCTGCGGTCGGGATGCGGTCGGGATACGAGTCGGCCCACGGCTACCGCGGCCCGGCCGAGGCCCGACCGCCCACCTGACCTGAGCAACATCGACAATCATTCATTCGCGCTTAGCAAAAAATCTAGCCTTGCTTGGTTAGCGATTGCTTTTCAATTCTTGCTTATTATTGCTTGACACTGGAGCATGACTTGAAACCCTTTGGGCGCGGACCTCAGCTCCCATTCCCCGAGGGCAATGGTCGTGCACAGTTTGCATTTACCCCATATCTCTTGGGAAATTACGGCGTTCTTGGATGGTGTACATATGAGGATCTGGGCTGTGATTTTAGGGCAACCATGTTTTGTACATTTAACGGCGACGATGTCTATCGATCAGATAATGACCTCGCCTACGGCACGAATGATAATAGACTTTCATCAATTGATTGAGTACCCAGCGCTAGTTACAACCGACCACATTCAATCTATTTCTTAAACGACAAAATCTCAGCACTAGGAATAGACAACCAAGCATCCTGATCCTCCCCCCACTCCTTCCAAGACTTTGAAACCCTCTCCAAGTCCTCCCCAGTCGCCAGGCCCCCCTCCAAGGCCGTCGATGAGAAACTGCTCTTCAACGCCCGCTCCTGCCAATTACCACTCCACCACGCAATCTCCTCCTTACTAGCATAACACCAATTCGTAACAGAAGATCTCACATCGTCCAATCCCGCCTTTCTACCCCAGACATGCAAGAAGCGCCCCGCATTGGGCTCGCCGCCATTAAACCTCGCAATCCGATCATACAACCCCTGCCACTCCGTGAGTCCAGGTAATTCGGGGTACCAAGCGAAAACCCCATAGTCCGCCTCACGAGCGGCAATAATACCGCCACTCTTAGCAACACGATTCATCTCCTTCAGTATGCCCACGGGGTCGGCAACATGCTGCAAAACCTGATGACAAAGCACGACGTCAAAAGACCCATCGTCAAACTTGAGACCATTCCCATCCCCTTCGACGAATTCGATATTCGTCACTCCTCGTGCGGATGCTAATTCACGAGCTTGCGTCAAGATCGTACCCGCGCGTTCAAGTCCCGTTACATGACCCTGGGGTACGTACTCGGCTAGATCGACGGTGATACTTCCGGGACCGCAGCCTATGTCGAGGATTTTCATGCTCGGCTTTAGGTATGGGAGGAGGAAGGAGACGCTGTTTTTGGCCGTGCGCGCGCTGTGGCTGCGGATTACTGAGGCGTGGTGGCCGTGTGTGTAGGTTGCTGCTTCGGTTTTGGTGGTCATTGTTGCGGTGGTGAAGGAATATTGGAAAGGTGCAGAGTGATTGAGAAAATATCTCCGTGTGAAGTTGAAGTTGCTTCAAGTTTGAAGGCCTGCTTTGCTTTGTTTTGAGAGTTATTTTACTGGTTGTGTTGTGGTTTTTCTGGGTTTATATACCTCGACCTGGAGATGATGTAGTGACTTTGACAGGGCCGATATCGGCGCTGCGTAATGGCGGCGGTTATTGACGCTTGGTTCATATTTGACACGGACAGCCCCATTGGTTGAATGGATGTGGATTATTGATGAATGATTCGCCGCTCGGACGGAGTTCTGAACCGACTCGCCGTTGTTGCGTGCATTACTTTGTGGTTTGGTGGTTGGTTCCGGGCGGGGCACTGACATGGATGAGTGTATACATACCCGCACGTGGAGGTTTGCAGTATGTTTTGGCTAGTTTTAAAGAACCAAGTTGAATTCTACTATTGTTAAGTTAATTAGATTAATCGTAATCCCTAGTCCCAAGGACCAGAGGCAATGTTTTCGTTGCTCGGACCTCCGCCGTGGCCATGCACCTGGGGTCTATCCGTCTCCATGTCTATGGGATAATAGTACAGAGGGCATCGAGGTCTTTCGGCATATTTAGCTGGCCTACTATAGCTAGATTCTCTAGCAAGTTAGAACCTCGGAGCAGCCTCGGTTGAATTCTCCTCCTCTGTGGATTGATCTGGCTGCAGATTATGGAGCCAAGCTACCCCGCTGTGACTTGTGAAGACAACACAGCATCTGCCCCTCAAATATCATTCCTCACCCCCCTGGACCCGAGCAAGGAAATACATAGAATCATTTAAACAAAAACTACAATCAGAATGTCTACCCATGCCAACGACTACGTTTTCCTTCTTCTCCCGGGCTCCTTCGCAACCGCAGGGGCATATACCAAACTCGTCGAGGCACTCCGCGCCCAGGGTGAACATGTCGAAATTATAGACCTCTTATCCGTGAACGATGGTTCCCGCCAACCACCCGCAACAATGCAAGATGATGCAGCCCACATCCGACAAGCTATTCTCTCAATTCTAGACAATCCTACTACTCCAAAGAACGTCATTGTGGCACCACATTCTTATAGTGGCATCCCAACTACATGCGCACTGGAATCTTTGAACAAAGAGGCGCGAGCATCTGCAGGAAAAACCACATCCGTGACCGGCATAGTCTACCTCGCTTCCTTCGTTCTCTCAGAAGGCGAGTGTCTGCGCGGAATAATGGGCGAATTCGATGCCCTCCAGGAACCTTTGAAAACAGGTGTACCGGGTGGATATCTCCCTCCCTTTACGCCGGAACTCGCACAGCTTGTTTTCAATGATCTCAACACCGAAGGGGCACTCGAGTTCCTGCGCTTCATGTCGCTGCATGCGTCGGATAGCTACAATGGGGAGGTCTCTTATGTTGCGTGGAAGGATATTCCCAGTGTGACTGTCATTCCTAGTATTGATATCGTTGTGCCGACGCCAATGCAGGAGGCTATGTATGAACGTGCTGTGAAGGCCGGTGGGAAGATTGAGAGGGTTTTAATTGAGGGAGCTGGACATGGACTTCCTGTGAGTCGGTTGGATGCTGTTATTGAGGAGATGGTTAAATTGGCGCGGCGAGAATAGGTTTGGTTCAATTTCAGCAGAATATCACTGGTTATGAAGTGTAGCCTACTGGATAGAATGGCGAGCTGCTCACTGAGATCCGTCGAACCACTGCAAGACTTGCTCTCTTGGCGAATTCTCAGTACTATCTCGTTCACCAGCGAGTACAAATGCGTAGATATCAAACCGTGACTCTTAATGTGGTCGCTCCTTCCAAGTTCAGACCTCCTTCTGAGCGAGTGCTCCTGCTGATCTGGGAGTGCTTTTGTTGATCTGGCGCACTTGCCGTATAGAAGTAAATCCCTTAAAAAGTAGTCCCCCGCCCGATTTCATCGAATAATTTCATCCATACTATCCGATCACTTACTGGTTTATCCTCCAGAGCGAATAATGCTGACACGATAAGGGAGTTAATGGGGCAGCCTTTATGCGATACTTGGACACTTCGCGTTCAGGCTAACCAGCACTATGCAAATGAGCCACTTATTCCAATCCTAGAGATTGCGCCAGTCGCTCTTTGTCCCTTTATTTGGATTCTGAATATGGCAATTCGAGCCGACCAGCTTTCCCCATATGTCTCTGGACGAGATGCTAGACCAGATGCTACATGACCCAAAGCAACAGCTCCCTTGCCCGGCCCTGAAACATTACAGGATCCACTCAAGCGACCTGCAGACAGGTATATCTAGGTAGGAGCGCGACAGACGTCAGAATTTGCGCCTCCATCACCACACGATGGAAGTGGAAGCAGGATCCCTTACTGGCGGAGCGGTCGTAACCACCTGGGCATCCATGGATCAGCGACTGCGCAAAAGTTATTCGGGGGCTGATAAGCGGAGTATAATGCAACTCTCTCTCTCTCTCTCTCTCTCTTGCTCTCTTCGAGTTTGATGGAGAAAAACTTGAACTTGAAAGTCATGATTGATGCTGGATCCGCATCATGATACCCTTGCGAATTCCAGACGCGATAGAGCACTGGATAGAATTCAAATTCCTTACATTTTCCCGTTTTCCAAGGTTGTAAGGTTACTTATTACAGTCCATACTCAGGCTGGAATCAGTGAAAGGTTGAGAAGTGAAATATATATTGATATCAATAGAAGGACTTGAATACTTTTTTGAGAAACCCCCCCTTTTCACTTTGCTCCATCAGTAGGGGCCATTGTCAACTTTTTGAACTTTCTCTTCTTCATTGACACCGACACCAAGACTAACACCGACATCAACACCACCACCAGCGCCCGCACCGACGCCCGCACCGATACCCGCATCGACAACACCACCACGACCACCGCGAGCACCACGGCCACCACGGCCACCACGGCCACCACGGCCACCACGACAACCGCGACCACCGCGACCAGCACGGCCAACACGGCCACCACGAGAAGCTACTTTCAAAAGGTTAGAATACAAGAGCAATGGAATTTGGACTGAATTTGACAAACCCGGCCGCTGGGAACCGACGTTCCTGAGCACGGCACGCATAAAATTTGCGTAACACTCCGCGGGATCATGGTCAACCTTCCAACAGGCGAGACACTAGAATGGACACAATGAGACATGGCGCTGGAGCTGAGGCGAAGGAAAACATACCCGCTGGGGAGGGTCAGGAGGGGGGAGAGGGAGGGGGGCGGGGGAGTAGACATGGTCTTGACTCAAAAGGACGTTTGAAGTCGATGGCTTGAAGGTGAAACAGTGATGTGAACCCGAGCGAGAAGAAAGAATTTTGGTGGCGAGGAGAGACAGAAAAAGAGAAAAGGTTATGGGAGAGGGGAGGCCTTTTAAAAGGAATTGGAAAGTGCAGTGGCTCACTGGCAATTGGCGACAGTGAGGTGTTGTAGGCTGATTCTAGATGGTTTCAATCCCATTTGCACCACCATGGGAAGCTCTAAAAATACGAGGAAAGTTGGAAACAAGAGGTTCAATCTTGATGTAACAGAATATCCGAAAACTAGTAATACTGAGATATGTTATGCTAGGAATTGAAGACGGTGTTCTTCATTCTTTTTCCTTTTCTCTTCTCACTTCACTCGAGGCAAATGGCAATCGAGCACGTGCTGGCCAATTGGCCCGATTTGGCGACAGCGAGGTGCGGCAGCCTTACCCTTACCATACGTACTTACGGTACCTGAGTACCCAGAGTACTACTTGGCAGTGACAAGGTCTGGAAATACGAGGAATGCTGGAAACAATACCTCAATCCTTAGTAATTCGACAGAATATCCAAAAATTAAAAATGCCAAGATGAAGTATATCCGACGTCGAGACAATCATGGTGGAGTTGATCGACAGAAGTGGGGTCTATGTTCTTAATGACATAATTTCTAAATTTCCAAATTTACTGCTCACACTAACACCAGCTAAAGCTTTGGTCGCAATATTCCAGTCTCCGATTGCAAAAGCGCCACGACATTTTGGGCCGCTTGTTGACCCTGCTCGATTGCTCCATCAACAAATCCTCTCCATCCATCTGCCCAGTCGGCGCTTGCAAAAAGGACTCTCCCATCGGGCTTTTGCAGTTCCTGAAGAAAGGCCGATGCACATCCCGGCCCCCAGCAGGCCCAGCCACCCTTAGAGTAAGGATCATTGACCCAGTCATGGGTGGCGTAGGCTTCGATTTGAGCGCCTGGGTGGATATCCGCCCGGAAGCGATCTATAATATACTTTGAGTTTTTCGGATCTTTCAACCCCATATTATATCCAAATCCAATGCACCAAGTCCCCGATGCATTCAAGCCGTGAGTGCCGTTGTGATCAGAGAAGGCAAATACATAAGCCGAATCCCGAGAGTCAGCAGTCGCGAACCAGCCTGGCTCAGTATCCCTGAGCTTGAAGTGTACTTTTGTCCCCTTGTTGATATGTCCCTTGGCAATTGCAGACTGTCGGATAGAAGACAGTGAATTTCTAAATGTCACATCGGTCAAGCAATTTCTTTTCTGGATTAGCCGCTCGATTCAATCGCCTTTCTGAAGATAGTGGACTTACAAGGGAACAGTCGAAACGACATATTTTGCTTTGATAGAACGGCCCAAGTTCGTGATAACCTCGACCACTGAGCTGTTTTGTCTCACCTCCTTCACAGTAGTCTCCAAGACCATGTCCCCTTTATATTCGCCCAAAATTGCACGCGCAAAAGAGGTCATACCCCCATTGCCAATTTTGTAAAGACCAGCTAGCTCGAATACACCGGCCATGCTGTGTCCGCTTAAAGCATACCATCTGAGCGCTTCTGTGAACGCGATTTCTTGTCCAGGGGCACTACCGAAAGTACTAATGGTCGATTCGAACAGCCCCTTCTCCCAGTCTGAAAACCCAGACAAACTAACCAGCCTATCTTTCACAGATAGATGATCATGTTTTGTCCATGGTGCTCCACCCTTAAAGGGATCATGGGGATACGGCATTAGCTGACGACTGGTCATTAGTTCGATGGTGAAAAATGCTTCCGCAAGCTGCTCCAAAGCATTCATTGAAACCTCAATGGGTATCTCCTGGGTGGAGCCGACCCATATTTGAAAGCTTGCTTCGCGGGCGCGGCGGTTCCTGCAGAGGTCTTGAGATTGGTGTGGAGTCCGTACCGGCGAAGCTCGCTATACAGATGAGGCTGCGCCCAGTGAACCCAAGTCCCACCCATCTCGATTTCTTCCCCAAGACCTTAGCCGTCCATGTGCGTCCGCCAATCCGATCTCTTGCTTCCAAGATGAGCACTTTTAGGTGGTGTCTTTGACTCAATTCTCGTGCTGCGATTAGACCCGTGAAGCCCGCTCCTATCACTATAACATCATAGCTTTCATGAATTCTTGCGGAGCTGCTTTGTACTGCATTCGTCTCTAAGCCATCTTGGCTTCCCTCTGGTGTCCATAAAAATCCTTCCTTTGAAAATGATGCCATTTTGAGGTCAAATGAAGGAAGAGTGGGATATGAATGAAACCTGGAATTTTAAATTGAGAGAGCGGGACATGACGTCGTATTTATTTACAGATTTCGAAGGGGCTCGCATTTGCGAACTTCATTCAGATACTAGTAGTCTCTGCAAGATCTATCATCGCTATCGTTTTCCATAATGGATACTTGTATTTTACTCGACAGCGATCAAAACGGGAATTTAGTGCGTTGGAGCAGGGCTAGTTACGGTATCAACCAATCGCATGTATTCTTCGCACTAATTCAGCATGCTGGGATGTGCACCTAGCGGGTCTGCTTGATTGCCTTCAGAGCGACAGGGCTTTGTCAATTTTTTTTTCTATTACTCGTTTCCCTAGAGAACATAACTGGATATGTCAAAGTTTGCTCATTGCCCTTCCCCCACACTTCCAAGCCACTCCGAAACGATCAGACGAGAACGTTATGGTACTTCCACGGGGGAAAAAGAAAACATCGCCACCACGGACTGTTGTTGTCTGGCCAGTGGTGTCTTTCAAATTTATTTCTCCTGGATACAGTTAACCTTCCGTGAATGCTTCGTGAGGGATTAACACACCCTCTATGACAACTCCAATTTCATCGTACTCGTACTTCGGAGCGGTTGCCTCAGGTCCCTTTTCAATTCGAAACCAGGCCCCGGCAATCGGACTTGGAGCTTTCTCACTTTGCGTCCCAAGACAGTCGGCTTCAAGAATTTGTCAGTAAGATCGGGCATTTTTATCATCGGCCACTGGCAAGGCTACCAAAGAAAACATTCGGTATTCCCCAAAATTGGGGATCTTGAAGCTATCTGTTTTGCTTCTAACTTCAAATGCCATCGTGTATAGGACTCGGAGGAATTTTTCGCTGGTCAAAATTATGGTCAAAATCCGTCGAAGTCGTGAGCCTCTGTTTCCCCTCTGCTTTCTCGTTTTATCTCTTCCTTCTTATACTACTACCCTAAAAATCTGAAGCCAATCGCTAGTAACTTTAAAAAAAAATTCGTCTCCACTCTTCGCACTCGACGACTTTCAAATTAGACATTTTGTGCGAACATTAATACCGTTAAATTTGAGCGCCAATTTATCCGAATATAGTTTCCAGTCGTTCATCAACCATAACATTTGTCCAGTGAACAAATGACCCACTCATGCCCTGCTGACCGGCTATTCTTTGCACATCGGCCCGGAACCAGGTTCTCTCCACGACCTCCAACGCCCGTAAAACCGAAGCTAAGCCAACCAATCTGTGGATATTTTTCAGTCGTTCTCTCACAAACGATCGCCAATGCTCGTGTATACCTTGTTCATTGTGGATATTGGCAAGCTCGTCAAAGAGTCCGACCTTTTGAGATGCGGAAGCAGGAGAAGAAGATTGTAAAGCACTACCGGCCACGATAAGTGGAAGGCAGAGTATTACATTTGCGCCTGAGTCCAGCGGCAAAGTTGATATAATTGTTAGTATTCCCGTCGCTAGAGAGAGCATTTTCAAAGGCCGTGAAATTTCAAGGCGATAGGAACTATCGCATTCAGAGCGACTGGACTCTCTTGCACATGGCGTGAATAGTTCAGGAAATGAAAGATAGAGCTCTAAAAGAGCCGTGAGTCGGAATATTTGCGCAGTCTTTTGAAGGTGAATCACGGGTGTTTGTATATCATGGGTCTGCTCGATCTTTTCCAACGGCGGAATACGGTATCCCAGCAGCACTGTCTCAATTTCACGGGCTTTCTTGATCAAATTCGCTTGAATTTGTTCCTCGGCATCCAATGCTAGACTTGATAGGTTCAATTTTTGGATCGTCTCTCGCTGTCTTCCTAGAGCCCCCACGCGAGCCAGGTATATGAATAGAGGTGTAGATACCCCGGTCCAGGGATTGGACTGAATAATGTCATAACTTTCGTCCACAAATGAGGACAGATATGACGTGGCATCGAGCGGTTGATCCTTCAGAAAAGAGACCAGGGCTTCCCAATAGGCCATAATACCGGCAATGAAGCGAATCGAGTTTCTTTCTTTTGTCGATTGAACGGATTCTATGGCCATGGGGCTTAATCTTTTAAATAATAAGCGGGCACTGTGTAGATGTTTTAGACCAAGCATAGTCGGATTATGCCAGCTCTTTATTTTGTAGTATTAAGTTAGCCAAACTTCTGCTCTTGTCTCATAAAGTTGGTAAAACGTACATCTGTCATCCCAAGCAGTATACAAATAAACAAGACTACCGAATTGAAGTCACTAGAGACGGTATCGATCGTCTGGTCTGTCCCAAGTACTTGGTGTTCGAGCATGGAGACTGCCTCATTCCTGTGAGTCAATGCCACGCATTTGAGGCTATTATCTTTTTCCGCAAGATGTGCGGCCGACATGGATAGTATACAGTGGTATACCAAAGGTGAATGCGATATACTGTTGGTAATCCAGGCGCGAAACGGATTGCTTGATGAGTCGACGGCGCAATTGATGCGACAGATGGTAGAGAAGTAGTAGCTTGATAAACAAGTACCCTGACTATTCAGAGATTTTGGTGTTAAAATTTCGCTGTGGAGTTCTGGAAGTTCGTGGTCATCATGCTGAGCATCGGCCGTAATAAACTGGTCCCAAATAGTATGATTGAGAAATAAGGATGGTTCCGTGAAGTCATCTTGGTTATTGACGGGTATTAATTCATTATGTGAAGATCCAAAGGCATGAGATACCTGTTCTAGTTCGACTTGCCCTGTCGTATCGATCGATGCATGATCTCCGCTCAGCGCCCCACAAAATTGAGGGTGGGTTCCTTGGTCTATGCTCAGTGGGACGGCTGAACTCGGGTTCTCGTGATTTCTTGTTGAAATTGGCCGTTTAATAGTCTCATATTTAGCCGACCACTTCAGAGGACGAGTGAATCCGGGGCAGTCGTAGCCTCTTCTCGTGCATTGATTACAGGCAGGGTTGGTCTCGTCACATTTAATTCTCTGCCAAGGTGTTAACAAAGTGAAATTAGCGTCCAATAAATTTGCCGGAACAAGCTAACTCTTTGCTTGCAACGAAGACATCCAGCTGCCCACGATCAATTATTAGTTAATGCACAGTCAATTTGCCAGTTTAGCAGCCAAGTTGAAATCAACATACTCCTGGTTTTCCGCCTGTTGCGAGGGACTTGTCGGCGTTCGTTAATAGCAGTTTGAGCCTCCATAATCAGTAGCTGGATAGCTGGTAAGTAATCAAGATTACCAGAACAATGAGAGGTCTCAGTGAGAATGTGAGTCGCGATGGGGCGAGAACGGGGTTGAACACTCGGATGACCCACATTCCCTAGGTAGCCAATCGCATTGCTGCGTACTTCTTGTCCAAGTGTAGTTTAGCGCAATGACCCAACTGGAGAAGATAAACAGATCCCTGGGGGACTTGGTTTCAACAATGCTTGTATAGCTAGAAGAACCCCAATATCAATCAAACTTGAATAGTACTTAGGATAACGATAGATATTGCAACATGTATTTTCCAAGGTTTGCAAGCAGGTTTAGTACGAAAATATTCTTAACTCCGACCGTAACTACAAGTTCGAACATTCAAGTTTTCAGTTGCTAGCTTCCTACTAGTAGTAGGTAATTTAAATCGTGAAAAATATATATCCAGGAATTCCACCGGCGGGCAGTAGTAACTTGAACCTTGATCAGGTCCACTGGCATCATTCCAAAGTTCTAAGTTCCAACTTGAAGTTCAACCTGTCATTAGTAGCACGGGTGGTTGCGTCCATGGATACGACTCCTGGTAGAAATATATACACAAGTTTCAAGTTGTATGAATATTTTAGATCTAAGCCAGGAGTCCTCCAGGCTAATATAGGCCTCGCGTGAACATCTCATTGTTTAAAATATATTCTAATTCTGTTTTTCGGCACTACAATACCTAGGTAGGTATAGATTAGAACATTACTAGTAGTAATTCGTCGAGGGAGAAGTATCGTAGCCTAGAAAACACCGTGACCTGGGCAGTCTTAGGAATTGAAAGCTCTGATCTCCTGAAAGTCATTAACTCAGTGGATACTTATGCTCATTGATATCCATGAATGTCCATTGCTTAGTACCGAGTCCCCTGCCTAGTAGCGAGAAGATTTTATTCACTTTGACGTGTCGCGGGTTCCAATGCGATCGCGGTTATGGAGAATACGCAATGTTGGTCAGAGGTCAATTTTCAATTTTTTTGGGGTTATTATTTCAAAAGTAAAAAGTGGGTTGATTAAGTAGGGAATTAGAAGAGAATGTACAACAAAATTTCCACAGGGAAATAGTTTGCTTAAATGTCAGAAACCATTGTGGTCATCATGACCCACTCCAAGTGTGGTTCAGGCGGCCTCGGTCTATTTGTTACCCGGAATAAGGAGTTGCTTCTCCTTCTTGATCTTCTCCACGACTTCGATGTCCACCTTCAGAACATTAGCGACAGTATCGGATGGTGTCAGCGCAAGCCACTGGGCCAACGAAATATCAGCAACCCGATCGCTCTTGTAGAGCTCGATCCAGATAAGCTTCTCGGTTTCAGATGTGTTTTCAATATAGTGACCTGTGCGAGGGTAGGAGGTTAGGGCATGGCTTCTAAACGTCTCGGAAATATACTGACCAGAGTTGTCCGGGAAGACTGCGGTGTCACCAGCAGTGAAGTCGAAGGTACGGGCATTAGAGCCACCAATGAAGATAGTGGCGCGGGCCTGTCCCTGGTGGAAGTACAGCCACTCCTCAGCCTAGAAAGGGATATCAGTATTGCGAGAATCATGTCTTTATGGATAGGGGACTTACGTTAGGGTGCCAGTGAAGCTCACGAAGACCCTTGGGCTCAAGCTCGATGACAGCAGCAGCGATGGTCTTCGAGATAGGGAAGTTTCTCGAGTCAATCTTGCGCAATGTTCCGCCGTGTCCAGGGACAGGCTCAGATGGGTGGTCATAGGTGTGGAAGACATATGAGCTGTTACCCTTGAGAGTTCCCTCGGGCGCCTTCTTTAGGTCCTCACTGACGGTGCCGTTCAGGATGTAAGGGAACTTGGTTGGGACCTTGTCAAAGACATCAGGGCTAACACCGAAGTTCTTCGCAAGCACTCCCCGGGGAGTATGGGTAATCCAGTCATCAACCATGAAAGTGGTTCTATTCCATTAGCGAAAGGATTCCAAGTGGAAGAAAATATGAGTACTTACCCGGCTTTCTCGAAGTCGCCGTCGTCAAAGGCCAGCCTATACGAGACAACTATTAGCGATGAGGTAGAGAGTGCCCATGGAACCCTCGAACTTACAGATACTCATTTTCCTCGTCCAAGCCTTGCACGTTATGGGCAACACCCTTAGGGAAATACCAAATATCACCAGTCTTAAGGACTTCAGTTGTAAAGCCGCCGTTCTCATCGACTCCGGTCAGGAGTAGGGAGCCATTGTAAACAAAACCCCACTCAGCCTATACGAGGACAAACATTAGCGATGAGGTAGATAGTGGCCATGAAGATGTACTCACCACTCTGTGCCAGTGAAGCTCACGAATGGCACCCTTCTTGAGATGCTGCTGAGCACCAGCAATATCATGACTCTGGGGCAGATCTTGAATCACTTGCTCTCTGGACCAACCACCCGGGAAAAGCTTCGTCTGAGACTGAGAGAAACTCCACTTGACATTAGGAACAAAGCCATTGTCAGTGCTCGGGGTCCTGAGCTGATCCGGGTTCTGGAGGTCATTGGCCTTGTTGGTTCCGCCTTAAAAAGTGATCGAATCAGCAAAAGACCATTTTCTAAAACTTTTATTAAATATTCTTATAATACTAACCTAAGATAGGGGCACCCTTTCCACTGTCGTTGATGGGCTGAGAAGGGTCAAGAGCGCGCTTGGCCTTGGGAACGGCCAACGCAGAGGATGCAAACAGCCCAACCAGGGCGAGACTTTCGAAACGCATTGTGAAGTCGCGTTAAAAGAACGTGGAAACTTGAAATAAAAGTCTTGGCTTGACATTCTTCATTGCAAGGATAAAAGCACAATATATACCCCGTTACAAGCCGGAGACTTTCAAAACCTAACATTCATGCACGGAAATTCTTGGATCACAACATGTCCAATAATTATCGCGATCGCGCTGATCGTGATGGAAAGCAGTCGGATAATTTCGTGGCGTTCGAACAATCCCGCGCCTCAGAAGAGGGGAAATGGTGCAATAGAGCGATCAAAAGCAAATATACAATCCCATGATAGACTTTGGGGGAAAGCTGGGCCCTGCATGGCCGTATGGGCATCAAGCAAAAGCGTGGCAGGTGCAAAGCAATTTTGGCTTTATGTATAACAACATCCTTGGCATGTTGGCGAAATCAATGAGGCCTCGCCCTTAGTCCCCATGGGGAAATGTCAGTGCCGATCCAGGGACCAAGCAGGGTCTCAAGAACCTTGGAACCCTAAGTTATTATTACCGAGATTTAGGAAAATGTGTGAATTGGGATTGGGATTCTCAGCCGGCATGCAATCACCTCATCTGCCCCCCGACTGAGTGGTTCCTTGATATCTTGGCAGTTCTTGGCGGGTATGGATTGACATCACGGTCCACGCGATGGTTCACGAGGAGCACAAGTAAGCTTCGCTTTGACCCCTCCTCAAAACACCAGAAACTGGAAAGGCTGAAAAGCCGAAGATCATCTGTCAACCTTGGAAGTATTCAGAATTCACTACTAACCATCATCCAGCACCTCTTTGCCGTGCATGTACCCCGTATACTAGTATGTGATTAAATACAAAAACATATGCAATCAATCTTGGAATTTCCTCTTATTTTCCGACCTGCACCAGAAGTGAGCGTTGTAGAAAATCAAAGCATTAACAATTATTTGGAGACCAGAAGAAACATCTTCTCATAACCGAAAAGCCCTACTCGGCGCAAAATCAAGACCCATCTCCCACCAGTCCCCCCTCCATCAAAAGTGTTCTCATATCCTTAGCGTTGGAACTATTAGTTCTCAGGCTCCCTGGTCCCTGCAGGAGTTCGCGATCGTACACCCAGGCACCGGGGTTTGGCCTCGATCACGACATCGTGTAGATTTTAGTGTGGCTTGGCCCTGCATGGACGGAGACTGTATAGGAAATAACCCATCAGATCATCTCTCTGAAGAGATTAGAGAGTCATACAGTATCCTGTCTTGGATCAAAAGACGCCATTTGATAGATCATAATCGTCGTGAATAATTTGAAAGAAAGTTTTCAGCCACGGAATGGCTTCATTGCGTGCGATATGCTCATGATGATTCAGGGCGAAGGGCTCCTGAAAACAGCAGAGATTCTGGGAGAGATGTAGCGAGCAGGACCTGTATATAAGCTGTACCAATTCCCTCAAATATGCTCACCAGACAACGCAAGGGTATTTCCTTTTCTTCTGATTTGTTCATTCATTCGAGAGCTTCCAAGATGAAGTACTCTGTTGCATCCATTGCGTACCTGATCTCCATTGCGGAGTGCCTTTCGTTACCCCCCTTGATACCTTCCATCCCAGGAGTAACGGAGCCTCTGACTACCAATGCTCCCCCTCTGCCCATTCTGCAGGTCCCTACCCCGCCTCTGGAGAGCCCCCCCCTTCACTCCCAGCGACATCAAGCCCAAGAAGATTGGTTACTTCTGGACTGGAGCTGGTGACAAGTTCCACAAGGGTAAGTTAGCATTATATCATTAGCTCACTGGCTTTTAATAACACTATATTCTTAGATTTCCTGGCTACTTACAGTCTTGACGATGTACGATGAATCTATTTTGCTTTTGAATTGCCATTTCTGATCAAATTTAGGACACCTTCGGTACGCTTCTCTGGGTGACCGATGTCCCATCCAGTGGTAACGATCCCCACCATTTGGGACCTTCGCTTGATGGCAAGACTCTGTTTGGTGGTGGTCTTCTTTCGCTCCTGAAGACTCAGGTCAGTTATCCCATTGGCCGCGGATGGTGGATTCAGCTCACCATATATGACATAGGACACTGGTTTCTACTTCGACACCTCCAACCCCTACCGCCCCAAGTTCTTAAAGAGCAACCGAGCTGTTCTGGGTTCCATTGCCGATGAAGTCCGTGCCAAGCCCGACGGCGGATTCTTCATCACCTACATGGGGTCCGCAGTTGGAACCAGCCCCGGTCGTCTCATTGAGACTGATGCCGAATTCAATATTATTCACGAATATCCTGAAGACGTTGAAGGCACTTTGAACATCTTAGGCGAGCAGTTCTCGCCCCATGGTCTCAGCATCGACTGGGAGAAGAAGCTTATCCTTACTTCTGACTTCGTGGAGCCAATCACTATTCTGAAGCCTTCCCTTGGCGTTCGCCACGCCAACACTCTCCGTCTTTGGGATCTGGATACCAAGAAGATTCTCAGCACCCTTACTATCCCCAATGTGAGTTCTCAATCGATCCGAAATGAGAATGATAGACCATCCTGCTGATACATTGAATAGGGAGGTGGTATTCAGGATGTCAAGTTCATCCCCGGCAACAAGGAGTCAGCCGCTCTCGCTACTGCTGTGCATCTGGGACAGGTCTGGATTATCTACCCTCTCCGCAAGGATGAGAACGGTAACCAGGGCGTCATTGAGCTGCTGTATGACCTTGGTCCCAAGGCCCGTGACACCATCGCTATCTAGTAAGTACCCGGAAGACGCCCCGCACCTATCAGGGCCATGACTAACCTCACCCTCCTACAGCACCGATATCACCCAGGATGGCAAATACATCTACCTCACCCTAACAACCGCCAACCATATAGCTGCTTTAGATATCAGTGATCTGGATAACGTACGCCGTCTCGATGACCCTGATGAAGACCAACCCACCGTCGGCCCCCACTATATCAAGGTTACTCCTGACCAGAAGCACTTGGTTGTCACCGACTACTTCGTTCAGACTGGAGAAATTGGTATCATCAACACCCCGGCTGACTTCAAGGCTCTATATATCGACCTCAATGAGGACGGTAGCCTTAACTTCAACCGTTCCATCGACTTCCCCAAGGAGTTCGCCAGCCGTGGTGGCGCCAAGCCCCACTCCAGTGTTGTCTTTGACCTCACTGACCCCGAGGACCCCAAATACTATTAGATGTGACTATATAGGAGCATATGGGGCGGATTGACTGAAGGAGTTGTACTGTGAGGGCAGTTTGCATTCTCCGATCTGGGCAAAAGCGCTTTGCGCTCTTGTAACTTTTATCTTCTAATTCTACTACACTCATTAATATTAGTATTTACTTTTGAATAATTGGCAATTATCGATTGCAATTGTGCGCAGGAAGTAGCATTAGGAAATGAAGATGCATATAAGTGCGTGGATTATATGTCGTGTAGTCTATCATGGTGGAGAGACCCATGGACTTTTGTTATACGGGAGGGCTCGGAGATATCAGGTGACCAAGTTAGACTCAACACGGTACGAACAGCAACTTGAATGAAATAGTAATTGACTTCGATGAGATTGAGCTTGATTTACAATGTACAATTAAACTTCATCTACCCTTGCTTTGTTTCCAGATTTGCGATCCACACCCGATGCCTCCCCTCTAGTATGCGGTTGATCGGATACACTGTCCTTGCCACCCACCACCTCGGCTTCTAGCGTAGCATGGAATGCGACACGTTTTGGTAGCAGATATCTGACATCAATAAATCGAAGTGTAGCAGTCATAATAATGACAAGGACTAGAAGGGCTAGCGCTGACTGCCAGCCATACCTATAGTATGGTGCCTGTGATGCTGGCCAAACTAAAACTTGGGACCAAGCAGAGATCGCATAATAACCAGCGACCGAGACCCCGACCACGAGTGTGCGTGCCTCAGGGTCCTGCGGAATGAGATCGGACAGCCAAGCGAAGATGAGAGGCGCAGTTCCAAGACAAATGTACGATATAAAATATGAGGCATATGCACCCGACAGAGGAACTGCGCTGGGATGGGAGGTCCAAATGCTCATTATGATGCACGGAATGATGCCAATGATTCCTTGCACTACGATAAGAGTCCATCGTGTGCGGAGGAAATCGGATAGAAGAGCCCAAATCCAGACAAAGACGACGTTGATGGCTGAGCCTCCGATTGGAATCGCGTTGACTTGTGTAACAGACCACCTCGCACTCCCGTCCGGATTCTTGAGCGACTTCAAGAATAGTGAGAAGTACACATAGCCATAGGTACCAAGCACACTCGCAATGTATAGAATGCCAATGAAGTAGACAACCCAGCCAGAGAATGTTCGCCGAACACCGGCCCAGGACATCTTCTCCGGCTCGGCACGACCATTGCGAGCAAGCCGTTCCAACGAGAGCTCAGCGTGGGCTTTCTTGAACCAGAATGCGCGCGGATTAGGGTTGCTCGGGGTATCTGGAATCATAAAGAAGCCCGCAAAGCCCCAAACGACTGTTATGATAGCGTTGATGACAAACAGCCACCGCCACCCAGCGAGGCCTCCATGTCCATTCAAAGTATCGGAGATCGCGGCTTGCAATGCCCCCGACATCATTTGTCCGACAGCCTGGCAAGAGTGATAGAAGCCCATTCGTTTGGCAAGTTCGGTTGGGGTATACCAATACACTGAGATAGATTAGCGCTGAGTGACGATTTGAAGGGTGGAGGTTTCTTACTGAACAGGGTCATCATTCCGGGCCAGGCACTGCTCTCGCAAAGTCCTAGAAAGACACGAAGAGCATAAACTTGCTTGGCGTTGGTGCTCATGGCAATCAGGCCAGTAAGCACCCCCCAGATGATCTCCAAGCCAGGCAACCAGAAGCTTGGCCGAATGTATGTCAGAATGACCTGGGAGGGAATGACCATGATGCAGTAGGCGGCGTTGAAATATGTCGTGAAACTATGCAAGTCAGATCTCCCCTCGAATCCCCGTGGCTCCCCGTGAGTAGCCATTTTACAAGGATAGCTTACAGGTTCAATTCGTTGCCATAGAGGTTAAGGTCCTCTTGCATGCCGGAGACATAAGCATTGTTAATATTCTGCTGGTCGAGGTATTTGATGACTGGACTGGGTTAGCCATGAGGTCCCTCGAAAAGCTTCAGTTTGGGGAAGTCAGCTTTACCCTGAGAGATACAACCAAAGGTCAAAAGAAAAGTGTCGAGACGTCGCACAAGGGCCTTCTCCTCCGAAGATCGCACATAGCTGGGCTCTGTCTCATCGCGACGAAGAAACGAGAGAAGCCCCATGGCAGGCTAGATGGTGTGTAGAGCTCACAACAGAGTGAAAGGGAAAAGTAGCCTTCTACCCCTCGCTTCTAAATAGGATTGGAGATTCTGCCACCTTTCTGCGTGACCTGTGTGATAAGCACCTTAATCAGGAGCCAGTCTTGTCTGGGGAGAGGGAGGGTCAATGCAGATCCGAAGAGGGGAAGGGGGAAACTGGCGGCTGAGACCGCGTGATAAGCAGCATCCAATGGTTGCAGTCCATTTCGAGGTGGGCGCGCGATGCCGGAGTCATTCCGGTGGACAAGGGGAGATTTTGTCAGATATCTCCAACTTTGACCCCACCAACAAATGTTGCATCGGAGCCTCAACCGACATTTGGTGCAGGTCGAGGCGAAGTTTTAGCGGGCGCCACCTTGGAAAGGGCCGAGATAGGAGACCAAGGAGACCATGCGGGTACGCTAGACCCCGCGGACCCATAAATTGGATCAAACCTTGACTGTTTTGAGGCTAGTGGCCGGGGAGAAGAGAGGAACGTGAATGGGGGGTGCTGGGAGATTGTAAAAGTTGAAGGTGAAGGCGAAGGCGAAGGCGTGACTTTGTGACTTCCCAAGGTGATTTCCCCGCAACTTTGGAGTTTACCTCAACTTCAACCTTTTCCAACCACAAACCTGTCGCTGACTCGCTGTATATATTAAAGCCAGGGGAACGCCTGGGTAAATACCCATCCTTATCGTTGGTACTATCGCACTATCGCTGACCGGGGCCATCCCATCCCATTCCAGTCATGTCCCAGCCTCGCACCAGCCCGGATGGGTCCAGCAGGAGTCTTCCCCGCGAAGGTCCTGGCCTCAGTTACTGGCAGCGCACTACACGCGCATTCCCTCATCTCTTCGCCAATCGAGAAACTCCACTCCCACCAACCAGCAAATATGTGGTCATTGGCTCTGGTATCTCTGGTGGCCTGACCGCGTTCGAGTTGATAGAGACTGGCGCAAAGGCCGAGGATATCATCATTCTCGAAGCGCGAGAAGCCACCAGCGGAGCCAGCTCCCGAAATGCTGGCCACGTAAGGCCAGGTAAATTTCCAGTCACACCAGAGATAAACGAAAATGCTAGATCGATCTAACACTTTACAGATGCATTCCGGGGTTTCGCTGCCTATTCCAAGGTCCATGGTGCTGAACAAGCGCTGAAAATCATCCAGAATGAGCGGCTCGTACTCGAGAAGGTCGCTCAATTCGTGAAAAGACACAACGTCCAATGCGATTTCGATTTGACAACCACTTTCGACGTTTGTATGACTCCGGAGTTTGCGAAATATGAAGCCGAAAGTCTCGAGGCGTACAAGGAGGCGGGTGGGGATTCTTCTCACATCAAATATTATGAAGGGAAAGAGGCGCAAGAAAAGACGAAAATCCCTGGTGCTATCGCGGCGTACGAATGGCCTGGTGGCTCAAGTCATCCCGCGAAGCTCGCACAGTTCCTTCTAAGATCCGTGATTGACCAAGGGGCTCAGCTTTTCACATTCTGCCCTGCGATCAAGGTCGAGAAATCTTCCTCGTCGTCTGAGTTGTGGGATGTCCACACCACCCGCGGAGTCGTGAAAGCCGAAAAAGTCATACATTGTACAAATGCGCATGCCGCGCTTCTTCTCCCACAATTAGAGTCTTACATTCGACCAAATCGAGCCCAGGCCCACACTTTGATCCCTCCTCCAGCCCTCGCCGCCACGGAATCTCTCCAGAGTACATTTTCTCTCCGCTATAGTCTTCATCATTTCTACTCGCTTATTCAACGCAAGGATGATGGCACACTTGTTCTTGGTGTTTCCAGAACAAATCCTACACTGAGCGAAAAGACTGTGGCATCCCGCTTCAGCACCGACGACAGTCGATTCAACGAGGAAATTGCCGAAGATGCGTTGCAGAGTTTCGGAGACATCTTCCCACAATATGCCTCCAAGTCTTTCGTGCATGGCGAAGGCCTTGATCATTCTTGGACGGGAATCATTGCAATGACAACTGACTCGGTGCCCTTTGTTGGCGCTATCGAGTCACTCCCAGGGCAATACATTTGTGCTGGGTTTAATGGACATGGTAGGTGGAAAGACGGTATCTCATATTGAAATTCCTTTTACTGACTGGTTTACCCTTAGGAATGGCTCGTATATTCACATGTGCCCCTGGCGTTGCGAGGCTGGTTTTCCAGGGAGACTGGAAGGATACTGGGTTGCCGGAATGCTTCCAATTTACCCCCGAAAGGCTTTCAAGGCTGTCTGCAGGGACATGCCGTCGATTTGGTAAATATTGAAGACTTGGGTAATTGAATATAGGTCAAATTCTGTTTATTTGCTACTAGAAATTTAGAGATAGATTTTGGTTTAGTTTAATGTTCTCATCAAAACCATTCGATTTGGATATAATGTCCGTTTCCACAGTCGCCCTTTATGTTACTATTCTGATATATTACCACAGCTCTTTTGGTCTACCTTTTGAAGGTCACAGATCCTGGGCAATGGCATGATACCAATTTATTGATTCTACCACGGACCTCGGTGTAATAAAACAAGGTTCTGTCAGCGTCAGCCTGGAGTAGGTGCAATACGATTTCCATTGCGAATCAATGCCACTTTCAGTCGTTCTAGATAGAATACGAGATTTCCAGGTGGTTCCTGCCTTTTTCAATATTTCTTCACGGGAGAATGGGAGTGATCAGACAATTGCTGCTGCGGGGATTCCAGATACCACAGCAATACGAGGCGGCACATACCCCCTCTTTTCTTACCATCCCAGCTAGTACCAGTGCGCTTGTTATCTCCGAAATTTGGTTCTCTTCATGGAGCCTCTGTTCCCTCAAAAGTCGAGTATATTCTTCTTGTGCTTGTAATCGACCCCATTTAATTTCACTTCTGTTTCTGAAAATGGAATCTGCTGGGGCCCCAGAGCGTCTGACCATGCCCACCCACCTAATTATTCGGCCAAAGATGGAGGCTCAGGCATTGACACAAAAAACGATGATGAGACCGCATTGCCCGGTGAACTTATCTCGGCAGGATCCCAACATCTCCATCGCAGCTTAGACGGTAAATCCATACAGCTACTTGCGCTCGGCGGTGCTATTGGAACATGTATGTGTTCCTTTGATATGTTTCAATTCTTCATCTTTGAAAAGTTTTATCACTCTAACACCTCTATCCCTAATACTCAGCCCTTTTTGTCCAAATGGGCGCCTCTCTTGCGAAAGGCGGACCTGCCGGACTATTCCTAGGTTTCGTGGCCTATGGCACCATTGTTCTATCCGTAAACCAGTGCTTTGGTAGGCACCAGATTAATCCAGTCATCACTGACTATTTGCTATATACTGATTCAGACTCAGCTGAAATGGTGACATATCTTCCAATCGCATCGCCGTTCGTTCGGCTTTCTGGATTTTGGGTCGATGATGCGCTAAGCTTCGCTATGGGGTGGAACTATTTCTTCCTGATGGGTAATAGCCCCTCGAGAAAGCTCGCAACATCGGTGCTTTGCATAGGGGAGATACCTTGAGCTAATCAGTGTTATATTGGTTTACAGCATTCGCAATTCCTTATGAAATCACGGCGATTGATGTACTCCTTGGCTATTGGACTGACAAGATACCCATCGGGGCCGTCGTAGCAGTTTGCTTGGTGATTTATGCGTGCGAATTTCACTCCACTTGAAGCTTATTGGAAGCACATCATCCAGCTGACTCTCACTTAGTGTCCTGAACGGGCTTGCCGTGCACTATTTTGGTATTACTGAATTCTATCTTTCCATATTCAAAGTCTTCCTGATGCTTGGCTTGATGATGTATACATTCATCACTATGGTCGGTGGAAACCCGGACCATGACGCTTATGGCTTCCGGTATTGGAACAATCCAGTACGTACCCCTGCTGTTTCGATAGCGAGTTCATATTGACTATTCATCCAAGGGATCATTCGTCGAGCATCTGGCACCAGGAAACACCGGTCGCTTTCTTGGAGTGCTGTCTTGCATGATTCAAGGATCCTTCACGTAAATACTTCTCAGTCGAGTACTGGTATATCATTTCCAACAAAGTCTAACCCCATTTTCATAGCATGGTTGGGCCAGAATTTATTTCCATGGCAGCCGCCGAAGCAGAGAATCCCCGAAAACTTATGAAAAGAGCCTACGACTCATTTGTATGGCGTCTCATGTTTTTCTTTCTCGGGGGTGCTCTTTGCGTTGGTATCGTTATTCCATATGACGATGAGCTTTTGAGCCAGTATATTTCTGGTAGCAAATCTGGAAGCGGAACCGGAGCTGCGTTCGTTTATTTTCCCACTATTCGAAGGCCACGGTATTGTACTAATCACGATTTTAGTTCACCTTATGTTATCTCGATGGTAGAATTTGGCATTAAGGGTGTTCCCGATCTAGTCAACGCTTTGATCATGACATCAGTTCTGTCAGCCGGCAACAATGTTGTTTTCTCTGCTGCGAGAACTCTTCACGGCATGGCAGTAGACGGTAAAGCTCCATCTATATTTGCCAAATGCAACAAGTTCGGCATCCCATATTACGCAGTAATTGCAGCCCTTTCGTTCTGCTTATTGTCCCTCTTGCAACTAAGCAAGTCATCATCGACGGTGCTTGACTGGCTAGTAGGAATTTGCACAGCCTCGTACCTCCTGAACTACTTTGGAACAGTACTCACCTATTTGCATTTCCATGAAGCCTTGAAGAAACAAGGTGTTGATAGAAATACTCTCCCTTATAGAGGTCGTTTTCAGCCATATGCCGCTTGGTACGCCCTTTTCGGAACTTTTATTATGACGCTGATTCTTGGATATAATGTTTTCATACACGGTCAGTGGGATATTACGACATTCTTCACGAACTATACCATGGTTGGGTTCTTCCCCGTTGCATACGTGTTTTGGAAGGTTGTTAAGCGTACCAAGTACGTCAAGCCTGGAACGGCCGACCTCAATCTTGGAACTGTGAAGGAAGAAATCGATCTATATGAGGCGCTCTACGAGCCACCAAGACGAGGAAAGATCGGCACTTATTTTAACAAGTTTTTTGAATAGGCCTGCATTAAGTTTTGGAAAGTTTTGATTTTTCAAATGTACATGGCTTCGAAGTTTTTATGTTGTGCTGCTTGTCGATATTCTTACCATAGTGATAATCGGTCTCTGCTAGCTTTACGTTCAAGTTGGCCTACTAGTATGCTGATTGAGTTACTTTTACCACATGCATTGTGTTCGAGTCAGGAGTCCCTAGGTATACTGTTGGGCTCCTATACCTAGGTAGCTTTGTCTTCTGCGTAGATAACGTCACTAGATAGATTCATCCGATCATCCATATATTGCACCATCTGGTTCGTCCCATGCCATGGTAGCATCCATATCTTTGAGCGATTGAATAGTTATTGCATTTCTTTCACCTCTGAGCCATCACTAGCTATCTATATCGGGATTGCGTCGTCGGCATTAAGAATCAGTGTTGCAAAGAAGAGTGGCTCTCTCACGAATTCCTCTGCCTCGATAAATTCGTCGGTTGTGTGCGCTCGGTTTAGATTGTGCTCCAGGTTCACAGGCGTGAACCGGTAGATGTTGGACGTCAGTTTCCAAAAGAACTTGGTATCAGTATTCGCAGGCATCAGATACGGAGTGACGATAAGACTCTGATCTTTGATGAGAGGCTTCAAAGTGTTTCGTATTGTTCCAGCCAGCACCTGGAAAGCCTCCGCTTCGACTGGTGAAACCGGGGCGGGTTCCAAGGCGTCGAAGGCAGACAAGCTGATTTTCCGTCGGTCTTCGGGAGTTTTTGTGTAAAACCCTTGGAAGGACATGCCATGTTTCCGAGCAATCGGTCTAATGAGGCTCTCATAGTGGTTCTGAACCTCTGCAACCGAGCTGTCCACAGCCAGGCGCAAATTGACCATAGTTGAAGCTAACTCTGGAATAGCGTTGATTTTTACGCCACCATTGATTTTCCCAACAGATTGACTTGTTCTGAAAAAATATCGCATTTCATCCAATGCCTTGGCCAGCTGGAGTTGTGCGGTTGATTCGCCATTCTCAACCCTTTCGAGCTTATTCCGAATCTTCATTGGAAAGCTGCGCTCCGGAGCATGCACGGCGGCACATTCCAAAAAATCGAAAATCGGGTTCTTTGTTGTGACCTTTCCGGGGAACGGATGGTTTTCAATGCTCATAATAATCTCCGAAAGGACCCCGATCGCATTATGATCAGGGGGGGTTGGACGCATGTCCACCAGGAGATGTGACGTTAATTCCCACATCCAAGTAACCTTTCTCTGCAACACTGACCATGGCGAATGACTGGTCAAACTGGGTCTGAAGCCCAAATGATCCTTCATCCATTATCATGTAGATTCCTTCATCTCCATACCGATCGTGAAGTAGTTCAGAAATTGGCCGAGCACAATTTTGGCCGCTGATTTCTTCGTCGCAACCAAATGCCAAAATAATCGTTCGCTTTGGTTTGAAACCGCTCTTCATTAGAAGATCCATACTTTCAATTATTGAGATTAGATAACCCTTGTCATCCGTGGATCCCCGTCCCCATATTGTCTTTCCATCAAAATGGCCTTCATAAGGCGGATGGGTCCAATCGGGCACATTCTCTGCCATTACCGGCACAACGTCCTGATGCGCCAGCATGAGCACGGGCTTCGCCTCCGAGGTGGGCACGCTGCCTTCCCAGGTAAATATCAACCCATGTGTGTTAACATGATCGAGTTTGGCACGTTTTAAAATCGTGGGATATTTAGTTTTGATGTATTTCTCAACCTGATAGAAAATATCCCAACGATCATCCTGGCCAATAGGGCCAAGGTCGTCGTAACTTTCGGAGGGGATCTGAATAAGTCCTGAAAGCTTCTCGATGATCTCGTTTTGATATTTTGGATCTTCAACTTTATCGCGAATAAATTGTTCGACTTGAGTGTTGCTTGGCGACAGGATTGGCGCTTGTTCGCAGACCCCTGATTGAGCACCGAACAGGTATTTTGGTGCAACGGGTGAGTCGAAAAATCGGTAAATCTCAAAGGTCGCAGAATTCTCGAAGGCCAAGAATAAAGAAGCTAGAGCGACTGTGAGCGACCCCAATATCCATAAATGCCTGTTCGCCATATTCTAACCGCAATAATATTTTAAATGCTGATCAACGAAGTAGAAGAGCGTGTCAATTTAACAGAAACGAAATTATTATGTACTAGGGGCTCAGTAACATTCTTGGCTCGCTCGCCCTTTCATCCCTTGTGCTGGGGCGAAAGTCCGTTCGGTCACCAACTATGCTGATGGCCAATGAACAACTGGGCGGAACTTTGGGCTTTACGAGATCGTATATTCCTTTCATCCGACAATATTGAATTTTTGTCATTGGACAATTACAGCAGAACCGTAATTTCAAGTTTAGTCTTATCGTAAAGCTTCGTTGCTATGTTAGTTATGCGTCTGAACAAGGTCCTCCAATACAGGGCTTATACGCAAGGACAGCCGCTCATATCCCTGCTCAAGGTAGATACCGGATTCGCCGATCACCGATCGATTCGCCCTGTTCTCTTCACATCACATCGATCGCATGAGGGGTTTCGGTAGGACTGAGTGGGAACTTGGTGACTTTCCTCATCGACCCTGAATCTCGCCAAATCCGCTCAATTTTCCCGAAATACAGTTCATGTACAGAGGCCTCCGTATTTCATACTGGCGGAGTGAGGGGAACTCGGGGTTACATACTTTACAATGCGACTAGTTACATCATGATGTTTTGGCCTCCCCACTGTTCCTGCGCCCTGCAAAACTGACATGCGGGGTCGCCCTACGTTAGCTTGAACTAGTCGGCCGAGTCCGCAGATAAGGAAATTTCTTCAAATTTCAATTCATCAATTGGAATAGTATACGAGTTGACCATAAAGCCACCCAGTACAGCCAGGAACTTCGCGAAATTCGAATGCACTGAGAATTTTTCTTCTGTATTGTTCGACATGTCTAGCTCCAGCAATTCAAGATCCGCAAATGAGTTCCGAAGTGACACCTTCACCACACCTACACCAGCTATGCTGGATGCCATGGCCAACGCCAGCTTCGGTGATGATGTCTACCAAGAGGATACCTCAACGACCCAGTTCCAAAAAGAAATCGCTCGCTTGACTGGGATGGAAGATGCTCTGTTCATGCTTTCAGGCACCATGGGAAACCAGATCGGTGTTCGAGTCCATCTCAACCAGCCTCCACACTCGGTACTGTGTGACTATCGAGCACATGTATATGCGGAAGAGGGATGCGGCCTAGCTATCTTATCTCAGGCAATGGTCACACCTGTTCATCCAGCTAATGGAATTTTCATGACCCTTGATGATGTCAAGAAGTGGGTGGTTTTGGGCGACGATATTCACACGGCCCCGACACGGGTCATCTCTCTCGAGCTTACCATTGGAGGTGTCCTTACACCAATCGACGAAATCAAGAAAATCTCCGAGTTCTCACACGCCAATGATATCAAAGTGCATTGTGATGGTGCGAGACTATGGAATGCCTCTGCCGCTTCTGGTCATTCCTTGGCAGATTACTGTCAGTATTTTGACACCGTATCAATGTGTGTCTCAAAGGGTCTAGGAGCACCTGTCGGGGGAGTTCTTGCCAGTACGCAGAGAAACATTAAGCAAGCTAGATGGCTACGGAAGCAGCAGGGGGGAGGAATTCGACAAGCTGGTGTTTTGACCTCGGCAGCTATGGTGGCACTGAAAGAGGTATGGCCGACTATGAAAACAACACACGAGAAGACCAAGAAGCTCGCACAGGACCTAGAAGCTATTGGTGTCTTTCCGCAAATTCCGGTTGATACCAACTTTTTCTTCATCGACACGGCGAGGTCTAATCTTGACATGGGTGTTCTGCTGGAACAATGCCAGAAGTTCAATGTCAAGTTACAGGATGAGCGAATATCTATGCACCATCAGGTCAGTGACGAGGCAATTGAATCACTCAAGGCGGCAATCGCCGAGGCAGTGAATATCTCGAAAGCTCTGCCACCCAACTGTACTTCAGAGGTTCAAAGTGGAGGATACGGCAGCTCTTCAAAGATGAACGAATATAGCTGATAATGACGCAAGCAAAATTCAAAATCATCTTCAGGGAGGAAGATTATGCAGCTCATATTTTTTTTTTGAATTCTACGTTTTACAATGCTCTAGTTAGTTTCTTGAAGACTACTTTATAGACGCATTCAATTTTCTCCTATGACGTGTTGATGGTAAAGATAAATCCTGTAACTCGCCTGAGCACAATTAAACAACATATTGCCATTTCAATGTAAAGCTCTAGCGTAACAAATAGTAAGCCCTGAGGCTTACTGTGTTGGATCTCCGAGAGCAGTGGCCGATTGATAGCCACTAAAATCGTACTCGACATCATAATCCTCTGCATCAACATCCCCATCAGAGAGTTCAACGTCTTGCAAATTTTCACCGTCGTCCTCTTCAAAAGAGCTAAAACCGTAGTCTTCCTTTCGAATCTTCTTCCAAGCAGCCAAAGTCTGTCGTCTAGTAAGACAGAAAGGCAACTTAGAGAGTGGCACGCACCCACTCTCTGTTACCTCCACAGTTTGACCAATTGAACTTGCAGTATCAGTAGCTTTATCCATCAAAATGATGTGGATAAAAAAGACCATTCCTGGCTTTGCTATCACATTTTGTCCGCGGACAAACATGGGAAAATCCATCCATGTCGGTGAGAAGGTGGCTCCAAGACTATACCCGCATGAATTGAAACGTTGGTCCCGAAAGCCGTTTTCATCTGCTACCCGGGCATATGCCTCGAAAACATCACCAATTTGTCGACCAGGCTTGAGTACCTCAAGGCAAGCCTCCATTTGTAAGATATTAACTTTATGCATTTCTCGCGCAAGGTTCGTAATCCCACCGATAGGAATAGTACGCATCAGGCAAGCGTGATAATGCTTATAAGAAGCAGCGTGCTCAAGCGTAAGTTGACGGTCAATTCTATCCTTGCCGGTCGAATATCGGGTCAATACTGCCTTGTTTCCGGAAACAAGAATATTCTCGTTCGCAGGGTCATCACCGCCACCCTCGTAGACTGTTCCTACAATTTCCCTCCAGAGATTACCCTCGTAGGCACCTGGTTTTGCTAACTTGAGAGTTCGCACTAAGGCAAAGTCGGCAAGGTAGGCGGCCTTCCGCACCTTACGCATCTCCTCTTCGGATTTGATAATGCGTAGCTCGCGAGTAATCAAGTCACTTTGGTCGACCAAGGTACAAATACCCTCAACACTCTTCTCTAGCAGTTTTCCGAGACGATGGGTGAGAGAACACGAATCGGGCTCATATCCAATCTGTTTAGAGGGCGAGTCAATTCCAAAGTCATTCAATACCTTTGGAACTAACGAGACAGGGTTGCTACCGGCGTCATCGGAACGAATCAATATATCCCTCTGGTCCAGAACAGACGTGTATAAAGCCTGACGCAGATCCGGGATGCGGGTTATGAGTCGCATGGATCCATCGGCGTGGAAATACATTGCTTGGAAAAAGACATATCCAAAAGTATCGAAGCCGGTCAGATAGTAAAGAGACTCTTGTTTGGTCATCAAGAATCCATCCAGATTTTCGCGTCTCATTAACTCTTGAACGCGGTTTCTGCGCTCTGCAAATTCCTCCTCTGAGAAGTAGAGGGCTTTCTTGAATGGCTGAGCTTTCTTGATGTTTGACATCTCGAGTTCCAATGTTCGAAGCTTTGTTTCTTTCGTAATTCTGTAAGTATTGGTGCTAGTCTTTCAATTTTGCAGACTGAATTTGAATTTGAAGCTACTGGCAAGTTTATATAGAGTGGAAGAGGGATACGGGAGGTGTCCGTGAACTCAAACCGCCCGGGGCTGACAACCCCAAAAACGATTGAATACAGACTCCCTAAAACATTACCAGTACATGACAAAACTCACCAACTGGTACAACTTGAGCTCGAAGATGGGACCATGGGACCTCGTATAGTTCCCTCCCAGATGGCCCGAGCGGCATCGGATAACCGGGAGGGCATGCGGGGTCTGCCATTTAGGAAGGAACCAGCGGCCGATCTTGATAAGAATTTCTTGCTTCTCAATCACAAAATTAAATGACCATCAGTATTGAACAGTTTCTAGCGGCAGGCTCGTACAGACAAATACCTACCCGAGATGGAAGAGGTTGCCCAATTCCATCTAAGGTAGGTACTCAGGTAGTCCCCCGTAGGAAGACGGAGGCCAGGGCGATCAACAAGGCGTTGGAAACTTTTGAGCCGCCACTGTACAAACCATTAGCTCCAAGCCCTGGTTCCGTCTCCTCTGTACAATGAAATCTTATCAAGGCCAGTAGTACTATTGTTACCAAGCTACCAAGCACATGGATCCAGATGTCTTTCGATCAACCGAACTGCAAGAACTAGCTTTTTTTGTCTTAGCATCCCCTCCGCTCCCGCCTTTCCGAGCCCTGTCAGTCTGCACCGAACCTGAACAAATATTCAAGGATGCCAGTGTCGAGCTTCAACTTGAATTGACTATATGATGGATATGCCTCAATTCGCCTTTCTTTCATCTTGGCCTTCTTTGAGCAAGGTGTCAATCCATATCTCAATTCAATGATTTCTCAGATCAAACTCCATTTGTGGACTTTTGGCAGATCAACGCATCGAAGATGCGAGTCATAAGTAGAGTGGACTCGGCATGTTCCACATGCGTAGCTGGAGCCAGAGCTATTCTTGCTACCTAGTATCAAAGTTGATGTGCTTGAATGATTGACGATTCCAGTCTCCTCCCGCGATATATCAAATGGGAATTCCTCATACCCCTTCACATTTGAAACAACTTTCAGAAAGGAGTCCGTAACATTGGTAAATTTTCCCGACATGAGAAATATGGATTAGCTCAGACCTTGTGAATGAGACCTAGTTCTCTCACTTGGAAGGTCAGCCAACACTTAGCATTTCTTAGTCGTTAGGGAGTTTGGTTGGGCCTTTCTTGCAGATTCTGCTTCTATAATCCGCCATGGATTAAGAACAGGTTTGGAAGGAAGTCGGGATGAGAATGTTTACTGAGCTTTCAAGACATCAAGTTGACCTGCAATGCGTCGTACGTGTGAGGATGCTCAGATACTCACAGAGATCAAGATACGACGTAGTGAATCAGGTAAAGGAAGTAGTAGCTGTTTGAATGAAAGTCAAAGCTCGAGGAGAATGAGAAGGAAGCTAATATGGAAGGCGAGATACACAAGTGTCGGCGTGAATGTCTGGGTGGATGCCATAGGCGTAAGGCACTAACGACAATAGTAGTTAACAACTGCAGTTTGTTACACAGGCCTCACCAACCCCTAGGTTTATTTTACGACAGTCATCCCATATATTTATGGATTCCTCTTGATTGAAGTTCCTGTTGTTCTTGTAATTAGGCTTATGACTGTGCCTTTGCCCGTGAGCATTGACTACCTTAAACTCTACAACGTTTATTCACAGCTTGGCAGAGACAAAACCTTCCTTCTTCTTGTGCAGTGATTTCCAGTACTTATCCTTCAACTGCAATATCTCGAATGCATGTTCTGCCCACTTATCCTCCCACGGTGGCAATGAATACCCATCCGATTCCGCTGCAGGTGGACCAGCCAATTCCGTCAAGAAATCAAAATATTCCTTGAAGTCGGGTTTGATTTCGTGGAATATCGGCGAATTTCCTTTGTACTGCAGTCTGTCAACTTCCCATTGATCTTGCTCTCTGGGAGAAGGTAGCGACGCCTTATTTCTGCCTGCAAAGTATCGAGCAACAGCAACAGCCTGGTACTCATAAACTCGGAAGCTGATAGCGGCACGTACTTGTCCAACCAATGCCAGCGACGGATCCCCGATTTTCCAAATATGTTGATAGAATCCAGCAACTCGGTTATTTGGAGTAACCGGGTCTGGTGTGATGAATGGATAGGACAGCTTGTAGCCCGTAGCGAAGAGGACTTTGTCCACACCCTCGGTTACCGACCCGTCTGAGTAATACACATTGATCCCCCGTGCCGATGTTTTGATCTCGCTCACGGTTGGTCGCAGCTTGACATTTGGTAAATTCCAAGCTGAATCCAGGGCTTCGTTGTGGCCTCGTTGAGAGAGCTCTAGTGGCGCTTTGACAATGGCATGAAGGTCAGCAACGAGATCAGCCGAAGAGACATTCCCCCCAACCACCACCACTTTCTTATCAACATAGTCATCAGGATTGCGAAATTCTTTCGAATGTTCGAAGTGGGCCGGATATTTAGTGGCAGCATTCTCCAATCCCAGTATTTCTGGCGTCTGGGGGACGCTATAATGACCACTTGCTACAACCACTGCGTCGAATTGTTCTTCCCACCAATAGTCCTTCAATTCACCATTGACCAGATGTCCAGACTGTCGCAGCGTCAGAACCCATTTTTCAGACTTCTTCTCCGCCTTCACAACAGTTGTATTGAAGGAGGCTAGATGGAGATAATCTTTGAAAAGTTCCTCGAGATACTTTGCAACAACGCGAAAAGGCCTCGTAGGGTTGGAATGTCCAAGATATCTTGTGGACTGAGCCGAATTCACAAGCGGGAACGGGGTATGAGAAAAGGACATTGCCTTCGCACCGACATTGCTATCGAGTGTGTCGTATATGGCTGTTCGTGAGGTGAGATCCTCTAAAGCAGGAGGCGCAAAGTGTGGAAGTTTTGATGGAATGTCTTTCGGATTTGAACCAGCCTTCGTTGCAGTAGGGAAAACATCAGGGACCGGGTCATAATGCCAAATTCCACCGACACGGTCTCGACGCTCGAAAAGACGCACGGTCTGGAATATTCTTTCTTCTACAAGGGCCTTGGTAGCTGAGATTCCCGAAGGGCCTCCCCCGATCACAGCAATATTCTGGTAGCGAGGACCCATGACAAGATCTATATTTTTGCTCGAAAAGGCTTGATGAGAGTATAAAACAATGTTCACCCTGAAGTGGAAATATTTCAAGGAATAGATAATTGTTTCCGGCGGCGCGGACCAATTTATGTGTTTTGAGTGACATTGTCAATATTGCTTAGTAGTGTAAGATGTAAAACTTCCCCACGTTGTCGCCATAGTAGCTATCACTAGGTTGTCTTTTATGTACGAATCTTGATCCTTCATTGGAGGATAAGTATTTTGGCCGGTGGAGCTTTTGTGACGCAATTCCAGCTTCCAATTACTCTCCGCTGCAAGAATATGATGAGAGCGCCTTGCCATAATACAGCCTGATTCTGAACTAACTCTTTCCGACTGGAATCACATCTCACTTCCACGGCCTTACAGTCGAGATAGCGATTCATTATTGCCAAAGCATTGATCTTCTAAGCATTTCTTGATGCAGTCTTCTTGCAAGGATACTCCAGAACACATTTTCGAGGGGGTGGGTCGAAGGGAGAAAAATACCCCACTGTCTAATCTAACCTACATTTGAATCTAAGTCACGGAGATTTCCACGGAGTATTTGAGATTTCATGGCGATACATACTAATAGAAGATGTCCACGCTAATCAACTACTAGTTAATCGCTATGGCCCGAGACCTCTTAGGTGACCCGTATGTTTGGTAGTAGTCACTTCCCCCGATCTGGGCACAAGACCGTAACATTATTATTTTTTTTCTAAGTAAATTCGAGGCAACTTTGACCTCAATATGATTTTGAAGGCCTTTTGTTTTCCCTTCTCTATTGGTGGCTGACGTCATCAAGCGAGAAGATGGCCCCCACTCAAATTCGACCAACTCGCCAATTCCTCAGCTCCTGCATGATGATATTCTGCGACGGACACGACACGATCTCCGGATGACCGCTGATACTTTAGCTGGGTGGATTCATGGAGAATCTCATGTTGTGAATGATGGCTGCGACGCCCTTCCAGTCTCCAGCCTGTAAGACATGCAAAAAGCGCAGGATTAAGGTCAGTATAAATCGGATTCTGATTTAACTTCCACTAATGTTATCGTCTAGTGTGATTTGCAAAAGCCTAAATGCCATCGTTGCGTTAAACGAGGGCTTGAATGCCCCGGCTATAATCGGATTGAACCCTTCGTGGTGTTTACCCCCAACAGACCATACAAGGCCAAGGCTCTTGCAAAACACCGAGACTCGGATACTCCAACGCTACCCGATGCAATCGCTTCAGGGCCAATGTTCCGCATTCAACTATATTCGTCCTTTCTAGTTGTCTATTTTCCGACCAGTGTTGATGATGCATGGCACTCTGTCGTTACGAGCTGGCCAACGCAACCGGTAAGCACCGATCTCTTCCAGAAAAGCCTCACAGCATGGGCTTGTATCTCCCTTGGGACAAGCAAATGCGATCAAGGTCTGCTTCTGTATGGGATCCGGCTATACAATCAAGCCATACCGATCATGTCGAATATGATGCGTCGAGACCCCTACCACGATGATATAATCTATTCGCTCATAATTTGGACGGAGCTGGAGGTAAGCCTCGATTTTTTATACTGTCACTTACAGTGCCTTGCTGTATTACATGCTTCATTATCTAAGAATTATATCAGTCGCACTACTTTTCTGATGGTTTGGATGCGTGGGTGGCCCATTGGAGGGCATTCAAAACACTACTCAAATACCAACACCAACGACCGTATCCCACGAATGAAACCATGAGGTACATATTCAATCCTTTTCAAAAGGTCATTACGGTAGGAGGCACTCGGTACCCATTAATTGCGCTTCAAGTTTTGCTTATCGAATTCCCTTTCAGATTCTCGCTATTATGACCGATGGGATATCCCCTGAACAGCACAATGAGATCGTGTGTTCCAGCGAAACCTCCTCACCCCTCGACGATCTCCTCCGGTTTTCTGCTTCCTCCGCGATGCTATTCAATGTTCTTCGCACAAATCCCTCGGCTCATAGTTCATGTTCATTACTCTTGGAAAGCTGCATTGCACAGCGGGAGAGTATGAGGACATGGTACATATGGAGGCAGGCTGATATCGGTGAGGTCTTTCCTTGCAACGCGGATGACCAGACCTCAAACCGTGATCTCCCTCCTACTGATGATCTATTCGGCCCCGCGTCTCAATTTTTATCTCTCGATAGCGCCAGGATACATATAATGTTTTTCAACGCGATGCGACTTGTTCATATTCTAATGCCCCAGGCAATTACTCTGGTCTCATCACATGCGCCTGAATATATACCCGATGAGGACAATTTTGTCCTCGAGGGCTTCTATGCCGACCAGATTGCTCGATCAATTGCGTTCTGTTTGGGGGTTAAAAACCGAGCCTGCCTTGCTCATCTTTCAATTCTGCTTCTTGGTCAGATCTCGCAGACCTATATCAAGATGCAAAGTTCTGAACGAATTGCATGGTGTCAAGATGTGCTAACCATTATTTCTCATCTTGGTTTCAGCAGTGCAAGTCACCGAAAGACAATTATGCTTGAAGAATGGAATAGGGCGAAAATGAGCCGAGGTCAGAGAAATCACACGTCACAGGTGATACTGGCCAGGTGAAAAAAAAAGCGCGAAATAGTCGATCTCTCCGATGCAAACCTGTCCGCTTGTCCGTCTCTGCTCGAAGACAGGGTTCCTAGCAAACCACAACCGCTTTGATCTTAGCATTATGCAGCTCTTTGTCTATATGACTATGAAAAAGGATCCCCATGCTCACTGATTATTCTTGGTAAGTTGTCTCCATGCGTTCCTCCTCACCTTCCTCTCTTCTCCATAGCATATATCCATCTCATCATTGAGCCCATCCTCCGCTGGCACGCGTACTATCCCATGTACAGTTATAACACTGAAATTGATGCTTACCTTGGTACCTCTTTACTATAGGTAGGTTACTCTTTTAATTCCTGGGAATTTCACAAAACTTTCAGGGGCTAATTTCGCAGATCAGTATGACACACAATGAGCCGTGGGGTTACATTTCTTGCTGCGATCTCATTTGCAATCTTCACACGCTTCGACGTACAGATTAGGGCCATGGATTCAATCAGGTGGCAGCATGGATAACTATTGTATTTATAGGGGCTACCAGTATAAAGTGGGATTGAAGTTGCTGGTCGGTTCCTGCGTTTGCCCGATGGCGCCATCGGCCGAAGTGTTGTGCACCTGGGCTTCCTTCACTGAGTGAGGTATACAACACAACAAAACACAACACTCCGCTTCTCTCTCCCTCATTATTCACTCTGCTGCACTCTTCTTTGCTCACCTCTCTCTCTTTCATTCCATTTTTTCTTCGTCTCCACTTCATGGGTGAGTCTAGTCTGGTTCCTATAACATCTTCTACTGACACTGCATCTTATAGCGTCACCACGGGCTGATCGCAATGAGGGCTTCGGGATAGACTCACTTCAGTCAACTCAGGGCCGTGTTGTATCTCTTGTCCCTCACAGTGATGAGAAGAAGCCTGTTGACCCAAGCGTGAGTGAAGCCAACAGCGACCCTTTGAAGGGCCAGTATCCGCCTCCCACCGATGAGGAAAGTCGAACTCTTCGAAAGGTCGCCGCGACAATCCCACTCGCCTCCTTGTCTCTGTGCCTTGTTGAATTTGCCGAGCGTACTTCCTACTATGGCGCAAGGACCGTTTTCGCGAACTTCATCGAATTCCCCCTCCCCAAACGTCAGTCACGATTAGACCTTCTCTTGAATTCTCCGGTTCATTTCACTTTCTTGAAAGCTAACTTTTGAGTGCAGGAGGAAATGGAGCTGGTGCACCTCCACGAGGTACACAGAAGACCGCGGGTGCACTGGGTATGGGCCTTCAAGCCAGCAGTGCTCTATCTCTCCTCTTCAGTTTCCTGGCCTACGTTATCCCCATTTTAGGAGGCTGGTGGGCCGATGTTCGCATTGGACGGTATAAAGCCATTATGGTGGGTGTTTTTCTCTGCGGTCTGGCGCATATAGTTCAGTTGGTGGGCGCCATTCCCTCCGTGCTGCAAAAGGGAGCATCGCACGCGGCACCGCCCTTCATCATCGGTCTACTCTTGCTCGCCTTTGGCTCTGGAATCTTCAAACCGAACATCGCCCCAACTGTCCTGGATCAAAATCGCCACCGGCTTCCATACACGAAACAGCTCGAATCGGGCGAGAAGGTGATTGCTGACCCAGAACTCACGGGCACAAGAACAATGCTCATCTTCTACGGGTTTATCAACGTTGGTGCTTTCTACCTGCTCCCTTCCACCTATTCCGAGAAATATGTCGGATACTAGCTGTCCTTTCTCCTCACAGCGATCATCTACTTCATGCTGCCATTGCTGCTCCTGGGCATGTATACCCGAACGTACAAGCAGCCGCCTAGTGGTGCAGCGGATTTCATCCAGGCAATTTCGATTATCAAAACAGTCCTCGTCCAAAGTCGGTTCCGGATCTGGCGCAAAGACTTTTGGGATTTCGCTCGATCGCACCATCTTGAGAGTAAAGGTGTTTCAATTAAGTGGACAGATGATGCGGTCAGCAATGTTTCCCGAACAATGAGTAAGAATCCTTTTTCCTTCCCGAAGCCCCCAATTCCGGTATTCCTGCCCATGGATGATAGCTGACTGTCTATAGCTGCGTGCGACATCTTCTGGTTTTTCCCTATCTACTACCTTTGCGGCGGCATCGGCTCGGTGCAGGCGAACCAAGGTGCCGCGATGATCACCAACGGTGTACCCAACGATGTGCTGGACAACTTCAACGCGTTGACTCTGATGGTCGCGGTCCCCACTCTGACCTTCGGCATCTATCCCTTTATGAACAGACGCAAAATTCAGTTCGGTCCTGTCAGTCGAATGACCTTTGGGTTCATTCTATCAACTCTCGGTGGTATATGTGGCACTATAGTGCAGCGGCAGGTCTACAAGCAGTCTCCTTGTGGATATTCTGCTTCAAGTTGTGATGAAGTTGCCCCCATCTCCATCTGGTGGCAGCTCCCCACCACCATTCTTGGTGCGTTGAGCGAATGCTTTGCAATGTGACCGCCTATGAGGTTGCCTATTCCCGGTCCCCCAAAAGCATAAGAAGCACCGTGACGGCCTCTTTTCTCTTCATGTCCGCTCTCTCCAGTGCTCTTGGAGAAATCCTTATCCCAGTGACAAAGGATCCCTGGCTTATCTGGATCTGGGCCGCGCCAGCTATTGCACTTTTTCTACAAACCATAATCTTCTGGTATCGCTTCCGTCACATTAACAACGAGATCTATGTTACAACTACTGCCGATGTGACTGAGGAAAAGGCTAAAGATGGAACATCTGTCTAGTCCTTGAAGTGGTGGTAAACGGATTATCAACATGATGTTTCCCTTAGGGTTCGGGCTCAAGGGCTTTTCTTTTCTATTCTTACCATTTCAAGATTTCAATTTGTCTTCTGGCGGTACTTTATTTTATTACTTAGTCTAATGGAAACAAGAATTTATCACAACACAGACTGCCTCACCCTTATGATCATCAACCAATTTGCCACGCACTCCATGGGGTATTAGCATTGTCCGCCAGCCTCTGTAGCGGGTAGCAAGATTAACTCAATATTTCTTCGTTCCTGATCGGAGAATAGCGCTTGCTTGGTGTATCCCTTGACAACAAATAGTTTCTCCTCTTATCCAGCAACTCAAAGTCCTGATCGATCCAGGCCTGTCTATCATACGTCTCGATCTGTTTGCGTCAGATCATATTTCAATAGAAGAAAATAATGGTTGCTGCTAACATTCAAAAGGTGTTCGCCGTCGAAGTCCCCGAGGCATTTTATTCTCCGGTGTAACGATAGATATTGGTGTCTGCTCACCGCACAGTTGAATAGTTAGCACTCTTTATCAAAGTTAAGCAATAGGTTAAAGCTATGTCAATTTACCAGCTCAACCTCAGCCACCAAACGAGTCCGGGTCCGGGCCAAGTAGGCTGTAAAAGCCGCCGAAAGTATCAATTCCAGAACGGCCACGAAGAGGGCATAAAGAGTGCATACACTGAAAAGCATATTGGATAGATATTGGTTATAAGCAAAATGAAATGGTAACCTCAGATCAAGGAAGGGTAAAGAAGCAAAGGCATTTTGCACTTATACTTTTACTGACACACCAAGGCTGAAGGCCACAGGCCACGCCTGCGAACACAACGGACAAGGATCTTGACAAAAAAAATGACAGATCATCCCTTTGCAATCTTAGACTGCATGGTTGAGAAAGTCCCGGTTCCAAAACGCCCCTCTAAATCAGTAGCCAGGATTACCGGTTCTAGATCGAGGAGTCCTGGTTCAAGTCCTGGCCAGCGGTGTAGTAGATGCAACAGAATTACTCCTTCATTCAATCATTGATATCCCCGAACACGGTCCCAGGACAACGGATCGTGGAAGTCAAACCAAAGCGCTGGGACAACAAGGAGTCAAACTAAACAGTCCCGCTGAACCGCATTGTGCCGCTCCGCTCTGCAGGGCCATTGCATCTGGGCACAGCTGTGCATTCATCCGGTTGGACACAACACCCAAAACCAGAGAAAACACAGATCCTTCCCTAGAACAGAAAAGCGGAATAAAGGCTCGCATGAAAATAGCACTAGCACCAATAAAATCCTCCGAGGAATCCTTTTGATATTGTGATTTGCAAAAACCATTACCAAATTGGTCATAGCCCATAAACCCGGGCACACACCTACGCAGAAAAGCGCAAAGCCCAGGCCCCCTCGGAGTCGAAACACTTGGTATGCATACCGGGTCATTCCCATGTCTCCCCGAGCAATCAGCGATGCCATTGTGAGAAATTCATCCGCCGTTCAGCGTGTGTGTTAGCGACAGAATGATCTGGTCCCAGTGGGCCGAACTACCGCCGGGCCGTTCGCACTTACCACCCTACTGGGTCTGAGAGGACCAGATGGCTGGGAGCATACTATTTACGAGGCAGAAGGGTACTATGATGAAGGATTTTCTATTTGATACTGTGATTATGATCGAATGGAATTTTTTACTCCGTTCCTTGTTCAGTGCTTTGCTTCGCTTCGCCTTGACCCTCAGCTGCGCCCCATTGCTTTTGAATAAAGGTCCTCTTCCCCCTCAGTTCCCCTTTCAAAAGTACCGGTACTCCTCCCCCCTCCCCCCTTCTAAATCAGGTACTGTCCATGCCGATCAGTCTGCGGCTCTTTATTATTCGCTTCCGCCTTGGAGGGGAGTTGCTGTCCTCTGGGCTGCCTGAAACTGCCGTGGATGAAAATCCACAACGGATATCGCAAGTACCATGGAACAGGTGACACATTTTACCTTACTTCAGATAGGCAGACGAATATGAAGAATGACATTATTCATTCAAATGATAAGATGCTGTCGCTATGACTCAAGACTTTGGACGGCATATAAAAATCAAACTCCAGTGATGCAATGCAACCATGCATGCTGTGTACAAAGCCAACCCAACCAACACCAGGCCTAGTCCCAGGCTCAGTCCAACCCATGTGGAAGTAAAGAACAGAAACTCCATACACGCAACGCTCACATGCACAAATCAAATCCACCGCTCTTTATACTCGAAATAGAAGTCGCCAGTTATTGATTGCATGGCTTATTTGTAATTGCTTTCCGACGAAGCACACCCAACTCCTCCAATTTCTTCCACGCTCTTTCCATGTCCGGGGAGTCCTCACCCAGGGATGGGCGAAGATCCAGTCCGTCCATATTGTGCAATGAGCCGCTGGTTCCAGCGTATAATAGTAGCTCGAGGACACTCCGACGTAGTCTCGTGGCTTTGTCTAGACGACCCAGATATTTTTGATCCGCTTGAGGATCGGCCGGTGGTAATGTGAAGGGATCATTGATCTCCACTTCCCGATCACTCTTCGCTCCGTCTTCCCAATTGACCGGTTGGCCGAGCGAATCATTACGGTCCATATCAGCAAGGGCATCTGAAAGATCCCGTCGATCTTCTTGCTGCTGAACGATTGCCTTCTCTTGGTCTTTCAGCTTTTTGCGATCCACATTTGTGCCATTTCCCGTGACAGCTGGGGGGTAGAAGCCGACGGTGAGAGGGTTGCCACGGATGTCAAGTTTGCGGAGTGAACATGCACTTCCCCGACCTGTCCGACCAAGTCGACTTAGAATTTGGCAAATGCGGCGCATTCTTTCAAGGCGGTTATTCACTACCGTGAGTCGGGCGAGACAATTCATTCCAACTAATGGCTCCAGCTTGGCGATCGAATTGAAGTTCAGGTTGAGAACCTTGAGGTTCGGATAGCTGGCTGAAAATCCGCTTGGCAGGGCATTTAAAGTACAACCCGCGAGGTCGAGAAGTTGCAGTCGAAGCAAAGGGGACGATGGCGATAAACACGTAGGTGAAAGCTTGTTGGATGACAGGAAGACTTTCCGAATGTCTTTCACAGATCCCAGGTCAATGTCAAATGCAGAGTCCAATGATGGCTGCGTTTGATCTCGGACAGAAAGGACCTCCAGGTTGTGACAGTGCTGCAGGCCAGCAATACTTGCCAGGGAGTTTTGATCGAGATAGAGCAGGCTCACGGATGAAAAAGGCGTGGCATCAAAGATGTCCAACGTATTCTCGCAGAGCTTGAGAGCACGTAGACTTATTAGTGAGCTAGGCGACTCAAGTCGGGAGATCTGGTTGGCACTGAGATCAAGAGTAACAAGCGATGGAAGCCACTCGATGTTGTGGACAGAGGTCAGGCAGTTATGGCTCAAGTCGAGATCGCGAAGGCGCGTTCTATTGTCACGTTAGCATTTGCAATTTCTCCCACCAGGCAGATGACTTACAATTCGGCCCCCTCGAAGTCTACAGCTGTCACCGAGTTATTTCTGAGTTTCAAACTCAACAACCCGTTCATGTCAAGAATCCCATCGATGTTGCGGATTTGGTTGTCATTTGCCTTCAGCTCTCTCAGGTGGATCAAGCTGGAAAAACCGTCCAACGTCTCGATGTCATTGCCGGATATATCAAGATACTGCAAATTGTGGAGGTGGCTCCAAGGGGTGAGATTGGACAGGCAGTTGCGAGGAATCTTCAAAGTCCGAAGAGACGAAGGAACTCCACTCAACTGACCAATGTCATTGTCGGAGACATCAAGCTCTTCAAGACGTGGACAGAAATCACTCAACTTGTGCAGAGTGATCAGGCTTTTTTGACGGAGTACCAATCGACGAACATGTTCCCAGTAGGGTTCGTATGGCTCAACATCAGTAATGTGCTTGATCAAATCTTCTGTCGCAAGAGCAAAAGTGCCATGCACCTGTCGCAAAGAACCAGGGTGTGTACGCTGCGCAACATAGGTCATCTCAAGGTTCAATGGGTTATCTGGCTCATTGACTGAGAAATCAGGGAGTGGGCTCATATGGAAGCTATAGGTGGTATCTTGCCCATCGCTAACGGGGACCAGGGACGTCCCTGCGCCATTAGGTGTTTGCTGAACAGTCATTGTCTCATTTCTTTGGACGAGGCTCAGTTCATCCATTCCCTCTTCGTTGCGTTCCTCGATTCGGGAAATCGGTCGTCGGACGAATGGCTGACCAGCAACCGAAGATTGACGACCGGCAGAGCGAGGAACAGGGTGCGTTGAACCATTTTGCTGGTTTGCACTGGCGGATGGATTATTCGAGTCTTCTGGGGCAGCAGGTGAGTCAGGAGCATCTGAATCGTCTCGATACGCAATATGTGAGACGAGAGGGGACGAGAACGAAATGGTGGGAACCCGATTTTGCTTAGGTCGCGGCTGAGCGGTTGGTTCTGACTCCGGATCGACGGCATTATCTTCGGTGTCGCCGGTGTCGCGCACTGCATTTGTCTCCTTGGAAGCAGGACGAGTACCTGAATTAGGAACACTTGCTGCGAGTCGCGAAGCTCCCGATTTGGTGGAATTTGTGTTGTCCGATGGCTCTCCATCCCTTGAATGAGGCCTCTTCTCGAGTTTCCGGGGCGAGCTCCCTGCGCCGGATGGAGTTCGAGAATGTTGCCCGTCGGTACTTTTTGACGGGGAGTTCAATCCATGGACTCTCATCATTTCCTGAAGTTCATCCACGCTCAGGTCGGGAATGTCCCGGAAGGGATCCTCGTCTCCATCCTCTCTGAGCACCCTCTTCGCCGGTTGTCTTTCATCGCCCTTAACCCATTGATGCTTGGATTTATCATATGTAAACCCATTCACCTCTTCTGGGATTAGATGCGATACCAAATCAGATGAAAGTATCCCCTTTGCTTGTGAGTTCTGGGAAGAGCCAGTCGGGACTGAGTTGATACTGAAGCCGGACATTTGCGTATTGATTGTCATGAGATCTTCTGCGATGTTGGCTGCAACGTCATCAATCGGGCCGCTAACTTTCCGTTTTCTTTGTTCCCTGCCCAACCAGCCCATACTTGATTCGCCAGGGGCTTTGAGCTCCGCGTTTATATTCAACAACATGTCGTGGGTACCCATCTCTGGATCCTCGTTTTCTTGATACTTCTTGAGGTGATTCAGAATCTGCGGTCTCATTTCTTTCAGCTCTCGCATTTTGCGAAGATCGGTACCATCTCGGCTAGGTGGCCGAGAGAATGCCTCGCGCGTAGATTCGTCTTCGTAACTGAAGTTCTCCTCTTCACTGTCTCCATCTGATTCTTGCAGGCTAGTCATCACAGCAGCTGGCCGACCTTTAGCACGAATGAGGTCCATGACTTTCGTCGCTTCGTTCAAATAATCCTGGGTGGTAATGGAACCTTTTCGGGATGAATCACTGGTGCCGGTGATTTTGAGCATTGGAATGTCACCTTCAATTGAAAATGAGTCGGAATAGTCAAGCTCGTTGTAATTGGATTCCGAAAAGTCTCTTGTCGGTCCATTTGTGGCCTCAAGTGCAGATCGAATTTGGCTCGGAGTGGGTGTTCGAGGTCGCTGCATGGATTTGGAGAGGCCCGGGGGTGCCAGGTAGTCACCGTTCTCCATTTGGACCTTGTGTTGCATCAAGCTGCGTTGCAGTAAAGACATACTGTCGCCGTATTTCTGATTATGTTCGGGGCTCTTTTGGGTATGGTCAGGCTCGACGTTCTCATCTCGCAATATCGTTCGGCGGCGTTTGGCGATTGGGTCGGCCGCGGTTTTGGGGACCCGTTTGGTTTCGGGGCCGATGTTCTCCTTTTGATTCACACGCGAAGACCACGACGCATCACGCCTATTTTCAAAGTAGCTTTGTCGCGTCCAAGCTGAGGGCTTTCGTGTGAAACCTGAGCTCGCAGAGCGGGCGTAGTGCAAAGAGCCCAACTGGGAAGATGGATGACGGAGATATTGCTGGCGGATGGAAACTTGTCTTCGAGAGGTAGGGCGAGATCCAAAGCCATTAGACTCATCGTAGACGAGCTGATGTTCATATGGGCTCGCATCGGAGAAGTCGAATTGATCCAATTCCCCATCTCCAAACCTACTGATCCGGGGGCGGGAGACATTCCGCGACGCCAATCGCTCATTTCGTCGTGGTGTGATCTCACTCAACGGTTCCTGGCGAGCATTCAAGAAGCTACGGCTCTCTCCTTTGCGCCGGGCCTCTTCCGAGGAGACGGGGGATCGTCTCCATCCGATCCATCTTCAAATGTTTCCTCAAACTGGCTCATGCGGCGTAGAAGACGATTGTTCGTAAAAGTATCATGCTCTCCAAATAGCTTCAACGGGCTGCCCGACGACGGCATTGCTGTTTCCTTCGAGGCTTCATCGGCATCCCCAGATGTTGATGGACGAACATGAGACGAAGAAGGTCGAGGTAGATTTGGGGAACGGGAGCGCGAAGGGTTGAAGAGGGGCGAGCTGCGAATTTTGGTGTTGGCAAGAGTCGCGGGGGACAAGCGGTAGGAGGGAAAGGGCGAAGGTGAGAAGCGCCGGTTGTTGTGGTTGTTGTTAGGACGACTCACCACTCGGCGGCTAAAGTCAAGAGTCCCCATTGACAAGTCTTGCGGAAGAGAGTGGCTTGTGACATCTAGCAAACTATCATCGTGAGGTGATCCGTCAGGTCGGGGTTCGCTATTATTATAGAAAAGCAAGCTATCGCTGACTGGGGAGTCTGGGCGACTGTTATCCACCGACAGACTCTCCAATTTGTTGGTGACTTGCTTCAATGCCGATTTGATCACCTCGGACGTGCCATTGCCTGAGAGGGTATTGGGTCGAGTGAACGTGATGGGTGTGATGCCCTCATTGCGAAGGTCCTCCAACCCGCTCGCGGTTCGGATCCCCGTATCGTTGAGATCGGTGTGAGAAAGTCCCTCCTCGTCATGGGCCTGCTTCTTTGCCCATGGTGCCCGATTGACTGTGCCCAAGGGTGATTCGATCCCGGTACCCCAGGGTTCATCCTCGTCCTTGTACTCGTCGTCGCGTTGCGCGTCATCGTGATAAGCATTGATCTCCTCCTCCACGATATCCTCCTCTCCAGCCGCGCTGTCGCGTCTCGATGGGGTGTCGGTGAAATCCCACAGTTGGTCGTCCTCTTGCTTGGTGAATCGAATGGAGCCCGGTTGTTTGGCGGTCGCAGAGCCAGGCGTCGGCGGTTTAAACACGCTTTCGAGGCCCATAGGTGCGAACAGATCCCGCTGTTCGCCCGCCGCGATCTCACCCTGCACCAATCGTCTCCGCCATTCGGGGGTGGCTGCGCCTTCATCCTTGATCTTTTTCGGTTTGATCTGGACGGTATCTGTGCTCTGAAAACTGGATTGGCTGGAGATATTCGAGACGGATCGAAGCGGGGAACGCGTTTCCATCGTCTGCGGCTGTTTGCCCGCCGCGATGGGAGCCGGCTTGGGGCTGCGCTTGCTGCTCAGTTTCGCACTGGGTTTCGAGGTGGATCGGGGCGATTTGGGGGAGTTGGGCGATTTGGGGGTAGTTGTTTTGGATTTGGCGGGGGTCGGCGTCTGGACTTTCGAGGGTGTCTTGGGGGTGCGAGGGGTCTTTGGGGTCGGAGGTTCTCGTTTGATGAAGTGACAGGGCCGAGTCACTTTTTTAGAAAAATCACGCTGTTGTCTTCGTGCGGGCGTCGAACGAGCGGGTGAGGATTGATCGATGGATCGCCGGGCGGGCACTGGAATGCGACTGGGGGAATTCTGGACCGAATTCTGGACTGAATTCTGCACACTCTGCCCTGGCGAGGAGGGTAAGAGTTCCGACTTGGAGGGGGTTGTCGTAGCTGGATCTGGAGCTGAAGCTGGAGCTGGAGCTGGAGCTGGAGCTGGCGTAGTGGGTGTCGTAGGCACCGACGGCCAGTCGTCGGACAGGCTGTCGAGCCATGGTTGGCTCATTTTCCCTTTGTTATGATGTGATGTTGTCGGTGCTGATAAAGGCGGTTGCTATGCGGCCCAGGCGCGCGTCACAAAGACCGGGTCGCGCTCCAATGGGCGTAGGCAGAAGGGCAAAAGCAAGTAGGTCAGTCGAACATGGAGGCATTGGATGTGAAACTGGGGCCTTCGAGGAACGGTGGGTGTGCGGAGATGAAACGAAACGAGATGAGCTGAGATGCGATGGGCCCAAGTTCCAAGTTCAGCTCCACCAGAGCTCCCTTGTTTATTTGCTTTCCCGCCCTACGAGTATACTCGTACTAGTTAGTAGTTACCACCCAGTGATTTCACTTCTGTATGCCCACTGGCAGGTTACTGTACTGGACTCTCTTGATCCTCTATATTGGAACTGGAATGTTTTTGTTGTTCCCTTCCACCTTCTCTCTGATTGGTGCCCCATACTCCCCCACAATCCCTTCCTGGCCGATATTTCCACCCGTTCGAGGGTCACTATTGACCCTGATATCTATGCGAGGGGTCTTTGATACTATCACCTTTTGCTTTTTCAAATTCTTCCCTTTCCGGTTGCTACTAGTGGTACTACCGATAGTACCTGTTGAAACGCTTATCTTTGGTTTGCCGAGGTATGTGTTACTACTAGTTAGTAGCCCTGGAGTACTAGGTACTAGTATTAGTACCGGGGCCTACCTACCTAGTAATACTATTTTGGCCGAGACTCGGAGGATATATATCGTGGGATCCACCGTGACCTGCATTTCGCCACAACTTGAAAAATTCTCGGCTTCAAGTTTAAAGTGTCTGCTTGGATTAAATATTACTCATCGTCATACATGGACCCTGGATGTACTAAAGTAGTACACAGTAATGCTACCTAGTAGTACTACTAGTACAAGCAGCTCATTCTATTAACGGCCGATAGTATCAGAATCGTGCTAGTGGTACTAGTAGGTGCTGAGTAAAAGCCAAAGAGTACAAATTTGAAGAAATGCCAATATTTATTTTCCCCACCCGACTCCTATGATACTTGGTTCGTGAATGTTACAATGGTATGAGATCGAAACGAAAAAGCATGTCTACCAGAGACCATAACCTTAGACAACGAGCTTTTCGAAAGAGTATTGCCCGACAGCCTTGCGACGAAGGTATCCAATCTCACGACTGCTACGGGCCTTGGTCTCCCCAGTAGACTTCTTCTTGGCGAGTGAAACATCCGCCGAAGTGGGCTTAAGAGACAGCGGCAGCATCTTGCCGCTAGCGTCACCGTCATATCCATCCTCACCCTCACCGGGACGAGTGAAGATCATCAGATCAGCACCATTGAGTTTCTCATGGCGGACCAGTTGAGACTGAGGAGCGGCAGCAGCTTCGCTGACCGCACCGTTGGTAGCATCTGTAGGCTTGGCCGAGGTGGCGGCCTGGCTGGCAAAGCTGAGATACTCGCGTAGAATACCCTTGAGGTAGGTAGCTTCTTCAACGCCGGCAAGGGCTGCTGATACCTCGGATTTCATATCAGCAATGAGCTCCGCTTCGCGGCTGGCAGAGGCAATAGCCGAATCCGATTCGTCGTCAAGGTCGTTCACGGCCGGAAGAGCAGAGACCCAGCCAGATGGGCCAACGGCATCCACGGATGCAGTAATCAGATCGATGATGGCATTAAGGGAGAGGGAAGGAGTGATCTGATCAAGAGTGATCGGGGTAGGAGGGTTTTCGGTGAAACGAGAGGTAGAGCCACCAGTAGCGAGAGAAAGACGAAGGTGATGGACCATGGTAAGAAGGTCTGCGCGCGACAGGTTTGATCGGAGGGACTGAACAACAGAGACCTGGGGCTGGGAGTGAATCTTCCTGAGAGTATAGTTCAGGCCGAAGAAGATATACTTCAAAGGAGCCTTTTCAGCGCCAAGGTGGCGGGTCAATTCTTGAGTTGGGGTAGCCACGTCTCCGTTTGTGATAGCGCGAGCCGTCTCCTCCAAGGCACCGGAGTGCAGGCGGGCTTGGCCAAGGAAGTATTTCAAGGCGTAGGCAAGTTCATTGGGCGAAATAACAGCAGGACCACGGAGCACCTGGTTGACTTGCTTCAAGGAAGAATCCGAGTCGATCAAAGCCTGCACGAAGGAACCAGTCGGAAGGGACTGGAGGATGCGAGGCTTGTAAGCACGACGGAGTGCGATCTCAACATTATCCGGCGACAGGTGACCTAACCGCACAAGCCAGCCGCATGTCACGGAGGGCCACAGGACAATGCGCAGTTGAGATGAAGAAGACGCCGAGGTTTTATCTTGGGCAGCAGAATCCTCAATCGCGAAGATCTTAGATAGCAAGAAGAGAGTGGATTCGGGGTTGACGTATTGTCCTCGCGCGGGGAGTTGCTGAGACTCAGAGGCACCGAAATAATCCCGAACAGTCTTGTCGAACTTGGTGCTATCGCGTGACTTTGTCGCCTCGTTAATATCTTTGGTAAATTGATCCCATTTCTCAACCTGCTCAGGAGAAGTCAAGTGGAGGGATGTCATGTTCTCAGAGCGGTGCTTCTTGGATGCCGTATCCCACTGCGTAGCGGATGAACCAATGCCTCGTCCAATAGCATCAATCAGCAATCCATCGCGCGATCGCTTGAGAGATGGACCAGAGTGGCTATGCAAAGAAGTCAGATCGAATCCGACAAGGGTGTTTCCTTTAGCCGCAACGGCCATTCCAAGTTTCGCAAAATAACTGATAAAGACTGTAGGCTCGGTGGTCGACCCGCCTACTGAGAGGACATCGCTGGCAGCGATACTGCGCTGAATGGATTGATACTGAGTATCGTACACTGCAATCAAAGATTCACTTGCGCCGATAACACACTGAGGAGAGACGCGCATGACCGATGAGAACTTCTCATCCAGTACGAATTGAGAAGTGACAGAAGGAGAGTATTGGGAGAGATCAATATTCACGAATCCGTTCTCAAAGGAGAGCTGGAGTCCGGCGGAACCGGCGTGGAAGCTCCACTGAAGCGCATTCGTGTTAACTTTGTCAAGTCCGGTAGGCGCTGGAACTTGGATCGTTTGAAGGTGGCGAAGGCGCTGGCTCTCTTCAAGACCGCCCGACTTTGAGGTCGCAGGAACAGAGAACATTTGGACAATGACATCGCTCAAAGTAATCTGGTCGGAATTTTGAGGGTGGGACACGACGAGGAGGATAGATGGTTCCTCGGTGCTGGAGGCTGTAGAATCGCTCAGGGCAAGGGCAGCCAAATCTTGTCGTCTCTTGAACAAAGTCTTTTTGGCATCCTCCAGGTCGATCAAAAAGGACGAGTGAACCAGGTGGGTGGTGCGCACTTTGGCGATCTCACTGTGTTGGATACTCCAGTGCTGAGTCTTCAAGTCGGAGGACAAGCGGCGGACACGACCATCCTCGTGAACGGCTAGGATATCAAAGGGATCAACCTTATCCTCATCTTCGGTGCTGAAAGGAACGATTCCAACGAATTTTGCGGGGCTGCTGGAGTCGGTGATGGTGGCATTCGAAGAGGTGATCACGGGTGCGCTCAAACCATTCCCAATCTCTTCGACGAAACATTTGATTTGATGTTCAGGCTTCGTGGCGATAGTGTAGGTTTGTCTCTTGACAATGGACTTCTTGGACAGCTTGCGGCGGACGGAGCATGGTCGGCAAGAAAATGAAGACTGCGGTGGCACGGCGTAGGAGGTCACGAGTTTGGGGGTTTGAACCTAGAGCGAGAGAGAATTTTTTAGTTAGGTCTACAAAAGGAATGCAGCGGTGTGATTCCTACATTGTAAATGTTCACAGCCTCGCCATCAACAGTGACCGCGACTTCATAACGCTTGCGCTTTTTCGCATCGGCGAGACTGTAGACATCGCCGATACGAGTTTTACCCGTGGAGGCATGGAGGGGTCGAGGCAATTGTGCCAGAATAGACGGAGACTGCAGGTCCATGGCGACAGAGATCACAGTCACAATGACGATCACGATCTCAGCTTGACAAAGCCTTGATATCTGCTCCCTTCTCTGATCCAAGTGAAGCTGCGAGTCTCAATCCGCAAAAAAAATCTTCGGCCAAACAACGGCCCGGACCCACCAGAGGCTAGTCCAACTCCGGACTAGCGTGCTCGACGCTCCAACTGACATAATACAGCTGACATAATCAGATTTCGACGCGACAGGCGCGTCGTGTTGGAGGGTGATCTGCGGCGTGTAAAGTGGACGAGAGGGAGGTTACGAGTACAGTCCTCTTACTACTTTGGACTCTGTCTTTTACATGCTGCAGCTGGTCTCAGCCCCCCATACTCCCAAATCGTCAATGTGATATCTGCCTGGCGTTACATCTCTCCAATGTTCTTTTCTTGAGGTGGAAGTGAGAACATGCCCATGCCCATGGACACTATCGTCTCCAACCCGTCAGTGGCCATGGGGCAGAGCCAGCAGCCAGCAGTTCACCCCTTCTTCCGTCAAGGTGAGATGATCTGAGCCCTTCAAACAATTCATCAATTAACGAAGTCCTTAGATTTTGGCGTCACCTCACAGGCAACGCTCTCAGAACCCGAGACAGCAGCGATCCCTCCCTCGACTGCCTTCACTTCCGAATCTGCCTCCGTCGACATCCAATGCCCAAATACCGAAATCAAAGCCGAACCTGAACCCATAGCGCAGGAAGTTGACGGGACTACGATTGCCAATCGTCCGATCCCTCGGAGTCCGGAGGAAGACCTGAATGCAAATCGGCGAAAGAGACGCAGGACTGAGAAGCCTAAACCCCCCGTTGATGATGCGCCGCTTCAGGCTGGGCTAGCAGGATGGTTGGGTAAAGATATATCGACACCAGCAGCTTCAGCTTCAGCTTCCATCGACCCAGCGATCAACACCACAGCGGCCCTTCCTCCACCATTATTACCTGAGCCGACCTCTGTCGACACTGCCCCCGAGAAACCGCCAGCCGTCTCCGACAACGCAACTTCAGACCTTGCGCCCGATAGGAAGCGAAAAATAGTGAAGCTGAATTTAAACGGGAGGCTGCTGAGCTCTTCTCCCCCGATACCTGTTGAGGCTCCGGACCAAAAACGAACAACCGGGAAACGCGGACGACCCCGAAAGATCGAAAGCAGACTAGCAATTCTCAAATACGGCACTGCAGATGACAAAAGGCTAGCTAAATTGGTGGACGACATCATCCACGGGCGTTCGATGCATAAACCTGCGCCTGTCCGTCCATTGATTCCGGAGCCGCCCAAGGTGAAGAAGCCAGCGAAGCCCACCCATCCTTTCTTCCTCAAGAAACCCACGCAAGAATCCCAACCAGACTATCTACCTGAGTCCAAAACTCCCTCGCAGACGCCAGCCCAACAGCCATCCACCAATCAAACATCACGCGACACCCCAGTCGAGAAGCGTGAACCCCGGGCTTGGACCCTCTATCCAGTCTTCGTTTAGTAGCCGGGCAGCGAAATTCCCAGAGCTCGTTGAACCACTCTGGCCACCTAGAGATTTAGCTCACATTAGGTCTCTTGATTCTCAAACCAACGAATCTATCTTCCGGGCTTTTCAGAATGACCAAAGAAAATCAAAATTACGAGTGGTTTCAGTCACCGATGACGAGAACGCTCTTCTTGTCAGTACGTCCCGGGCACGAAAGGCTGCAGCTCTAGCTTCACAAGACGACAATGACTTCCGTTCGACTCTTCGTGTCCCTGGACGCCACATTGCAAGTGGTCGAGTTCTCCAGACAGCGATCGACAATCAAATGTCTTGGGCCACCGACCCACGTTCAATGAAAAATTTGTCCCTTCCGGTTATCTCAAATCTTCGATCCTCCTTACTTTCATCATTCTCAGCCTTTGATTGCGGGAAGTACGAAGCACAGCTTTGGGCTCACAAATATGCACCCAAAGCAGCAGCAGATGTCCTTCAAGTGGGACGTGAGGCTCATGTACTCCGTGACTGGTTACGGCATCTCAAAATCACTGCCGTTGACACAGGGAAACCATCAAAAGAAAGCGCGAAATCGAACGCAGAGAAGAAACGCAAGAAGAGGAAGAAGCAAGCGGACAAGCTCGACGGATTTATCATATCCAGTGAGGAAGAGGAGTCCGAAATGGACAATCTCTCTGGCTCGGACGATGAATTGGCGGGTCCTGTAACGATGTCTGCTCAGAAAACTGTTATTCGCTCAGGAGATCTTGCGAGGACTGCGGAGAAGAGCCGACTCACCAATGCGATACTCCTAAGTGGCCCACCGGGATCTGGAAAGACAGCCTCGGTCTACGCTGTGGCTAAAGAACTTGATTTTGAAATATTTGAGATCAACGCAGGTAGCCGACGAAGTGCCCGAGATATGCTGGAGAAGGTCGGGGACATGACACAAAACCACTTGGTGCACCTCCTGAACGAATCCGATGACACGCCTGCCAAGCCACGACCCTCGGACCCTGCCGATGAAGCTAAACAGAACAAGCTCATGAGCTTCTTCAAAGGCAAGCCGTCAAAAAACACCGGGTCCGATACGACTTCCGCCAAAACGAGCCCCAGGCCGCAGACAGATGAAAAACCCACTCGCGAACAGAAACAATCCTTGATCCTTCTAGAGGAAGTGGATGTTCTTTTTGAAGAAGATAAACAATTCTGGACGGGTGTCTTAACATTAATCAGCCAATCGAGACGACCGATCGTCATCACATGTAATGACGAGAGCCTCCTGCCTCTTCAGAATATGTCATTGCACGCCATTTTACGTTATCAAAAGCCGGCTCGCGATCTTGCAATCGACTACCTGCTTCTTGTCGCTGCAAATGAAGGCCATGTCTTGAAAAGGGATGCAGTCAGCAAGCTTTTTGACGCGGCCGGCATGGATGTTCGAAGATCGCTTATGGATCTCAACTTTTGGTGTCAAATCGGTGTTGGCAGTGACAAAGCGGGTCTCGACTGGATTCTTCCTTCCTGGCCCCCAGAGAGAAACACTGACGAAAACGGAGATCGGATGCGTGTTCTAAGTCTCAATACATACGAGTCCTATATGGGTTGGTTTAACCGAGACCTCTTGCTGGGTGAGGATTCCGAAGAGAAGGAGACGGAAGCTTTGAAGAATACCTTCCACTGGTGGAGACTCGGAATCCAGGACTCCGAGGATGCAGCTGGGCTCAGTGAGGTTGAGAAGTTGCCTCCGGATGATTTTCACGCAAAGTCAAGAATGGAGAAACTCGATATACTTGATCGGGAGATGGATTATTTAGATATGAGAAGCTCTCTAGATATTCTTTCTTCTCGATGTCAACTAGACATGTTGAAGGCAAGTTCATTCTGATCTGGCGACCGCGCCTCACTAACCATTGATTAGGATTCTGTTGATATCTCCGCACCCCTGATCCCCGACTCCCACCGATCGAACTATATAGAGGCCTATCCACTTCTTCAAGCCAGCCTAGAGCCCGAATACACTGCACTCAGCGAAACAATTGGCCTTTGGTTCTCTGCGTCAATCTCCAAGGCTTTCCGCACTCGCCATGATGATATGGAATCGGCCTACGCCAATCAAATGTTCAATGGCTGGCGACAGTCTGGCGCTCGCCGACAGGTCTTTCCCTCAAAATTGACCGAGTTCCAGAGAGTTTTTGAACCCCTCATGAGGTTCAACTATACAATGACACTGATGACCGGTCGACTCTCTCCTTCTTTTGAGAATACGTTGTCTCCTATCACTGAAGACCTCGCGCCCTATATTCGCTCTATCATGGTGTTTGACGGGCGCTTGAAGCATTATCGTGACTATCTCAGCGCACTGTCGAACCAGCAGAACCACCATGGAGAGAAGAAGCAGAGAAATACCCGAGCCAGCCGTGCAGCACTGGAAGGGGGCAACAAGGCTTCGGTGCGGAAGGAGAGGTGGTTCCCCGATGACACGGACTACTTTTTGGTACAAGGAACCGGGAAGCCCGAATGGCAAACCCTCTTGTTCCAGATGGGACATTTCCAAATCCAGCCGGCCGTGCAACAGAGCGAAAACAGCAGTGAGCAAGTTTCAGATGCCCCAGAAGAGCTTTAGATCTTTTCACCACGCGATATACCCACCGACCCGAATAACGACAAATACCAACAAATTTTTATGTACAAAATAACCATAGCTCTTAAAGTATAGCTTCAAGTTATACAAAGAAGGATTCTCACCGTGAATTCTAATGCAAAGATGACTTGCTTTTTAATTTCACGTCAACTTGCCTTGGCACTAGAATCCTCCACCATGTAAATATTTGCTTCACAAATCAAAATATTTCTTTAAACCGGATGTTGTCTATCGCAGCTTATCACAACATCTTCTGCCAGCACAAAAGTACTAGAGGAGAAGGTACTGGTTTGCAAGACGATCTTACCAAAATACTACTTGCATAAGATGAATTTGCTAACCGATTACTTCATCTTATTGCTTTAGTTTACCTCGGTCCCGCGGAACATTAAGAAAAAGCCACTTCCTGTCCAGGTTCGCTCCCGACGTTGAGGTCGGCTGATAGTTACAACTTGAAGTGTTGTGGCGTATAGTATTTAACAATTTTATTTAATTCTAAAAAACACGATTTCTTGCAGGAACTCGCTAGCTGAAGAGTACTGGGTAGTATGTATTTGTTCATGGGATTGGCTGTCTGACAGCTGGCACATACTAAAAACGACGAGAAATTAGCTGAAATCCACACAGTGAGTCCAAATACCAGCTTACGGGATAGATTTGAACTTTCTCAATATCCCACACTCCACTAGTAGCGTAAATATCATTCTTGATAATCTGCCGAACATCTTCGGCACTTTCGCCCGTGTAAACCACGACGCTGCCGATAAACTGGGGGTCGTTGCCCTCCTGAGGATGCTCCGAAAAGATCGCACCTAAAGCACGGAAACCTTAGCATCTTCGAGATACTATAATATTGAATTACAATAAATTAGTGCATGTTAAGCTTACCTCCGTCGACAAGTTTTCCATCGGCAATCAACGGTTGGATCCCTTCATAGTGACCACTTTATTGACGGTTAGCCTGAAGTATGTTTCAAGTAAAAACTGCTGCGACTCTACCTTTTGACATTTTTTCTTATGGCTAGAACATCAGGTCGGTCTGGCATGATGCATAAGAATTCCTTTTTCTTGCTCGCTGATGTCATGGCTCTCGAAAGAAAGCAAGGCCTTTGAGCAGTCCGTTGAACACGAACAAACGGCACAGCGGATTGAATCGCGGTCCGACTCCGAAACATGATGGTAGTTAATGATTCCAGAGAAAAGGGTATGGCCGTACTAGAGGGATATATCAAAACATTTCCTTTCCTGATCTTTATCTGCAAATATGATGTCGGAGGGCAGTCCCGATGAAAAGAAGTGGGTCGCGCATCATGTTCAACTTGATGTCTGGTTACGACCTCGGAGCGACAAAATCTCTACTACATATAGGCAATCCGGCAAAACGGCGAACGAATGAGATGGGTAACATGTAGCCGATCAAAAAACAAAACCTGGATGTAAATCTGCAAGCAAAAAAAGGCTAGTCCCGTTGAAGTACATAGAATGCCCGCCAAGGCCGATTCATAAGGCGTGGGTTGGTGAATCCATGGAAAGTTTGCAGGAGAGAAATTTGAGGTTGTTTAATTGACGATATTTAAAGTGTAGAGACCAAGGAATGAAATGCTAATGTCCTTAGGGTTCAAGAAAGACCCCAGATTATAGATATCTAGTAAAACTCTAATGTACATCCAAAAGGAGAATCACTCGGGTTTGGTGGCGTCCAAATCTGCTAACAACTGGCTCTTGGGGACTTCCTCAGCCCATCGGGCGCGTGGTCGCTCAAAAGTCGATGTAATTCGGCCATAAGAGACTCCGCCAAGTTGTCCCACAGGTCGCAATTTATCTAAGTCGATATGGCTGTATTCTGGATCAGCTGTGCCCTCCTTGACCCAGAATCGAGTGGCCTTGATGAGAACTGTAGCGGCTAGGCTCATTCCAGGCTGCTGATGATCAGTGAATTCTTTGATGTCGATCACTTTGCCTTCAATATTAAACACCGACTCCTCAACACGCGAGGGTTTCACCGTCGTGGAAGGCACCTCGTGAAGACCCGAAACTTCCCACTCGGAGACACCGTACGGCGCATCAATGGAGCTAGCATTGACAGCCTCAATCATGTTTTCAGATACAGTGTTGATAACACATTCTTTCGTTTCTTTCAAGTTGCGGTATGTGTCCTTCACGCGACCGGGGCGTGACGAGAAACCCACAATGAACATTGGGGGGTCATGATCAATGACTTGGAAATAGCTGAAAGGCGAAAGGTTTTTCTGCCCTTGTGAGCTTATCGTGCTGAGAAAGCCTACTGGCCGAGGTGCGATGCCTGAGACCAAGAGACGATAATTGTTGATCATTGGACGATCAGGCGCGTACGGGTCGATCTCGTGGTGCTTTTGAACCAGACTCGCGCCATTGTCCGGTACACCTTGTCCATATTCCCACTTGGGGTATGGCGACTTGGTGACTTCAATTGGTTTTTCTTGGTCGAAATCAGGACGGTTCGCCTCAGTCTCGGCAAAATTACCGACATCTTGAACGATTTTGTAATTCTTTTGAGCCACAGCAGTGTCGTTTTGCGAAACCGCGGCAGCGGTTGCAGAAGAACTCATTCGAATAGATCTGAAAGATTGGTTTGGGACTTGCAGATTTCGATGGAGATTGCTAAATCTGCGATGGTGTTAGTTTTTCCATTTCGCTGGTGAGAAATGATGACCTCTCTTACTGCCTTGAAGAAAGGCGTGTAACACCCTTGATGAACAGCATAGCGTAGTACAGCACTCAGATTATTGTAAGGTTGTTGAAGTACAATTCTAAGGGTGCCTTGGAGCGAAAATGCTTGTTAATCAAGTCACATAAATTTACCCACACGAGAGAAGAACAGGTCGGGTGTGGCCTCCGACTCTCGGATTGCCCCTCCGACATTTTGCCATGGCTGCTCCACACTCCAGCTGGAGGAATTCAGTGTTCACATTCCTTCGAATGAAGCCGATATCCATGGATAACACATATTAGCAACCTTGAAGGGTCTACAAAGCATTTCCATTTGCTTAAAGAAATAAGGATGACGAAGCTACGCTTAGTGTCGATTGCAAGGACCTTTCGACTTGCAACACGTCTGAGGCCGTCGCTAGATATAAGAAACATCACTCGATGATAAACAGCAATGGAATCCCACCAAGATATCGACTCACAGAGGGTTGCTTCAAACTAGTTTTCAAATAATCATCCTACACACGAATTTCGCCGGGTCCAAGCATTGTTGAACTTGAATTTTGCTCAATTGAACCTAGACTAGTGGAGCTCACAGTACCTACCATATTGATACAGGAGATAATCAATTTCATTGTCTGGTGTTGAAACCCTATATTTTTACACTCAAAATATCATTAAGCCTATTTTAACGGGCATTTAGCCGATTTTTCAAGACTTTTCACTATATTCGGTGACTTGCCAGGACGCCGATAGACGCCGACTCTGGTATCGGATCACGCCCGACGCCATTCAAAACAAATTTTCCGCACTCTTTTCTTTCTTTACGACAAATTTTCTAATTTTTGGAATACAATGCCACTACGCTTTCCTTTGGCTGCGGCCCCTCGTACGGTGCGCCTGCTGCGCGTCCCGCAAATCCCGCGCCGATTGATTTTCTCGACCCGGTCCAGCCCATCGAAACACTCGAGAATCGGACCTAAGTCAAACAATTTCCTCATACAGTCGCAGCCCCAGCACCTTTTCTCTAGTTCCAGTCAAAGATGTAGCACAAACACTGTTGTACGAGTGCCAGCCATGGCCGAGTCGATTACTGAGGGGACCCTCGTCCAGCTCACCAAGCAAATCGGGGACTATGTGGAACAGGATGAAGAGCTTGCCACTATCGAAACTGACAAAATTGATGTTGCGGTTAATGCACCCCACTCTGGGGTTATACAACGGCTACTCGCGAGCGAGGGGGATACCGTCACCGTGGACCAGAGCATCGTGGAACTCCAGCGAGCAGATAGCACATCCTCGGAAAAGAGTTCATCTACCGAAAAGCAAGAATGCGATTCAGAAATAGCGAAGAGAGAAAGGGAAACAGCAACAGAACCGGTAGCGTCTTCGCCGGTAGAATCTACGGAAAACCGTCCATCAAGTACGCACACGGCGAAGGGAAGTCGGCCAATTCAAGATGCTGTTCAGGAGGAGCCTGGGTCCGGAGCTAAGCACGAGCGTGGAGAGACTCGAGTATGTATTGTTCATTCTGTGCATACCAATCATGAAATTTTCTCAGAAGTTAATTTGGGTTATTTGCAGATCAAAATGACTCGAATTCGAAAGAAGACGGCTGAACATCTGAAACAATCTCAGAATACTGCAGCATTTTTGACGACATTCAACGAAGTGGATATGTCTAAACTGATGGACTTCCGAAAAATGAACAAAGATTCGGTTCTGAAACAACATGGTATCAAGCTAGGGTATATGGGTGCAATGGCTCGGGCATCGGCTCTGGCTCTCGGAGAAATTCCAGCTGTCAATGCAGCCATCGAGGATGGTGATACTATCGTGTATCGTGGTTACGTGGATCTCAGTGTTGCCGCCGCGATTCCGAAGGGTCTTGTTACTCCCGTTCTTCGCAACATTGAGTCAATGGGCCTAGTTGAGATTGAAAAGAATATCTCGAAGCTAGTGGCAAAGGTCAATGAACTCGACACTTTGTATTATGTCTATATGCTAACTGTTCGTAGGCTCGAGATGGAAAGCTCACTATGGATGATCTGACAGGTGGCAGCTTTACCATTAGCAACAGTGGAGTCTGGGGCTCTTTGTTTGGCACACCGATTATCAATATGCCCCAGACGGCGGTTCTTGGGGTGTATGGCATACAAGATCGGCCAGTATCTGTGAATAATCAAGTCGAAATTCGACCGGTAAGTTCAGGCGCGATTCTGAATGATGTGTGAAAAGCAAAGAACTGATTAAAACACTTTCAGATGATGTACATTGCACTAACATATGATCACCGGATTATTGATGGTAGGGAGGCCGTGAAGTTTCTGACTCTCGTTAAAGGATATCTCGAAGACCCGAATACCATGTTGCTTCAATAAAAATAAAATTGCCGAGGTCAACCCTTGGAAGCCATCCAGGGCTGTAACATTGGAAAGTTTGTTTGATAGCCCTCTCCCGGGAGATTTGTGCATTGTTTCCAAGGTTTGTTTTACAATATCAGAATTACAGTGTAATTTAGTTCCTAGTCACGGTGTCATACTAGTAAATACGAAGTTGATAAGAACAGACAACTTAAAATGTGTCGTTCGAGTGCCCCAGGAACTTCAAGTTGAAGGTAATCATCCGACTCGGAGCCCTGGAGTCATTATTCAATTTTTAAATTCACAATATATAATCATCAAAATTATATACTATAGAGTCCTAAAGGTATCCCAGGAATATCTATCCAACGGCTCCACCGACAGACTGCATTATGCTTTCGACATCCAATTGATCGGCAAGATCCAATAGCTCCTGTGGTGGAAGACTGACCGAGGAATTCAGCCCTAGAAGGTCCCATTCAAATGCCTCCTCCACATCAACATTATCCAGATCGTGAAATTCACTGTCATCCTGTGCGGCCGAGTTGACATTAATTGATGGCAAAGGGGTTGGATTAGATTTGGGTGTCAATGGTGCCAATATTTGTTCAAGTTGTCGGAGCTCCTGTCTTCGGAGCGGGGCAGCTGGATTTCCCTTCGAAATCAGTTTATCCAAAACACATTCCAGGTGGTCACACCAGGTACTACTATGAATGAGTGTTGGTGCAATGGCGCGAATCAAGTATAAAACAAACGCAGATGAAGATGCATCCTCAATTTGAAATGGTAAAAACGCATCTGAGTCAGTTAGTAACGTGGTTGGGGTTATCTGATATAACATCTAGCGTAGACTTGCCCATTAAATCGTCATCTGCCAAAGTTTGAAGAGTTTGCAGAATAGTCTGAGCAGAGTCGGCACAGCACTGTAAAAGGGACGCAACGGGAGGAGATAGCGAAAGCGTCTTTGAGGTCTTTCTCTCCGTCTTTTCAATATGCATATGAAGAGCACACATGACCAGCGGACGTGTTGTGAGCACAACGCACTTTTGAAATTAGCTTCCATCTGAAAGTTTTGGATTGTCTGCCAATACACACATGATGATGTGCCAACATAAGACGGATTGCCATTTTTGAAGCTCTGCTGATTAGTCCGTGAAAGTTTTGATTCAAGAAAGCTGTCAAGTCGTGCGAAAGCTCCGCCATGCTGTGGAGAATTGACTGGGTGTTTCGTATTAATGTTCCATTAAACTCATCGCCAACTCCATATACAGCTATATAATTTTAGATTCGGCCAGAACTTGAAGGATTCACAAGCAGTTTGGTCAACTTACTAGTCAAAGTCTGAGCCATCAATCGCGAAAGTCGCACATGCAGTGTCAGGTTACTGTGCTCGACAGAATTTTCCATCTCTGCAGGTAGCCTCACAGAGATATCTTCATCTCTAATAGAGCTAGGGGCACCTATTAGAGCTGAAAATTCACGATCGAGCATATAAACTACCCAGAATATCGTTCTGCACCGGCTAGACAGTTCTGGTCCGCACAATTCCTCTGGTACGTGGCGGTGAATTCCCTCAATTATACAGCCACGTAACGCTTGGCCTATCTGTTCGAAATTAGCATGAGATTATCTTTCAAATTTATCTGCTATTAATAACGGGAAAACTAACATGCTGGAATGCCGCACGTCTCATATCAATGGATTGTAGATAAACTGCACCTAAGCTCAATGCCTGAATGCACGTAAGAGGATCTTCATGCATCCCAGAGAGATCGGGAAGAAGAGACATTGCTCTTGATGCATATTGGTGTCCAGGTGGTGTACCAGAAGGATTTCTAGCGGTAAGGAATGCCTTCCCAAAGGCAAGAACAAGAAGATATTGGGCATACCAGTATCTTGACGAAGCGGCTTTGCTTGATGGATTTTCGTAGAACTCGTACAGATGTCGCAAATACGATTCTTCGTCGATCATGAAAGATAAAAAGCCGAAGTAAAACTTGACTGTGCTGAATAGAAAGAGTGCATAATCCAAAGGTGGCAGATTCGTGACGTCGGGCACTTCATCCGCAGGCACTGGTCTCCATTGCAATTTAACTGCCATTCCATCTAGATGCCAAGGATCCGGCGGGCAATTAGCTTCAGGGACACGTCTTCCTATAAGTGCCAAGACACGCCGACAAAATGACCACGAGGAAGTCGGCCCCATATACCCTAAGCGAGTCAATTAGTATCTTCGAGCCCTGAAGCCTTCGATGTACTGTCAGTGAGAGCTTACAGAATCGACCATCTGGTGTCATTGCAAAAGACGGATCCCTATCTACCAAGGGATTCCGTGAAAATCGTGATCTATGCCCATCATGCTCTACGTCGCCTTCTTCCCTTGATTGTCCATTTCCGATCAGTCTAGTTTGATTGGCATCGAAGGTTGACTCAAGTCCTGCGCAGCGAAGTCAGACAAATAGTATTGGCAAATAAATGGGCAGTAAATACTCACCATCAGAAATACCTCCCCACTGATCTGCTGTACGATCCTCCAAGAGGAACGACGGCCCATGAGATGGAGATAGAATAACATCATCATCACCAGCAAAGGGCGACGTGGCAAGGTTGCGAGTATCTAGAGTATTAGAATGACGAGAAGTGCTACTACTTGTTGTCAATTGGGCCTCGAGTTGTCGCAAGTATCTTGTGCGGAAGATTAATTAGTAAAATATCATTCAATTGAACTGAAGAACATACCGCTCCGAAACCGAGACACGGGTATCCTCCGCTGGAAAACGACAAGGTTGCTTCTTGCGAGCACATCTAGTACAAGGTTCAGATCCCGAACACTTGACTTTCATTCCTCGGCATCGTATGCACCTTCATGGCACGTTAGCATAATTTCCTTGCCACCCTTATCAAGTGAGACTGACGCTTGTTGGCATTTCTTCGCCTTTGCTCGGTTTGAAGTCGCAGGCATTTCGGTTTGCACTACCGAAATTGGGCAATGTGAAGATGTGCTGTAACAATTTCCGGCGACTCCCTCCGATCTTCAGGATATAGCAGATGTGAGGTTTCGCGGGGTAATTGTCGAGAAGGATCGGTCGGGATGGCCATCCGACGTTTGCTTATCAGTGTTATCTCCAAAGGTGGAGCCCGTGGGCCCGGGCTGGGGAAATGTCATCATGCCGGGTACTGGTTATGGGTTGTATAGGACACATTTAGTTCGATTTCGTCTACCAAGTAGAAGATAAATTGGTAGCTATTGAATTTAATGAACTTCTTTAAACTGCTATTATACGATACGTAGAAATTTCCGAGACTTTGTTTTAGTTTCTTCTTCACAAACTAAATTAGACTTAATTAGTTCTCAAAAATCAATCGGGAAAGATACGGTAGTTCCGAGATCCGAAAGAGCGATTAAAGTCAGCAGAATGTTGGGGAGAAGTTTCACTATAGACCTAGGAATGGATGTAGATAATGAAGTCTTTCAATTCGTATCTTGCAGGTGCATTCTTTTGTTGGTAACTACTAGTATCAACCAACTATCCGACGCCATAGCTCCTGTCTTAGAGCAACTCCCATATGTTTGGTTCGCTCAACTGCGCCCTTATTTTCAATCGCCCGTCGATGAAGGTATTGCATGCATTCTGCAACTGAGCCCCAAGCCATACACTTGAAAGCCTTCGGCACTGAGACATCATTTGCCGTGGAGACCTTCAGAGCTCGCTCGTAGTTTTCCACAAGTTCACAGCTCAACTCATCTGCCATGCCTTGGATCTGTCCACATTCAAGTAAAACAGTCGGCTGCTTTGAGAGCAGAAGTTCTTGGTGCTTTGAAATTGCCTTGGCCGCACTCGCCGCATTATGGGTTGCCAGGAAAAGTGCCGCATTTGGGAAAGGAAGGTCAACCCCCTCTGGCATGCGTCGGCAGAGCATTGTGTCGGCTATGAGATCGTATGATTGGTCTGTTTCTTCTTTGGTGTCGTGAATAAGGGGTCGTGTTTCATGCTCAATGTACGCTCCCCGAACCAGCTTGATTCCCACGGAAAATCCCTGCTGCGCAGCCAGAGTAAGGTGACGATCGACATTTGCCTTGGACCCCTTCAAATATCCCTGAATGGTGTTGTAAACCAATGGAGCCGCAGAAGAATTATGTTTGCGCATAATATCGATAGCCCAGTTGTCAAGTCCTTGTTGGAGAACCTGTTGTTCCGCATCCAGCCACAATCGCGACCCTTGCTCTCGAGTAGCAACACATATTTCATTCATCGCCTTTGCCAAGACTTCGGGCATGGGTCTATTATCAGCCATAGCATCAATTGAAATGGGACCGGCCCCTGTCAGCCTAGAGGGTGGTATTAGTAAGGTCGTAGATCGGAATGACTGGGGTTGTGGTATTTGAGTACTCACTTTACTGCGAGATAGTCACCAGCACCAACCATACGAAGGGTCTCCAATGTTCCCTTTTTCCATTCTTCCACGATTTGATAGCATTTGTCGCTGTAGTTCAGCGACCCAGATCCATCGTGCGCCAACTTCTCGTTCGGGTCCACAACTATCTCCTTCGAATAACCCAGGATGACACCTTGATATCCAATTTTCTTTATTTCCGCAACGGTCTTTGAGACTTCCTGTCGGTTTGTGCCCGCACAAAAGTGATTGTATACTGTCCATCGAAGCAGCTTGTTGAGCACCCTATTGCGATCCGGGTTGAGTATGGCGGATTTCGAGTTTGTGACAATGTTCAATATAGCCAGGGCGGGTTTGAGAAATAGTTTGGACGACATGAGCGACGTCAAAACTAGTGACCGTAGGACTATTTTGGTTGGCAGCCTTGCCATCGAGGACATCTTCAGAGGTGGTTGAACGGAGGACGTTGGGTTTGCGATAACTGCATTATGGAAACCCTTCTTAGTTGAATGGTGTCGCCTGAGGATCTGGTTGGAAAGTGGAAAAGGGCGGGGTTTCAATCCAACATGTTGGATGGATGTTGGTCTCATTGGCATTCTGGGAAAATCAAATCTGAGTCCAATATCTCACAATGCAAAGTAAGATGGTTTTAGCTTCTTGGTTTGTCTGCAGATTTTGGTGAACAGGAAAGTTTCAAGTATCCAAGGTCGGTATCATCGAATGTATACCACCAGGGCACTCAACATGCTATATACCCCCAGGAACCTTTCCTTACTACTGACCGCTATCTGTATGACTCGCTAAAACCTACCGATGTTGCCTCTTTGATCAACCGACTATAGTCGGAATGATCTTCCGACAGTAGGAGGGGTAGGTATCGGACCAAGTGTTCGTTCTCGCAGAAGCCACAAGGTCAAGCGGGGGAGGGGCATTCTCTTATCAATGGATTCTTAATATTACACATTCTACCTAACGATCCCCCACCTTTATCAACTCCGCCGGCCGGTGAGTTAGGCATATTCGGTACTGTCACCGTTGCATTTTGGGACATAGCAGTAACGACGATATCATCAGATGACCAGGAGTTCGAATATCATGCACATAATATGCACCACCGAGTCTCTACCATGGTGTTTCTACGTGTCTTCGTTTTACAGGTTAGTTAAGAACGTGCTCACCTCTACCCAGTGTGAGTCCACGTATTCGTTACCCATGCAAACTCTAGCACCGATTTTTGTAGTGATCAGCATCTGAACTCATCATCCTTGCGAACAAATTTACATATTTTTGAACACATTTTATTCAAATATCCATTTTAATTCACGTAGGCTACTTCTTCTATCACAATATAAAATTGTCTGGCGCAATAAAGAGGCTTAATTTTCATTTTACAGAACTATACCTCGTTTGAGGGATAGGTCACCTTTTCCAGAGGGACAAACTCCTCCTTGATAGTCCGAGCGCTAACAAACCTCTGAAGATGAGCCATGGTTCCTGTCTTGTCATTAGTGCCAGAATCCCGGCTACCACCGAAGGGCTGCTGGGCGACGGTGGATCCAGTGCACTTGGTGTTCAAATAAAGCATACCAGCGGCATGTTTAAGGCTCGTCTGAGCCTGACGGCTAGCGTATGGATCCTTGGCAAAAATACTTCCAGTAAGGCCATATCGCGATGTAGTATCAATGAGCTTCAAGGTTTGTTCCCACTCAGCATCTGGATAAACATAAACACCCAAGATCGGTCCGAATAGCTCTTGTGACATAATATCGTGGCGAGGGTTGGAGGTGCGATACACAGTAGGGTGCACGTAATATCCCTCCTCCTTGGACGCTTTGCCGCCGACAACCAACTCCAATTCAGAATCCGTCTTGGCCTTTTCAATAAACCCACTCAGCTTGTCGAACGAGCGCTCGTGGATGACGGGGTTGACAAAGTTCCCGTAGTTTTCCACATTTCCAACCTTCAAGGCGGCAGTTTCTTCGGCCAGGACCTTTTGGAACTCGGGCCACACAGACTCTGCAACATACACGCGCGAGTTGGCGGAGCACTTCTGGCCCTGGTATTCGAAAGCGGCCCTGATTGTGTTCAAAGCTGCGCTTCGCACGTCTGCGGAAGGATGAACAACGCCCCAGTTCTTGCCGCCGGTTTCACCGACAACTCGCGGGTAGGAATTATAGATGCCCTGACCAACACCGTCGCCAATCTTCTTCTGAATGCCTTTGAATGTGGCGGTGGCACCGATGAAGGTCAATGCTCCAAACTCAGGCCGCTTAAGAACAGTGTTGGTGACTTCCTCGGCATCACCGGGGAGGAACTGGATAACATCTTTGGGAAGACCAGCTTCAATCAAGATCTTATGGAGCAGCCAGCTAGCATGCAGTGCGGAATCTGAGGGCTTCCAGATAACGACGTTACCAAGCAGGGCAGCGGGGCCGATCAATGTAGCTCCAAGTGCGGTGAAGTTGAAAGGGGCAATTGCGTAGGTGAAGCCTTCCAGAGGGCGATACTCCAATTTATTCCAGTGTCCATCAAGGTGGACCTTTGGCTGCTGGGCAAACAATGCCCAAGCCTCGTGGATGTAATGACGGAAGAAATCAGCCGTCTCTGCCGCGGCATCAATCTCAGCTTGCCAGATATTCTTGCCTTGGCCAAGCATGGTCGCCGCGACTATCTCGGAGCGGTATTTCCCGGTTACTAACTCAGAAGCACGCAGGAAGATTGCTGCGCGGTCTTCAAATGGCGTAGCCTCCCAAGCGGGCTTAGCTTTCATCGCAGCATCAATGGATGCATTGACTTGTTCGGGTGTGGCAGATGCGTAGTGGGCAATAATCTCGCTGTGCTTCGAAGGGTTTAATTGGGTGCGGGACTCTTTTGTTTCGATCTGGTTTCGCAAGAGTGTCAGTGGGGAGCTCATGAAGAAAGTTGGAATGCTCTGAGAGATACCTCGCTGCCATTGATCTTGAGGGGGATGGTGACTGGGAATTCACTTTTGAGGTGCTGAATGGTCTTAGTGAGCAATGCTCTTTCCGGTGACCCTTTCGCATAATCAAACTGACAGGTGTTAGCGAATTTATCAACTTCATGTTGTTCTCTTGGCTCACCATCTTTTCGTTTTCAAATTTCGGCGGATTCAGCATGGTCAGGTACCTACGACCAGCTCCATTGCGAGGGAAAGCGTTTAGCCTGTTAAGGCCAGCAACTCGAGTAATCGTTGTAGGCCGCATCTTCCAGTAGTCTGCACAGTCAAAAGAAACGAAAGTTGCAGAGACTAACAGATGATTAAGGTCACGGTGACTCCCTGTCCGTGTTTATTTAAATACCGAGATCTCCATGTGTTCAAATTGTGCCACGCAACGCGTCGGAAGGCCATGCCGACTCCACAGATAGGATATCATCAGTGTCTCTCCCGCATCATATAGATGCGAGTCCCACAATTGCGGGGAAGGAGGAGATCGCCTACATCGCCTACATCATTCTACAGTCTTGGAAGGTCGGGGGAGCGTCCCGACGTTGATAAGAAACCCCACCCCACGTTGCTCAGCTGGACCCAACAGACACTTCAAACGGGCAGGTTTTTACGATTGGCTATTGAAGGTTGGCCGCGATTGGCCACGGTGAATTGGATTCCCAATGCATTGAATGTTATGGATAAGGACCTGCGTGATGGTCTCCAGGGCTAAGGTGTTGACCGCTCTTTGGATAACTACTCGTAGTGTAGGCTCTATTAACTAAGCTATGCTTTTCGATTTCTGATGTAAGATAAAATCTACTTTTTATTCAGAGAGCGCTTTGTCTACTAGCTTTGAGTATAGTTACTAGCAGTACTACAGTGTAGTACTATATATTGGAAGCATCCAGGCCAACTCCAGGCTAAAATCGCCCGTGTCAGCTACTAGGCAGCCAGGCAGCTACCCAGCAAAACTTCACTTCACTATTTTCACGTCTGGGCACAAATTCAGGATTACCCATGTCCTACTAGTACTAGCACTGCCCGTAAGTATATCAGAACAAGCTTGGACCAAGTGAAGGTGATTGTGTGACCAGAATAGACCAGACCAGCCACCTCCGGTCAAGCTCCGCCCGATCGTCGAGCTCATTCGTCATCGCGGCCATCACCTCCACTCCCCCGACCACCTCCCATCCACTTCCCTCCCCCGCGCGTACCCTTCCCACCGCCGGTGATCCAATGTCGCTATTTGGAACATCTCCGGAGGCGGAGGACCCCTCCGCCGTGTCCTCTACACAGAAGTCCAAGGCTTCCCTGTTTGCCGACGAGCCCGCCGGTGGTTCCTCGTCCCTCTTCGCCGATGACACCGGTGATGACAGCTCCTCCTGGAACCCCCAGAGCAACACTGCGAAACGAACAGCTCGCCGCGATCTCGTCCGAACTCTTCTTCCTGCTACCGATGTCCCGGAAAGCTATGTGGACGCCTACGATTTGATCCTGAATAGTGGCGATAGGGTCGGCTCGGGCGTCGGCCTGTCCTCCATTCGGGAGATCTTGTCCAGCAGTAACCTCACCGCGTCTGATCAGGGCAAGATCCTCAATTTGGTTGTCTCCGGTGATAACGAGACCTCGGGGGGTCTGGGACGCCCCGAGTTCAATGTGCTACTGGCGTTGATTGGCCTCGCGCAAGAGGGCGAAGACTTGTCCTTCGACGCAGTCGATGACCACCGCAAGAGTAAGTCCTTTGCCTCACACAGATACAGTCGACTTGTGATCGCGTTCTGTTTCCCTACCCCATGGGAATATGATAATATCGACTGACGCATGTTTCTACAGAGCTACCCCAACCCCACAGCGGCTTCCTTGATCGATTGCGATCCCCAACCCATGATACCTCCGATGGCCCCGCGGACGAGCGACCAACCACTCCCCCCTCCCAGCCTTCACCTGTACAAGAGCCCAACTCTGCGCGATCTCGACAGTCAAGACGGGAGTCACTCGGCGGCTTGGAATCGGATCCCTGGGCAAGCCCGGAACTACATCGGAATCACCCTCACGCCGCGGTGACCTCCACAGTGACCCCCGAGCAGCGTATAATTAATGGATATGGTAGCATGCGCTCTACAACAAATGCATGGTCCAGCAAGCCGGTGGAGGAGCCTGCCCAATTGGGCTTGTCGCAAGAACCGACTAGTGTTCCGCCCGAACCGGTAGAGCCGAGTAGCTCTGGCTCCGGCTGGGGTGGTAACTTTGGTGGACCAGGACCATCTGGTGACGATGCTCCTTTTGCGCGCGCGTCGCGTCCAGCACTGGGTGGATTTGGTCCCCCAGGCGATGACCCCATTGAACCTGCGCCGCGGCGACGGTCTCTCGGAATTGCTCGGACTACAAACCCTAATGTCGAAGAGACTGTCACCATCACCCTCCTCCCAGAGAAGGAAGGAATGTTCATGTTCCAACACCGAAACTACGAGGTCAAATCGGCTCGACGAGGAAGCACAGTCGTGCGTCGATACAGTGACTTCGTCTGGCTACTCGATTGCCTGCAAAAACGATTTCCGTTTCGTCAATTGCCCCTTCTCCCTCCCAAGCGCGTTTCAGGTACGTCCCAATGCTGATCAAAGCGCCAAATTGCCTGCTCAC